CCACTTTTAGTGTGGGGAATTTCCTGTAGTCTCGTACTAAGCCCTGTTTTTGCGTAGAAACTCCCAGTGACACTAAATATATCACGAGAAATAGTCCTGATTATGATGATTATGCTCACAGAAAATACATTCGTATGTGAGGCAACCTCAAATCCTATCTGAAATTTACTGAGAGTTGCACTCTATTTAAGCAAATTTTTTAATTACCCTGGTCATAGAAACCAGGTCAAAACATCAACAAAAATTACGTGATTTTCTAAAACTAGGTTAAACAACGTACAATCATAACAAAGTTATTTATAATGCGTCAGACAAGCAATTAGTCGCGTTGGATACAAAACAAAGAAAGCACTGTTTGACGACAGCGTGTGTAATGTCTAATATTATACTTGAGGAAATAATGTCCTTTTAGTGATTACCTAATGTCTAGGATTCACCACATTGATGCTATTCAAGGCAGCCTGAAATTTTATACCATTCACTTGGTCAGATGCATGCGACCTCTTTGGCGATTCCACCAAATTTTCAACAACACATTGCTCTTCATTTAATGTGACATCATAAGCCACATAAGAGCTGCGTTTCTTAGGATGATAGTATTTTGGATCACTTATTGGTTTAGGAACATATGCGAAACTATCATCAAGAAGTCCATTAACAGTTTCTCCTTCATTATCACAGGCAGCATTAGAACTGAATAAGAGTTCTTCAAATTTCGAATTTTTCAGTTTGAAGATATTTCCAGCTGACAGCTTGTTCTTTGTGGAACCAACATCCAGCTTCATCAGAGTTTTCAATAGCACTAACTCCATTCTCTTCTTCTGCTTTTCTATGTTCTTGGCGAACTCTGCCATATCAAATTTCGTCAGCATGTAGAAGAGTTTGATGTTGTTTGACGGATCGATTTTGCCTGGACCCTGCAAAGTGAACAATGTTTTCTTTCGTCACCACAAAATTAAGTCGTCAATGTATATGCTAGGGACTTCAAATAAATTTACAAATTTTAACATAAACTATTACAATTTTACTACATTAGATTAAACAGAATTCTAGAACCCAACATAAATACACCAATGTTAGTGCAACCGTTCTGCAATTGGATTTACAATATCTAACTATATAAACACTGACACTGACATCAGATGCACAGCCAGCTAAGAAATGATCTGAAATTACTGAAGATGTTACTGAAAGCGATACATTAGTTCACATTTGTTAATTTGTTTACCTTGTCAACAACAGCTATGCTAAAGAAGAATGTGTCCCAGGATTGAACGATGTTCCGAATAAGACGTGCAAACTTCTTTGTAGAAGATATGACAGCTTGATCTTTTGTCTGCAATAATATATAACAACAAATAAGAAAATAAATTATTTTTGTTGCATTTAAGTATCACAATGCAAATAGGTTATTTTATTATGTGAACTTTGTTCCCTATTTAAGACAGTTTCGCTACAACGACCGTGAACTTACAAAGGGGTAGAAAACTCACCATCAAATGAAGATCCTGAAGAACACTGAAACAGGCCTTTGCTTGGGTCTTTATCTGCAAAAAGATACACAAAAATTCAATGTTTATGTAATCAATAGAAGTTCGCGGAAGATAGCGAAAGAAATGGATATTTTTTTGTGACAATGTAAAAGCCAGTTTTACCTGAGCGAAGGAGAATGTTCGGTACTCAGTATCATTTAGCTTTTCCAGATTCCCCTTTCTTGGCGATTCGATGTCCGTCATGTGCTTTATAATCGAGATGAGAGCATCTGTAAGGAAATGTGAAAAACGGATTCTAGTAATCTTTTCAATGTACTTCATTCTATCAATGAAGAAAGTAAAAGCTTACAATAGCATCGATTTTCTTTCATGAAATTCTTCAACACAAACAGATAAGAATCCCAGCAAGATATCTACGAAAATTGCATTGATGGCAAATAACTCTTTAATAAAGTAAATATCGTTGGTTTGTCAGTCAAAATATAAACAATAGATACTCACTCATATTCTTCAAGAAGAACTCGTATTTTGCAACGCAAGGAATGGAACTCTCACCATTAGTCGCAAACAAAGCAACTTCCTGGAATAAAGATTTGGTATATGTTAGATAATCTAAAAATGGGTGATTTCTGAAATGGACCAGGATTATAAAGCAGAGTTATAGTCAATTTATTATAGACAATGAACAATGTTTTATCTTTTCTGAATCAACAACAGTCAATGGCAAAGTATTTTGTCAAAAAAGGACCAGACCCGTACAAAGAAATGAATGCCATCAATAACATAATTTTCCGTCCTTATGCTACCATTTGAGGGTTATTGTCAAAAAATACTACCATTTGCGGCTAATACTTTAACATTTTAGCTTTGGCCCTCATTGACAATGACTGGATCCCTGTTAGGCAATAATAAGTGTTTCCCCCCCCCCCCCCCGAAACTTTACTTAAATGAACAACGCTTTTATATAAGAAACAGTCACATTTAATCGAGGCTATAGCCTCGGTGTTGTCTTTTCCATGGTGATTTTCCTTGGCAACAATAGCTGCGACCACCTCTGGTTTAGCCAAATCTTAGGCCTCATTATATTTACTCATAGCTGCTATGAATTTTTCATTAACAACTCAAAATTTAGTTTATGAACTGTTCTCTGATACAATGTTTTTGAAATATCGTTACTTCTTTCTATTTCTATGTCTGTTTATCGCATTTTATGCTGGCTTGCATAAATTTTGATAAGTCTCCGTACATAATAAAACTCATTTTCATAAAACTTTTTTAGCTAAACACTAACTTTATGCTTGTTTCCTTACAGTAAAATTTTGAAAGAAATACATTTTCTACAATTTAATCCTTTGCTATAATGTTTTTAGCAAGCTTTCTGAAGGCTTCGAGTTTCTCTTTCGACAAATCGACTTACCATAATTTCTTTTTCTGCGTAAAAGCGTAGTTTCGAGTAAATTCGAATGATTGATAGGTTCGTTGATCTTTACTTCGAAATAACTTTCGCGATTATCGCTTTCCAGGTGTTTCAAATCGTAAAAAAGTTGCGAAGAATTCAGTAACACAAACTTTCGTCGTGACTGCAGTTGAAAAGTTCTCAACAAAAATTGTAACGGTTTTTTGCGATTTTATTCATTAATTAATTTGACGTCACGTATTGATTATTGTTTTGTTGTTGCTAAGTTGCAATCATGTAAACATAAAATACAATTAAAATGCCGAAAAATTTCAAAATTTAATTTTTTTGCAAATTCCAACGAAAACTAGGTAAAAAAACTCTAAATCTTCTTTTTGGCTTGCATTATTTTCAAGTTTCTAGTCCTTGCAAGATATTTTTGACCTTTTATACTAAGAAAAAATGATATCGCATTTCGGTGGAGCACTAGCAAATGAATGATGCGCCATGTCTATCGTTGTAAGAAGACGAAACCTTGATTCAGGGATGAACTGAGGACCAAAACAGCTTGGGGGAGGGGGGGGGGGTAACTAAGTCTAATCTTGGACAGGGACGTGCCATTTTGGTTTGAAAATTGGGACCTATAATTCCGCACATGTCTGGAAAATGTGAACCACAATTCCGCAAACATGATGAAAAACCAAACCCATAGTATCGCAAGGCAAATATTATTTTTAAAAATACAACAACATCATCAAACAGGTTTTGCATGTCTTTTGCCTCAAAATCTCGATATTACAAATATTTCAATCTTTCATTTCCAACTGGACATTTACTTTGTTAATGCTTAATCTCCTTTCTAATAATTTTGCAGTATTTTCCCAACATGGTACCCATAATTTAACATGTTTCTTCAAATGCTTCCCACAGTTCCGCACATATTTCAAAAACGTATACCGATAGTTCCGAACTTTTCAAAAAAAGATACCCCTAAATAATAACACGTCCCCGTACCTTCAAACATGTTCAGGTACCAATCGAAAACTATCACAGTATAATTGAAACATGTAAGATTCTGAAAGGTTCTGGCTACTGAAAGTTTCTAAACTTTGGGGATTCCTTGAAGTTGTCTTTTGTCTGAAGAGTGTATACATGCATGGCTTCAAAACATCGCTAGTATTATACACTCGACTTAGATACTTAGGTTGCAGTTGTCGAAAAGGTTTTGCATCGTTGAAAGACACCCCTGCTTGTCAAGTTAAACCAAAATAACATACGTAGACCAAAACCAAATTAATACGTAAAATCCATATTATTGATAGCAGTTTGCATGCAGACCCAATAATTTCGTTTACACTCGTAGATCCATGAAAGACATCATGAAATCACTTCTTGGAAAAGTTTCCCTAGATGACGTTAGCCCAAGACAGAAAGTACAGAAGTAGGTAGAAGTAAACTCTTTTATGTCAAAATACGAGATTGAACGAAATAAGTACAAAGAAAGTTGATAAAAATGCTTAGTTGATAAAAACCAAACATTCCATATCTCAAACTGATTATTTGTCTCATATCCTATATTTGGTGGGTTAGTATCTTATAACTATTTTAATCAAAATGTACAAATGTGAATGCAAAAATGAAAGAGAGAGGCAAGCTTGTGGAGCATGACACCAGGCCACACAGCAAGCAAGCTCCTTTTATTAACATATAACAATTCCAACAACATGTTGTCTTCAAATATACGTGCTTTTCTCTTAAGGGCTGTTTGACTGCAAAGTTTCTAGCGCGCGGGAAGTAAATTTCTGTCACTGATGACGTACTCTTTTTTTGTCCGGGAACAAATACGTTGCAAAATAAGAGAGTGAATTTAATTTTTCTCAATCCAAAACATTTGCGGCTCGGATCTGAGGAAAAAATCACTTTGCGGGGAATGCGCATACCAAAACATTGCAGTCTGGAAAAGCTGTACAGAAGAAGGGACGGGGCTGGGGACTGCAGACCAGCAAAATTGCAAAAACAGGTCATATTATCTTGATAAGAATTGTTAAATATAACGAAGGGGATGCCACGATCCCCCCTAAGGACCACAAGCCCTACCTCGAAAATGACTTTGTTCCTACCTCACTGCCCCCACCCCCTTTTTAATATACTCTTAAGTGGATTTTGAAAGGAAATCAGAGGAAGATTTAGCGTTCTGGTTAAGGAATTACAAGGGAACGGGGTACACACTATCGGGGTAGTTGTATATAGGGGTTTGAAGAGCACCCTATCGAAATTGGCACCAGAAAAAGCGAAGGGAAATAGGCCTAGAGGTGACCAAACGGAAATCCTTTACGCAAAATGTATATATTTATTCATCATGTGCTCCAAAAACGTCAACGCTTCGACGGATGGAAAAAGTATAATGATATTTGGGGTCAAATTCAATTAAAAAAAGCAACATAAAATCAATATATCTGGTACTATTGATATGAATGCCTAGCTGAAGTCAGACTGAAGTCTGAATACTTGGCCTATAATCTGTACTAAAATCCATTATACAGCTTGATTGTCACATTGGAGGAGAGCGGTTTACACAATAACTTCTTTTACAAAACTTTGCTAGCTTAATATCTTAAGCCAAGAGGTGCATGCGTTAATATAATACTTTCTATTGCATTTTATATAGGACTGTTCATGTTCATTAAAAAATGTTTACTACTTGTGCAAAACCAGGAAGGAGAAAAGATTGACCAAATTGGCCGAAATGGTTAGTGAATTAGGATATCCCAAGTTATTCTTCAAGATGTTTTTTAATTCAGTCCTCCATTCCAAGGTAGTTAATGGTACGGAATCTGCAAAACATGTCTCTTTTGATACTGAGAGAACTGGCTCCGTAGCTGCTAATATATAAGATTTTGATCTGGATAGACTTTCAATGCTATCGAAAAACTCATTACCAAGCTGCGAAATTCGCAATTAGATGGCATGAACATGGGCTTATTTCTGGTTTGTTAAATCCTTACTTAGCTTTTGGCTCGAAATCGCCAGTTATTTCAGCCGATTACAATTCTACAAAATACACTAAAAGGCATATCAACACGGTTTGTTTTTACAACTCTCCTTTGACTGCCTTCTTCTTGCTTTTTGCATTGGATTCTTCCCTGCTTCCCAAATACTTCTTTACCAGCAAGGCTGCATTTCTACCACTGATTGCTCCCATTTCCATAGCACTCGCCACCCGCTCGATTGCATTTACATAGAACACACCAGTATCTAACTTGAACGGGCTAAACCTCTCTGGGGGATGATAGTGTGGATACGCTAGCCAATCAACTGACTTTACTTCCAACTTCACCGAGAAAAGATGATTTAATTCCTCTTCAGTGAGCAGGTTTCTTGAAAACACTTTGTATATCGGATTTCCATCAGTTGCCCCCGGCTTTCCTTCCACAGTTTCCTGTAAACCTATTGAGCTAAAGGACAGCGCCGGGTTCTCAGTGGTAAAAATATCAACTGGCAAGTCACTAGCTTTTTTAACTCCAAAAGCCTTATGATTTCTTTCGCCTTTTACAAACGTCGCCACAGTTCGTTGATACCGTCCTAGATTTTCAAGATCAGGCCACTGTGAACAGGCAATGCATTTAACCTTAGTTGATTTCACCTCCAAAGGAACAGCAACAACAATAGCGTCATAAACATATCCCGAGTCAAAATCATCAGTTCTGAGTCTGTATTTTATCGTTTTATCATCCACAATTTTCTTGTCAATTTCTTTCACATACTTGTTAAGCTTCACATTTGCACCAGATTTCTCTAATATCCTTTTGCAAACTTGGTAGTTACCCCCTTCAACAGCCCAGAGTTTAGCAGACTGTGCACCAGCTAACGAAACGAAACCTAGAGGAAAAATAAGAATTTTAATATTCTCTCGTAGAATTTCTGTCAAGTTTCATCAGTGAATTTACAAATTAATGTAAAAATGACATTTTTCTCAATCTAGCTTAAGTTGCATTATGCAGACAAGACATTGTAGGAGAACTGAGAGCAACATTAAGACTTCATCTAGAAATTGATCTCCCAAACCTTAGCTTGCCTAATAATAAACTTGACAGTCGTGGGCCTTATTGCTTATCATTCGAGAAAATTAATGCTTAATAACCACGCTGCAAAGCTACATTATAGTTAGGGAAATGCCACATCTCTTTTGGACACGATTACCTGGAAGGTAAGTGGCACCATGGGGGCAACTGGGACAACCACAATGCCTAGCGGAGAAGAGAGGGAAGATGTGTCTGCTTAAAAAGGGCAATTAGTGAAGGATAAGGTTTTGTGAAAAAAACGTGCCATCAACTAGGACCTTTGTAAAATATATTTAGAAGAAAAAATTCGTCAATTTGAAACTCTCACTTGAAATAAGAACCATGGTGAGCGTTTCAAGCTCTTTTCCTTCTGCTTTGTCATTTAGAAGCATCTTTTCCACTTTGTTTTCTATATCGACAATGACTGGCATTGCCACATCAAACTTCGAAATGCCAGAAGAATGAAAATTTAATTTTTTAAGCACCACTCGACTCACCAGTGAAAGCATTGACACCCATATCCTGGCCGTAATTGACTCGGGTTACAGCTGTTGCTAACTCATCGATTATTTTTTTGAAACTTTGGCATCCTCCAAAATTTGACGCGTGCTTTTCTGGGTCATCGTTACAAATTCATTCCCTCCGAGGGCTTCTAGAAACTCTCTTACTGTTTCAAATGACTTTCCTTCATCTTGGAGCTTGTAAATAGCAAGAAACTTGTTCATGGTGTCTTCTGTGAAGCGGTTCATTTTTATTAGGCCCATTCCGTACCTCCAGAAAAGTTTTAATTTGTCCAAAAAGGAATAGCCAGTGCTAAGATATACAAACTCATTGCCGTCGTATATTCCCATCGAAGACGTAAGATCGTTTTTAAGTTTCTTGAGATCTGCAGCGAAAGAATTATAATCACATTGAAATGTTATTGAATCGCGAGAAAAGATCTATTAATGATTCTAGGTTGAGTACAGCAAATCAAGGAACCCCATTCCAATTAAAGGAGAAAACTTGACTGGCAAAAAAGAAACCGAGACACAAGAATATGAGCAAAACCGGCAATAGCTATTGTGCTCAAGGGAGATGCTAAGGACCCAATTGCCGACAATAAGGGTGAACCATCCTTTCTTTGTCGACGAGTCTGAAAATTGCCGAAGTATCACCCATGCATAACAAAAACTCGTCATTCTTGCCATGAAATTCTTTGCCAAGGGGGTGTCACACCCCGCGCCTAGAGACGGCTCTGAATACGTGTTTTACCACTTGGGATTTTCTATGTAAGAATTAAACAACTTCTCTTCTTGCATAGAATTTCCAGAAATGTAACAATTTATTTATTATATTTCACCTTTTTATTTAAGTTCATACTTTTGTCTTTATCATATTTAATTCTATTTATCTTATAACATATACTTTTTGTTTACTTTATTGTACTTTATCATCATTTTAATTTGCTTTATTGAGCAAACGAAATAAATAATATGAAATAAAAATACAGAGTAATCTGAATCCAAAACCCTAGACAAGAATTAAAATACTTTTATGGTAAACCACAGAATAAAGGATTACAGATGAAGTTTCAATACAAAGTTCACAAGATTGGGCCTCATTCATCAACTCAAATGTTTTACATAAGGGCAGGTCAAACAAATTGATTGTCAAATATAATAGCGAATCCTGGGTCAGACAGAATAATTCATTAATTCAAAATTTCTTCAAAGCCCTATGAATCAGATGAGAAACTGAAATCTTCCCAATCTGCACAGCGTTTGGTGTTAAGTACATCAAATGTGGTTTTAAAACCCAGCATGTCAAAATAATACAATCTATGATTTCAAGTCAGTGAAAGAAACTGAAGTAAAGCTCATCAGAATTAGACACCACCACCAAGATCAAAATATGATCTCTTTTTATGGGGATTAAACTATAATTTTTCATTCCATTCAAAACGCTTCAGAAAACATCTTGTCCATGACAGGTAAAGAAAGATATCTGTGGCTGATTAGATCAGCAAAAACAGTGTGGTTTAGAGTGATACTGTAGCTTTATATCAAGAACAGTTTTTAAAATATTTTAATGGATTATGAAGACAATAAGCTATTTATACACTGACAAAGTTATATTATTAGAGTAATTGAATTTCAACTGCTAGTTCAATTTAAGTTTCTTAACTTCTGTAATATTAAGCCAGTTAAATTCACTAACATTTGACAGTATTTCATGGAAAGAAATTCTTCCCACCAAGCATTTCCAAGCCATGGATTGATAAGAAATGAAGCAGAGAAACACTTAGAATGATATTTGTGTGTCACGGTACCCAGGCACTGTGGAGCAGGGGGGCTGGGGAGGCGTTTTATACGGTTTTAGCCCCCCACATTTTTTAGACCCCTCGCTTTTCTCAACGCTCCGCTGTGCCTGGGTACGCTGGATATCAAAACAATGGAAAGAGTCTGCTAGGGTTTTGGTTATTGGAAACTATAGGCCTTGCCATGTAGCCTCTTTTCGATTGAACAAGCTTTCTGGCATACAAATCAGGGTAAAAATCAGAAGAAATGAAAAAAAACAAGCTGACCTCTAAAAACAACATTCTATGAGTAAGTTTTATTGTTAAAGATTTGAATTTGAAGACAAGGACATGGAATTTTAGTTATACATTGCTGAACTCATCAACAAATCATAATTGCATCAAAGAAAAAAATAGAAGAAAGGTTGCTTAGGTGGAGCTGAGGGGGTTTAATAATTTGAAAAATGTTCTTAAAACCTACGGTCAATCATTTTGCATTTGGCTTTCAGCATGCTTAGCAACCCCCCCCCCCCATTTTAAGCCCAGCCAATCAATAATATTGATTTCCAGCTTTTGCGGCTTATTCTTATTCATATGTGACCAGGCAGGGCTCAGTGGTTGGGTTCTGGCCTCCAAGGATCTGGAGTTGGTCTCTCTAGCTCTCTGTGATCTAGGATCTAGGAGAGTCCCCAGCTCTCTGTTATTCTAAAAATAGGAATCACATCAAGAGAAATGACAAGGACGCTACTTGAAGCAGCATCTCTCAGTCTCTTAAAAACTTCCTTTGGAAGCTAGGTAGTAACAGCAAAAAGTCTTGAGTTACTGTCATCCTTTAATCAGTGCCTTGTTGGCTTACTGATATGAGACATTTTTGGGTGGGGGCTAATTTGAGGGCAGGGGCTTATAGAAATTATCTTAAAATTTCCAAACAGGCTGGTTAGCAATTTTACTTTAATTTTGACAACAAAATTATCACACAAATGATTTGTTTTTTTAGTTTTTCAGTTCAATATCTGGGATATCATGGATGTAAACATAGAGACATTGGTACGGACATTGCTGCAGCCACCCTAATCAGGCAAAATCTATCGCATTTCAGGCTCCATTCAGACAGTTCTATCTCAATGAAGCAGCAATTTTCAGGCAAGATCCTTACATGCTTTTAGAATACCCCCTACCCAATTTTGAACAGATTAAACTGATTTTGCGTATTTAGAGGTATTTAGTGGTATTCTTATGGATTTTTGATGAGGTCACACTCCACACTCTATTTGAAGTGGGGGCTTATTTGGGGTAGGGGCTTATTCAGAGGCAGGGGGGGGGGTAATTCAAGGGTGGGGGTTTATGAGGATGTATACAAGGAAGAGGTCAATTCAAGGTTTCACAGTACTCATAGAAGCTTTTAACCCTTCTTAAAGCAATGATAAAACTTACAGTTCTGATATAATACCTTATAGACTCATAGTTCAGTGTAATTTTTACCTATCTTTCACTGGTTAGATTTAAAAAAAAATATTATGCGATATAAAACGCTTAAAAAATGAAGCTTCAAAATTGAAAAAAGACAAGGAGGGAAGTAGAGAGTTCAATAAGGCAGGGAAGCCCACTGGAAGTATATTGCTACTCAGGAAGATATAGAAATTAAATTCCTCGTGTTGTTTAATCAAAACAAAAGCAAGTTCTCGAAGATTTATCTTCCTTTGTTAATATATTATTCACGAGTTTTATTCACGGAATTTCTAACTCACTTTCAGGTACTTTTGTCTTCTCTGTGTGGGTATGCAAATTTTGATAACTCTTGAATAAGTAATACGATATTTACCGTACAGAACACATCTGTGGGTGAATTTGTAAATACAAAAATTGTGGCTTTCTCTCTAATAAAATACTTCTATTTCTTTTGTACAACTTGATTATTCTGTTGTAGGTTTTCAAACATTGGAAATGGTTGAAAATTGCTAAACAACTTTATTATAAATCCTGCTATTGTTTTGCCGAAGAACTTCCTCTGCTTTGTTTTTCCCATTAGCAATAGTGGTCAAGTACTGCATACCTGAAAAATCATCTTTGAATATATAATTTAAAGTATTCATATTATTTGTGCAATAGAAAATCTCGTAGAAATATTGCGTAAGCAATTTAGACATTTTTCAGTTTCCTTGACTTTGAATTCGAACGGGAAATATTTTCCATATTTAAATCGGCTATCATTTCGTTATACAAAGAGACCTCCAAGATATGCCGAACCATAAAGATAGATAAAAAATTAAATGATGTATACCAGATAGTTTTGTAAATTCTTGCATGTACTTGTTACTTTCATGGATAACTGAAGCTCCCGCCTCAAAAGAGTTCCCACCGATCTCCACAACAGCCATCCTTCCACCGACTCTGTTTCCTTTCTCGAAGACATCTATGGTTACGTTTGGACCAAGACCTTGCCTAACAAAATAAGCCACCGAGGTACCACCAATTCCAGCACCAATAATTGCAACCTTGGGAAATTCTTCATTGTGTGCGAAGAGTGGGCGTGTATTTAGGCCATTTACCAATCCAACACTCACTGCAAGTCCTGCTAGTCCTATGATGGAACCAAGTGGCCTCAACACTCGAAAAAACATCCTCCTTCTTTAATTGATGTTTAAAATTCGAGTAAACAGCTACAGAAACAATTGGTTATTTAAGTAGGGAATAAGCCGGGATTAGGCTTCTTGGCGAGCAACTCATCACGGGACCGACAGCCTTCACAAACATGTGATGATAACCACAAAACAATGAAACAGAAAAGCGATCGAAACATGTTCCCACATGGTAGCTGTCATAGCAACAGGGCCAGGGAATCGCAGAAAAACGACTCCACAAGAAGGCAACCAAAACATCCAAAATCATTTCTCTCTATAGTTCTGTTCTTAATTTTATGTAAGAAAAATTTTCTCTCTCTTTACACAAGTAAACAATAATCACTGACAAAAATTACTTGAAACACCCAACACTTCACGCTGTATTTTCTGTTCTGCTTTTGTTTTCCATAATACTACTAACTACTACTTCCACCCCCTCCTCCCCCCCCCAGAACAATGTCGATAGTTTAAAAAGAGCTTGGATGATGACCGACAAAGCTCAGTGTTGAGATATGACGCGTAGCCATTAAAAATATCATTCAACAAGCCTTTGAAAACTACTTGACTTACAACTGTAAAAACAACTTGCGGATAGCAATATAGATATTCTTTAGACAAACCATTAAGGAACTACAATGGTCCCCACCATTTCTTATCCCTTTCTCAAACACAAGAAAAAAGCTTTAAATAACACGCGTGTGGCATTGGTTTTGGTTAACCAATAATAACGACAATGTACACTGTCCATTGTCTTTATTATTGGTTAAATCGAAATTTTCGATTTAATTTTATACAAAGAGGCAACAAACTGTATCTGGGTGAGACATGTGTGCCGGAATGTCATTGCAACATCTGGTCTGGCCTTAGCCTCGTATTACGTCTTAACACCCGGAAGACTGGTGCTTACAATGTAAAAACAACCACCCTTTCCTCGTTGTAAAAAAAATGGTCAAAGTCCAGTATACGTTAACCGTTGGAACAAACGGAATTTTAATAAAACTTTTTGTTATTGATAACATAGAAATTGATAACATAGAGACAAAAGACGCCAGAAAAAGGCTGTGCTAAATCAAAACTTTATACTTGGGTATCTTGACATAATATTCATATTGGTCATACGTATATACTGAGAAATGAAACATATTTAGTTACACATAACTATTGATGAATGTGTAATGACGTAACGTATTGTGGACCCAGGGACGATCTATTGTTTTGTTATAGGGGGCGTATTCAGTTTTGGTTGTAAGCTCGTGTAAGAAAGTTGATGCTTTTGCTGTGGTTTAAAGATTTATTAAAGATTTGTTTGTAAAAGGAAAAGATCTAGAAAACGGAAAGTTTGTTGTGTTTATCTATCACTTCATGACAAATGTCAAGATACATCGCATGTTAAGATACAAAGCATGTTCAATTACATCGATTCGATGCATTGGAAGCATTTGTCCAGCTCTAGTCCTTACAGTGGTATGTTTCAGCCTACCCTGCTACCCTGAAAGAAAAACCTGACAGAGGTATCAGAAGAGCAGTGGATACCAATACTTTGCATTAGGGAAGAGCTTACTCCAATTGTTATTCGAGAGCTCTATCTATTTACTTTGACACACAACTGTTGAGGAAAACCCCTAAACAAGCATGGGGTAGCACCTGTGTATATTCCAGAATGGGGGCAATTTTGGGTGATTTCCTGTGTCTAATAGAAGCCAAAACAAAGAGAAGTATCACCTTTTCATAAACAGCATAATTAGACATAAAAAGTGTGACAAGGACAATGTGGCAGTGAACTAAATAAGTGACTAACATGGATTGTTGGCCATTTGTGTTCATGGTGATATATCCAAAATGATAATCTAAACTTTATTTATGTCTACATGTAATTTTGTCATGCGGGCGTACTAGCACGAAGGATTGTTATGTCAATTTATCATTTTTCAATCTATGTTCAACTATAACTCGATGTATCACATGCATAAACCACACAATGAATTATATATGCAACGGTTAAATTTACTTGCGTCCGTTTACCTTTTAGTGACAAATTTGGCAGGCTATTGTAAAGAAGTATATGATAATTAAATTACCATCAGATACCCGACATGCTCAAAGCAAGAACCTTTTACACGAGGGCATTTAACGTGAACGGGATAACACATTTTGGTGAAAAATCACCAGAAACACTTGCAGATTAGAAATATCTGTTTAAACTATCATCAATTCTACCATGGAAATGAACAATTTTCTATGAAAAAAATGGTCCTCTGTGCAAGAAATGATTATCTGCAGGCATTCCTGTGCTTCATTGCCATCTTACTGATTACGATAGGGCTTGCGGTAAAACTCGGGTACAATTTTGTCGAAAAGATTATCCTTTAGCCATCATAATTCCCCGTTATCATATGAGATCTTTAAAAATACATTACCATATCTTTCTACAGTTATGACGAGACAACGAGATAAAATCAACTTTAATTTAAGAGATAAAAAAATAAAAATAAACAAATAAAACTCTTTGTTTTTGATGTTTCAATGTAAGCGTGCATATAGGTTATTGTTTTAAAGATACCTAACGTTATCACAAATATGGAGGACTGTTTAGAAACGACCAGTATCTATGAATGAGATGGAATGCGAAAGCAGCATATACAGTAATTAGTATATTTCTGTATATCACAAATCTTATTTACTAGAGTTAAATAAGGGAATCTCTGTAAGTAGCTAGAAATTTGGATGTTAGAAGTTTAACGAGAAAATCTTTTTGAAATGTAACAATTTATACAACATAGACCATCTATTGCATTTTATTAGACTTTGGAGAAACTTAGAGCTGGTATGTATGATTTGAAGCAACGATGTCATAAAGCAGTTGGCAAGACCCAGTTGGATCTTTAGCCCTGCACAATGTCAACAGAAAAAGTAGGCAAAGGGTGCTGTATTTTTTCTCCAATTGATGAAGACGAAAATCTCTATTGAGTTTTCAAGATCACTCAAAAAAAAGCTCCTTCATAGCATCCCAAAAGTCCAACAAATCGAGAACATCGCTGAACCCAAAATCGGCTCGCAGTGAATTGAAAAAGAACTCTGAGGCCTGAAACAATATTATTTTTGTTATTAGACAAATTCTAATAGTGAGAAAAGCATATTCTAAAAGTAACAAAACTCCACAAAAAAGGAAAAAACGTTACATCCCAAAAAGATATACACCAAATCAACTTTAGATTAATGATACATAAAAAGGAGAAACAATTCTGAAGTAAAGAGCATTATGAAGAATTAAGAACATCAACAAGAATAAACGAATGGGCACAGACTTGATCGAAATGCCTTTTGTACGCAAGATTATAGGCAAGAACTAGCAACAATGCCATACATACCTCTTCATGCAGTTGATACAACGAAGCTAATCTTTTGCCTGTTAGCTTTTCTAAAATCGATTCCTTTATCGACCTGAAAAGGAGAAAATCAGTTAAATAGAATTCAAAAGCAAGGTTCAATATTATATGCGATCAAGATCTTAATAATAAACAAATAATGCTGTTTAAAAAAGGAAAGAAATAACAGAATTTGACATCCGTGAACAGTACTCTGCCTTGAGACAATTTAATATTTAATCAATAGTAGAAAGATCAACAAGAGTATTCAAGAATGCTAACAATTATTTTCAAAAGCCAAATTACTAATTAAAAGAAGTGCACAGGAAAGATAATTCCCACATAAAAGGTAATCTCCTTGACAAACAACCCACCTTTCTAGCTGACATTTCTGCTTAATCCAGTCTCTTACATCTGAATTGCTCCATTTTGAGATTTCTTTCGTTCGACTGGTCTTGCTTTCTTTTGGTATGGCTAAGTAAAAAGTATATATAGCAATAAAAAAGGCCATTCCCTTAATACCTAGAGCATAGGCCCAAAGGAAAAGCTTTTGAAATAGTTTGATGTTATTGAAAGCTTTTGGCGTTTAAAAAAAATCAGAACCAGCAACTTTTGGGTTCATAGTTCATGAAATAACATCCTCAACACAAAGGCAATTTTGATACGCTATACATTGATACTTCCTGAAAAAGTAACCAACAGTAAAATGTGTAATAAGTTAGACAAAAACAGAGTGCATAAAAAGGACCCTTAGTATAGTATCAGCCACACCTCCTAAATCAACTTCATCTACAGGCTTAATAATGTCATCGCCATATTTCCCTTTGCCACCAACTTCCTTCACTAGCTTCTGCACGGAGTCCTTGAAATTAGCCTGGTTCGCAAAGTCGATCCAAAATTTGGCACCGACTATGAACCCGAGCCAGCCATCTGGTTGGTAATTTTTCTCTAGCATCAGCGGAACAATGGATTTGCGTAACTGGAAGGCATACTCAGCTTCTACCAAATAGAAAACATAAAAGTAGAAGGCAGAATTTGCAATATAATACAACAAGCACCTAAACACGAACATGGCTGGTATTGGCACTGTAAAAACCTAGCTTGCTTTGAGAAAGTTTACTCTGACTACATATCGCTCAATGACAACACAACGAACTTTATGACAAGTAGCTCATCAGAAAAACATATATACAGTAAAATCACAAAGATGTTTTGAGCTACAAAATTAGAATGCAAAACAAACAGCCTCTGAAAATTATATGGCAAAAAGTAGGAGGGTGACATACCATTAGACTAAGTAAATAGAACTAAAAACGATTTTTCGTACCTGATCTGCAGTTCGGACTATCCTTGTATTTTCTTGAAACACCAACTAAAATAACAGCAGAATTCTCGACAGCAGATGCCATCGCTTGCAATGTGGATCCACCAATCTTATCTACATCCATCCAGACATTGTATCCAGCCTCCTTCAGTGCGTCCCTTAGCTTCAGCATCAGTGGCTGCTGGCCCCAGTTGTAGCTTATCATAACATGTTTGCTAGAGTTGTTGTTATTGCCAGATGCGTCTGCAAATTAATGTATTGTTTAGATCGGAATAATGTAGAGTCTAAATATCTAAATACTATTGTAATGAAACGCAGGTCTAATCATTCAAGAATTGAAATAAGCCTTGTTATAAAGGACCCATGTAGCTTCGGGCCTCGATCAAAAACTGCAGCAAACCATTCACAGAAAAATCAAACAGGTCACCAATAACAGTCTTCGATTAATTTTTTATATTATAAACATGACTTCACACACACGAACATGTCAGTTTTAGAATTCTATTACATTAAATGCGGTGATCAGGAAAAAAGTTTTTATTGATGATAGCACAACATATATGCAAATATGATTAGGTTTAATATTATTGAAGGAAATTGATAAACAAAAGTCAAAAATAAACTGCATATATGTACTGTGAAGGTACTTTGAAGTTATATTATTCAATAACTGGGACGGAAAATAGTCGGCTCACCTTGAGTAGTTTCAGCCATGGCCTCCATATGTTTATCTTTCATTTTGACTTCCCACATAATTCCAGTTACCGCTTTTCGCACGTCCTTGTTTTCACAATCCTTAAGAGTTAACAAAACATAAAAGAAAAAAACCATGGAAGAAGATATTAATCAGCCTTTTAAAACGAAAGCATAAGTTTTTTTGGGTGAACATGAAACTACATTTTCACCGTTATTGAAGTGAATGAGCTGAAGAAATGATAAAAATGTATCAGAATGAAGAAAGTGTTTTATAGGATCCTAACATAAAAGATAGTTCAGAGTATATTTTCGTTATTAGAATGTGTAGAATTAATCTAAAAACATCGAGATTTTGATAAGAAAAGGTAGGACATAGGCAGAGAACTATTGGAGTCGCACGCTTGACTTTTTTCCATAGGTCTTTTCTTTTTTTACTCTGATGAAGCCCTGTATGCCGGGGCGAAATATTAGTATATTCTTTAAATTTAATTTATTTTGAAAATTTTATCCCGTGACATTGGATTCTCGTCGTCGTATTGTTTTGTACCTGTATATCTTTCATAACAACACTCATTGCAAGATTCACAGAATCCGGCGGACAGCCTGTTCTGCGGTTCTTCCTTCTCACACACTTTTTTTAATTGATGCCGTAAAATTCTACGTTTCCATTCCTGCCTTAATCAATTCAAACTTTGGTGGATACCAGTTTTCATACATTGTTGGCCCTAATTTAGAGCCAAAATACCCCAAGGCCATAGAAAAGTGCGTAAAGAACTTCCAACAAACATCAGCATGCTTTGGGAATGCATTTTTCCTAAAATTGCTTGATCTGATAATATCATCAGGGTTGGCTTGGTATCAAAGGGAGACCTATTGGGTCTTTTTTGTTATCAGAGATAGACCCAAGGGAAAAATATTGCACAACTGTGACACAATACAACGTTTTTTTATGGAGTCCAAGGAACTGTCGATTTGCATTTACAATCTAATTTTAAGATCTCATTCTCGACAATATATTCTCTTCAGTAAATCATAGCATCATCATAGCATCATCTCTACCTTGTAAGCCAGCATTGAGTCAAAGGCACCATCCATACTCATAAATCTTTGTTGATTTTCTTTTTCAAAAAGCAACATCCAAATCGCGTTGGCAGCAGCAATACGTTGCTCTTGAGTCTTTGCAAGATTGAACATTTGCACCAAAGCATCAAGACCCTTTCTGCTTCCAATCTAAATAGTGCAAGATAAGAAGCACAAATTAGTATGTACCTAAAGAGATGTTTGGTACATGAGCAAACGAATCAGATATCTTAGAAAATGGAAGTTTGACAGAACAATCACAGGTAGTTATTCCATTAATGTTCCAGCTCGTAAGGTGAGAGCTTTTTTTGAAGGAGAGGCTTTGGTACATTTTAACTGTTCCACAGCTATCTAGAGCTCTTATCATTAGACTCAAACGGCTTTTACCAGATTCTTTGAGTTAGCTTTGTAAAGAAAGTTGTTTGTTGATCATCGCCCTTGACCAAGGAATTAAATTTTAGAATAAAAACGAGTTTTGCTCCTTTATTAAACTATTAGTGTATCTGTATCTAAAGACTGGAATCGGAGGAATGTATCAGTTCTGCATAGAGAGTTATAGCTTAATTATTATGATAGAGAATGAAAACAATCTATCTTCTTAATTTGGGTCCTAAGGAATTTCATTTCTTTTTCATGCACTGTAAAAGCTGGGCCTCTTATTGGATTATTTCTCACATAAAATCATCACCATTTTCTTGTTTTCATCATTGACAGCAACTCTCTCAAGAGCATTTGCAAGCTCTAAACTACTAAAACCTCTGTATCTTCGTGCTTTCATTTTGCATGCATGATGGAGGTAGTCAATGATTTTAACAATTGTTTCTGAAAAAGATTTGTGCACAATGAAAGGGCAAATCTATTAGTAATGGCACAGAGCACATGAATTACTGAATGCGTGCCTGCAACAAAAGATTTGCCATGACGGAACATTCAAGTTCATGATATTTTTTATGCTTACAGGACAAATATTTCAATATAAATGCTTAGATTATAACATTATGTAGAAATATGACAAAGTAAACCTGTTGCTTAATAAATCCCACAATTTGTATAAAGGTATAAAGTGGAAAGGGTTTTTAAGATTAGATAAAAAACATCGAGCATTGCATGAAATACCATAAACATAGTATACTGAAGCAGTTTTCGTCCGACACTCTTCAGAGTATGAATGCAAGATAATGACCAAAAATAAGCTGAAAATTTATATCCAGATGTGGATCGAAAGTAATGTGAGAGGAAGAAAGGTGAGTTTTATTGGTTATCTTGTTTTACAAATCAGCAGCCACTAACCTCTCAACTAATTGAAGAACCCAAGAGAGAAAATGACTCTTTCTGTCTATACTAGTCAGGGTCCTTTGTTTTCATGTAAATGTCTGAAGAGTGTCAGAAGAAAAGTTCTTGAGTATCTTGTGTTTCTGGTATTTTGGGAAATATTCAAGTTTTACAGTATCAAGAACTTCTTTGGCTATAAAAACAAACTAAGGAGTAAGAGCAAACTTAGGAACTGACCAGCAAAGCAGCAACAAAAGCTTGTAAAATTTTAGGGTGTCCTTGTTTCAATTTTAAAGGAAAAGAATCTTCAGTTACTTATAACCATTGTCTAAAAGCACAAGATTAAAAAAATGCTGTGGCAATAGCTGTTAAATTGCAACTGAATCTAATTCAGGCTATATGGAAAAAGTTGCTGTTTTATTTTTCAATTTTTTTCAAATGCTGAAACTCACCACTTTGAGCCATGATCAAGTGATTGTCTTTCTCTTCAACCATGTATGAAAGAGCAAATAAAACTGTCATGTTTTGCCTTTCGTTTGGGGTGTTGAAAATTCCAAGCAGTTTTTCAATACAGTTGAATTTTTTTAGGTATACCAAATTCGTAGTTGTCATACTGCAGTTATACAATACACCAACCCCCTCCTGCATCAAAACTCCACGTGCAGTCTACAAAGATACAAGGACAAAGGTCAGAAGAACAGAAGGGGGCATTGGTCACAGGGTTCTTGAAAAGGGACCAACAAGCAAAAGGTAATTCAACTTCAGAAAATCAAGATGACAAGATTTGAACTAAGGCAAATTAACAACTTAAGAAGCATGAAGGCTCATGTTGTCATGTTGACAACAGTGATCATGTTGTACTATGGTAACCAACCTTAATTTCGAAATACACAGCCATTTGTGAGATTCAAAATATTAAAATACTTAAAACCTTGAAGCAGAAGACAGATAGAGAAGTTTGTGATATGGAAAGGACAGCTTTGGTCACATTTCCGACCAAATGAACATTTTGACAACAGTAACAATAAAAAACGATACATTGACAGGGAAAACCCATCAATATTTACCTACTGTTTTGATGATAAAAGCAGCTTGTGTTCTTTTATGCAAATTCATTTTATCATATAAAACAGTGTACTACCTCTGCTAATGAGCCAGGTCTAGCAAATTTATTTTATTTACAGTGGGTCTAGTGAGACTTTAATGCTTAAAGGCATTGTCAAGAATTTGCTTGGTGACCAAAGACAGTCCATGGACACAAACTTTTGCCAAATGTTTATATCAAGTGGCAAAGGAAAAGCATTTACAAATCACCTAAGAATTTACCCCTTAAAATATCTAGCAGTTTTGTTTCTAGATGTACTTTCAATACCTATGAATAACTCCATGCTCACTTTAATCCCTGGATAACTTCCTGAGCTTACAGCTGGGAGAAGCTCTTGAAGGTAGTATTCTATAAGGCCTTCCTCTCCTGCCTTGATACGAGAGCCTTCGTGCAAATCTGTTGTTCCAATTGCCATGCCATTCAGCTTCATCCATACTTGAGCAACAATACCTTCAGGTGGATCATAGTCAGATAAAGCTGCCTTTGTAGCAGTGGAATTGAATACCTTGAAAAAAATTTTCCACATGATAATTTCTTTAACATTAGACTGTCTAGCTGGACAAAATGTTTATGATACTTTTTCGAAAGCTTTCTGCAATAAACTGGCCTAAGTCAGAAGACAATAAATCTTGATTATCAAGCATTTATCCCCATTGATATTCCGCATATTTTTTTCATTTTTCATAATTAAACTTACATTTAATAGAAGGTTTGGGGGTGCATTGAATTTTAATTTTGCTGACTTGAGTCACTTATCTCCAAAATTCAGACATGGATTTTCTGAGGCATCTAGCAGTCTCCCCTGCCCCTATTCATGTTCCATTCTGCACATTATGGCAGTTCTGGATGAGATCTTGCACACACATAGGTATCTTCAGCCACATTTTCTGTATGCAAACTTCCATTCACTATTCATATGATGTACAGAAAGTAATTTTCTAACAGTGCAATAATATGCAACTCAAATTTTAGAGTGCATCACTACACTGACCTTGCACCACCATACATCCTTGTAAATTCTGAAGACTGGCTTAAGTTTTCAATCAGTAGGATATTTAACAGACTATTATTGTACCATGGTAACCAACTTTGATTTTGAAATACACAGCCATTAGAGAAGCTTGTGAGTTGTGAGCTTTGGTCACATTTCCAACCCAAAGAAACTCGAATTGTTTGTTCAGTTATTCTCACTAAATTGTATGTAGTGGATTTAATATGAAATGAACTGAACTGAACTGAAAACTGAACTGATAATAGCTTTAAAAGCAAAGATGAACATATATTAATATGTACATAATTATGAATATTCTGTTATACCTCATCTGGATTTTGTGTCTGCAAGAAGACATTAGGCCAAGCAGCATGAAGTCTTTTCATTGCATTGACAATGCATGTAAAAACACCTTCCTTTACAAGATCATCAAGGAACGTTTTACAAAAATTTCGTCCAATGGCATATCTTGCATTAAAATAGAGCTGCCTTAACTTTTTTGCATTTTTAAAATTTGCAGGCATATCATCAAGATTCATGGACATTCCATTTATCACTTTTATAATCTTTATCCCTTCTGTTACAAAGTCTTCAGCCTTCAAGGCATCTATCTTTTCTCTGGTATAACCCTTTTTAAACGATTTCGTTATATCAATGGGTTCGTCTGATTCTCTGCCAAGAAGTTCATCTTCCTCGTCATCATGTATAAATTTTTCATCTTTATTCTCTTCCATATTTCCTTTTCTTGTAGATAGGTCCTTGCTGTTGCTATCCTGTGGTTCTGCACCCTCTGGTGTGGCCCTTATAATATCTCTATTTCCTGTAGATGCATTCCCTTGTTGTTCGCTATGAATCAACAATTTCTTACTCCCACCACATCCCATCTATTACGGTTTATTCTTGTTTGAAATCTTCCAAAACAGCTGCAAGAAATCAACAAAGAACGATCTGAGAGTAGTCAACACTTCGTCTGGGGTGCGCAACCGCAACAAAAACATGAAAGAAATGAAGTGAATGGAAGGGCACGTTTTTCTCCCGAAGTTGACATCTCTATGGTTTCCAATCACTAGAGACATTTCCTGTTCTGGGTGGAGGGGCTTAGCAGGCACCGCGCAGTCATTGGCCTAGCAGGGGCTATAGCCTCCTCCATACTCCTATGAAGCAGCAGTTCTTCTTGACTGGGAACCTCCTTTGTTCATTTTCTAGGTGTTATATCTTGTTTAATGATATGATGTTACCCTTTTTATAGTTGTCGATATTTTCTCTGGAAAGGAAAATCAGAGGCAATGCATTTCAAATTTTTTAATCAGTATGTCCCATAGAATATGGCTCGTATAGAAACTCTCTTTTAGATTTTAAAAGTACCCAAAATAAGATGGAGGAGAAGAAAAAAGAAACAAGGTTTGATAAAAATCAGTAACATGAAATATCAACAGAAAAACTATCAACTAAAATAAAAGAAAATGCAGGTTGTACAGTCAAGAACAAATCTGTCCATTCTTTATTTCCAGTGGTGCCGTCGAGGGGGCTCAGGGGGCTTAGCCCCCTTGTTAAATTTCGGAGAGATTTTTGGGGGCTCAGCACCCCTTAACAAGTGAGTTCATATTTTGTTGGACGAATTCTACGGTGGCCCACAGGTGCCACGGCAAAACTTACTTTCTCACGGCAAAACTTTCTTTTTCACGGCAAAACTTTCTTTCTCACGGCAAAACTTACTTTCTCACGGCAAAACTTACTTTCTCACGGCAAAAATTTCTTTCTCACGGCAAAACTTTCTTTCTCACGGCAAAACTTTCTTTACGTGTTGTTGTGTACGTGATACTTAGATCTAATCAATGCTTTAGACGTTTTAAACTTCGCAGAATTTGCGAATACCTACATCTTCTCTTGATAATTCTCGCAGAAAGACAGCCCAGAAATGTTCTAAAATTTATCTAGGTTGGGCTAGGCTAGGCCTATATGCCTATCTCAACGAAACAGTACCGCATGCAAGGTCTTTGATTCCTTTGTTTTGAAAGCAGTGAAAAAGATCAATTCGTTGAAAATTGGCGTGCACATAAAATTCGTGCAAAAAAATCACGTACGTGCACTTGGCACGCTCGATTGTGGCTTGTAAAAAACCTATAAATTGGGTATTGTGTTTAATATCATATCATATCGTATTACACACAGGGTGGGTTGATGGCTAGGTACTTAATTTTTCGAATAATAGTAATAACAATGAATAAAGAAATGAAATAATAAGCATGGGCATAATATAAGGGGAGAAAAAAATCGAAGTGGTTGCCCAACAAACAACATCCATTGTTTATGAAAATTTTGCCTGACTGAATCATGGTAGATTTCTGCCTGATTATCGCTTTTTAGGAAACTTTTCAGTGTTGAGAAACTACAGTTGCCGCTACAGCCCCCTTATCTCCCCAGACCCTTGTCTACTACGCCTATGTAAGAAAAGCAAAAGGAACAAAGCAATACGACGACGAGAATCCAATGTCACGTACGGTGGCCCACAGGTGCCACGGCAAAACTTTCAAATGTGTTAAGTAATAAATTAAATTCAAAGAAAGTTTTGCCGTGAGAAGTAAAGTTTTGCCGTGAAAAAAGAAAGTTTTGCCGTGAGAAAGTAAGTTTTGCCGTAAGAAAGTAAGTTTTGCCGTGAGAAAGAAAGTTTTGCCGTGGCACCTGTGGGCCACCGTAGAATTCTCTGATGGCAACCCTGTAATATACTATAGGTTCCTCATTAATAAGCAGTCTTATCAATCTTTTATTTCTACGCACAACAGAGAGTCTTTGACACAAATGCAAGTGCATTGGGTGTGGTAAGGGTGTGGTCATGAGTGGGTTCTCTTGAATTTGCCTACCACACATCCCCTTTTTAACTTTTTAGGACAGCACTCCTGTTCATATCTCATATCCTCAAAAAATTTCTTTTCATCGGTTTCTTTTCCTTCAATAGCGATTTATCTTTTGTTCGGGGGACGAAACCTCGAGACCTTTGTTTCAAATCAGTGCCGCAGGTTCATGGTACACACGCCCACACTAATGTGGGGCATGGCCACGAAAAGTGGGGGGCATGGCTGCGGTTTCGCCGGCCCCGCAGTTTTGAACTGTTTGACAGGAATTTCCTCTTTTCAAGGCCAGGGAGCACCCAAATCTTTTACTTGTTCATGATGACGATGAAGAAAATAAATTGTATATTAGTTCGATTTTGTTCTTTAATTCTTATTATGCAAATTCTTTAACAAACTATGAACAAACCTCTAATTGTAAGTAGATAAAAAATGGTGATCGATCGAAGTGATTTCCCAATGGTAATATCGTTCTCGTTTTGCTGCACACGATCTATAAAATAAGAAAAAAAAATGTAAAAAAAGTAAAGTAATGATTATTTTTAGCGGTCCGTGCGCTTATTCGGTGTTTGTCGTTGCTATGTAGCTACTCCAAGCGAGGCATGCAATGGGCGGCATTTCTTGAACGATCAGGATCTCAAAATTCGCTTTGCACATTTTCGGAACAAGGCAATGAATTAAAGTAATATTAAGTCAATGGGATGTGGTGGAAGTAAAGCAGTAGTGAATCAAAGTCAGCGAATTCTTAATGCAATTGAAGACAATGGAAATAATGTAAGATTTAGTCCTGAGGGTGCAGAAGAGGGGCAGACAACTAGGCCTAGTCGAAGCAAGGATCAGTCTGATATAAGTGAAAAGGAGTTTAATTGGCAAGGGAAGATGGAGAATAAAAAAGATGACCAGCGCGTACAAGATGAAGAAGATGATGACAACGAGTCAGATGATTATATTGATATAACGAAACCAATTGATCGAAAGCACAGCCGAGAAAAGATAGATACGTTGAAAGTTATTGACTTTGTGATTGAGGGGCTACAGGCCATAAAGGAAATTAATGAAATTTCGATGGACCTCGATGATATGCCTGAAAGTTATCAAAAGGCAAAAAAATTGAGGCAGCTTTACTACAATGCAAGATACGTCGTTGGTCGAAATTTCTGTAAAACGTTCCTTGACGACCTTGTACAGAAAGGTGTTTTTGCATGCATTGCCAAAGCAATGAAAAGACTTCAGGCTGCATGGCCTAATGTCTTCTTGGAGACGCCAAATCCAGGGCAGGTAAAAATTGAGCTAGGAAATATTTGGAACTGTTTTGCTTTTCCCCCTCCGATTGTTTTTCTTCACAGAAGTCTACAGAAATGAAACAAATATAATATCAACTGTTCTCTCAAACATGAAATTGGCTTGGGGAAAGTCTAGAACGCCATATAATTAATAAAAGGTAGTTTGTACACAGAAAATGTACCTGAAATGACCGTGCACATTAGAGATTTTCATCTGCACGCATGGAGGATCTCCTTGTGCACGGCCATGGTGGTCATGAATATTTGCCAAACAAAGTAAAAAAAGTTTATACCATTTTACTGAAAATAATAATGTGTGTGATGCTTTATCAACAATGATAATTGTGATGAAGATTTTTGGGTTGGAGCACTTGGAGTTTGAATATAATGGTCCTGGTGCCTTCTTGGGTCAGAAAAAGTGTCAATTTATCACAATTAGAAAAACCCCTCTTTTGAATCTTAGCTTTGCCCCTAATTTATTATCCCATTTTCAACAAAGATCTTAATATTCTGGCTACAAATTCTTAACTCTTTTTATGGACATGGATTTTGGAAATGGTTCCTTGAGGTTCCTTTTTTATTTGGTCCCCCATTTTGGACAAAGTTAAACAGACTCAGTTTGGTGTCATTATCCCAGCCAGGTGAACATTTTGATCTCCCCAGATTTCTGGAAAAAATTACTCAGACTCTCCCCCTCCTGGACTGTATAACTTATATATTATTATTCAAAATGCAAGATAGAAGTTGGCAACCTTGATAAATACTTTAATTAGTGACTTCAGTGGCATTAGTGCTATGTTTAGGCCCCCTTTCCTTATCAGCCAAAGAGCTATGATGAGGACCTAGAACAGAAATTATAGTATCATGACCCAGTCTGCAGTTAATGGCATTTTGATGTGATCATGGGCACAGTCAGCTCAGCCATATTTTTAACATCCAGACCTCCATTCACCCATTTATTAAGAACGCAAACTGGTATTTTTTTTATAAAAGTGCTATTTTTAATTTGATCTGCCATTTCAAATTGCACTTTGAAATTTGCATTAACCTTGTGTGTAGTAAATTGTCATATGGAAATGCAATTTTTTTCTGAGGACTTCAACACTGCGGTTCAAACTGTTGCATTATCTGATTATGATCCACCTGAAGGTATTGTTGTTCAAATTTGGATGAAATTGAGTGGTACAGCTGTAGGGACCACCGATATGCATGAAGGTTGTCGCATCAAAGCAGGAGAGGAGGCCCTCATAGAATATTATCTTCAAGACTTTCTTCCAGCTGTAAGCTCACGAAGCTACCCAGGAGTTAAAGTGAGTATGATCTTATCTGCACAATATTGTAACACCACGATAGCCAGGAACCAATCTACTGGATAATTATAATCTCTAACAGCTCCCATCCAAAAGCCAAGAGCTTGTTCTTCTTAGGTTGTTATTTTGACCTTACTTTATACTCTATTTCTGTGTTCTCAATTGTTTAACATGTTGAATAGCTGCATTCTAGATCCAGATTACAGCTTAGTTACTTCATTGTTAGAGCAGACAGGCAATTTCTTTGTCATGCTTATTTTATTATACAGTAGGTACAAGTAAAGTAGGAATGACCTCACGAGTTTAAACATTCTATATCAGTTAATTTTTCACCATTAGCTGAAGTATCTAACTGGTTTTGTTTTTTAGACTGCACATGGTGTTATGATGCAAAATGGTGTTAGTGCCTTGTACAACTGTAGTACTTCATCTGCAAATGTGGCCTACTTTAAAAAATTCAATGGTATCAATAAACTGCTTGCAATTTTCAATACACCAAGTGAAAGGCTAAACATGTCTGTTTTATTTGCCTTGTCATACTTGATTGAAGAAAAAGACAATCATTTGATAATGGCAAATAATGGTGAGTTGATATTTGGGTGAAGTATGTTGTCAAATCTGTCATTATGGAGGCCAATTGACCCCATGTAAGATAACATATCTTAGCACAAAACATCTTGAAAAAAGGATCATAAATTAGACACCAAGATATTTGTTAGAATAATGTTGATTTTAATCTCTGTGTACAATTAGCAGATCTGGTCAGGCCATTTTACAGAAAAAGAACATTTTCCAATGCCATTCAAAGCAATTTTCATTTCAATGGTAACTTTCTCAAGTCCTACAGTTGAATTGCATTCTGCCCTTTTTTGGCAGAGGAGGGGGGGGGGGGTTTATTGTTGTTTTTGTCCATTTTAGCAATTTGTCTTGTTAAGTTGCTGTTAGAACCTGAATTTGTGTTGGTACAAAACAAAGCCTAGAAATTTTTTAACTAAGTACTCTGTGAATCAGGTATCAGCTATGTGATACTGCATTAGCTAAAGGGCTAAAGGTGGCTGGATTCCTTTTTTAAAAAAAGGCCAAATCCGAAGATGATTAACAACATTTAACATAATATATTTTCCTCTGATCTGTGATATACTCAGTTGAGCGGTTTATGTAATACCCCTTTCCTCTGAGCACTACTTTCAGGCATATCTTTGGTTGTTCTACATTTCTACTGCTACCGGCCTGAGACTACTTAGCAATATTTTCTACTGACAACTTGATTGCTAGAGAAGTGTTGTTTTTGCATTTTAGAAACTATTGACAAAGTCATTGACTACCTCAGTCATGCATGCAAAATGAAATCTCGCAGATACAGAGGTCTAAGCTGCTTAGAGCTTGCAAATGCTCTTGAGAGAGTGGCAGTCAATGATGAAAACAAGAAAATGGTAAGGGTTTTCTCTTTCTTACATCTGTTTGCTTGTTTGCTTTCTAAATTTTTCTTATTTTATAGAAGTGCATTTTCATTTTCATAGTAGGTTATGAATGTATCATTGTCAATATTTTACAGTCTCTAAAACAGCTGCGGACACTAGAGGGCAAGAGGGCCGTCAATAACTGTGGACCAAAATTTGGCATGTAGATAATAGCTTAACAGTAACAGACCAAGAATATCTAAAAGCAGTCGTGAACACCTGGAGGCAAGGAGGGGCGGGCTGCCCCCCAATATTTTGTAAGAATATGGTCTTTTGTTCTAAAACAACTGGAAGATGTGATGCTGTCTTTTCCAAACTATAGGCTTGCCCCCCAATATTTGATCAAGTGTCTTGTCTGCCCCTGCTACTGTATATTCTATGTTTCCGTAAATTTTGAAGTAAAGAAGGTATGAATTTGGGATCTTATTGTCAATATCAAAGTCATAAATTATTTCCAAGTTATCACTTAAAAAATTTGTGTCTTGGAAACATCTTTATACCGGAAGCAGGCTCAGAAACAAAGAGGTTTTGGAAAGATCATGAAAATGATTGTTTCAGTTTAAAATGTTGAAAAAAACCTTAGGTCAATTGCCATGGATGTAGTTTCTACATCTATTATTACACCTCATTTCACGAGAAAGGACAAATGTGTACCGCTGCCAAGCAAGTTTGTGACTAACTGAAAACAGAAGGTGTTTTCAGGCTTTTCTGTTCACCGTAAATGAAACTCGGAATACTCTAGTAAGAAGATTCATTGTTGAATTCCCTGTTGAATGCAACACTGTATGATAAAAAATGTTGTTCCTAAGCATTAGCAAAAGTTATAGTATCTAAGCAATAAAAGTAAACAGAAAAACAAAAGTGAGAGATTCCTCGTTTTCTAGAATTGCAAAATGTCTTCCCAAAACGTTTGAATGATGTTGAGAAAAAGGACAGTTCTTTTCCACTGCTGTTATTCAATAAATACACTGAATCTAGAGATGTCAAATTTTTTAGCTCTAGCTAAATTCAACGAATTTTGTGTAAAGGACAGATTGGGTAAACGGCACTGAGATTTCTGTCAACATTGACACTTCTCAAAGTTCGGGTTAAAAAGGTTAAATTGGTCTTGTTATCATTTTACAAACATCTAAAGAGTCCATTGCTGCCTGGCATTATTCGATCTTTTATGACAAAAGCACAAGACTTGCTGTTTCTTAGGCCCAAGGAACACAAACCAGGAACATTTTGCAATGCAGAGCTAAGAATATTGGAATGGTCAACAAGTAAGACCGATCATACATGTAAATGGGTATCATTTTTGCTGAAAGTCAGCCAGCTTTGACTTTAGCGTTTAAAGCAGTAAAGTCTGTACAATCTGGCATTTAAAGCATGAATAAAAAATCTGCACAATTATTGGCAGGATGCCTGAGCGTCGTGACCCCTTTGGAAATTATAGCTTTTTAAGGTCAATTTTCACATTCAAAAGTCTACTTTTTTGTTTACGTATGGTGATTAGATCGTGAAATTCTTCTGTAGTGAATTTTTTGAAGACTTTTTGGTAAGATACTAAATGAATGGGGTGCAGTTAAGTAGGTATATTGTTAAACTTTCAGATTGGCAGTAGAAAAGGTCTTGAAGCGTTGATGCAGCTGTTCAACGTTGCAAAGGTTCAGGAGCAACGTATTGCTGCAGCCAACGCGATTTGGATGTTGCTTTTTGAAAAAGAAAATCAACAAAGATTCATGAGTATGGACGGTGCCTTTGACGCAATTCTGGCTTACAAGGTAGAGTCTTGATTATCGATATACAAGTTGGAAGATACGCCAAGTTTGTTGTAAGTTTGAAGATAAACCAGTCACAATATTGATAGTTTCTTCTGAATTTGTTTCAACAAAGGGTAGAATTTTCTTACACCTTATTCATCACCGTTAAATGCTTATAGTGATGGATTGTACACTTATAGTTGATGGGCAAATGCAGTGAGATATCTGAATTGCTTCTTTTAGGAACCTTTTCTCTTGTATTTTCTATGTCAAATATTGGTTTCGGAGATACATTTTCCGAATCAGGTCAAGAGAAATCTCATTGACGCAACTTTTTGAATTATTGATGAGTGATATCCACTGAACCATGCTTATTCATATCTTTTACAAAACTGTCAATAAAAATATGGATCTAAATTTTGAAGATTAATTAACTGTTCATTCATTGCTGCATGTCTCTGTACTAACCAAGGCACTGAAAAAATATTAATTTTAATCAGTGTCGTATCAAATGCATATGGGGAGACTGGCCATCAAGCTCTTTCCTATTCAATTCCTCCCATTCTGTTCCTACCCATTCAGTGTGTACTCTGTTATTAAGGGGGCTATAACCCTTATCAAACCTATAATCAAATACCCCCGCTCCTAATTGCTTTGCTATAAGTAAAAGTTCAGAGGTTTCATGCAATTCAAGGGTAAATTTTCTTTTAACGTCCTGTAAATCTATTTTACAGGATTGTGAAAACAAGGAGTTGCGAAAAGCTGTAACTGGGATTATGTGGGAAGTCAAAATGAAAGATAAACACATGGAGGCCATGGCTGAAACTGCTCGAGGTGAGTGGCTTGTTAACTTAATTATGAGCAAAGAAATGGTTAATTTTGAAAACTTAGTGAAACAGAAAGCTGGCTGCCATACGTTTCAGCATATCAATTTAAAATATCTTTCCTAGCTTTCCCCTTGTTCCAATTTTTACTTAATTAGTACAATTTACTTTTTCTTGGTTCTTGATGCATTCTGTAATGTAATGTAGTAGGTAAGAGAAAGAAATCGTTTCGACAAGCTGCAAAATTTTGACAGCCAAAACGTTTCAACCTGTGTCTATTTGTCTTGGTATTATGGTGGATAGAGTCTTTTCTTCCATTATTTTGGTCGTGAAAATTCTTCAGAATAAAGAAAAGTACTTTTCAGATGACATCTGAATTTGGTTCATAAATAATGGACCTTTTTGAGCTGCAGAAGAGTTTAAAGATCTTGGTGGTGAAGGCAACCGTTGTATTTATTGCGGCTTTTGCTCCGTTTGGCCCCTCGGACTCATTGGTCTATTAATTGCTTAAAGTTCAAAAATAAAGAAATATGTATATGAAATTTTCTTTGCAGACGCATCTGGCAATAACAACAACTCTAGCAAACATGTTATGATAAGCTACAACTGGGGCCAGCAGCCACTGATGCTGAAGCTAAGGGACGCACTGAAAGAGGCTGGATACAATGTCTGGATGGATGTAGATAAGATTGGTGGATCCACATTGCAAGCGATGGCATCTGCTGTCGAGAATTCCGCTGTTATTTTGGTTGGTGTTTCAAGAAAATACAAGGATAGTCCGAACTGCAGATCAGGTACGAATAATCGTTCTTAGTTCTATTTACCTAGTCTAATGGTATGTTACCCTCCTACTTTTTGCCATATAATTTTTCAGAGGCTGCTTCTTTTGCATTCTAATTTTGTAGCTTAAAACATCTTTCTGATATTACTGTATATATGTTTTTCTGATGAACTACATGTCATAAAGTTTGTTGTGTTGTCATTGAGCGATATGTAGTCAGAGTAAACTTTCTCAAAGCAAGCTAGGTTTTTACAGTGCCAATAACAGCCTTGTTCGTGTTTAGGTGCTTGTTGTATTATATTGCAAATTCTGCCTTCTACTTTTATGTTTTCTATTTGGTAGAAGCTGAGTATGCCTTCCAGTTACGCAAATCCATTGTTCCGCTGATGCTTGAGAAAAATTACCAACCTGATGGCTGGCTCGGGTTCATTGTCGGTGCCAAATTTTGGATCGACTTTGCGAACCAGACTAATTTCAAGAACTCTGTGCAGAAGCTAGTGAAGGAAGTTGGTGGCAAAGGGAAATATGGCGATGACATTATTAAGCCTGTAGATGAAGTTGATTTAGGAGGTGTGGCTGATACTATACTAAGGGTCCTTTTTATGCACTCTGTTTTTGTCTAACTTATTACACATTTTACTGTTGGTTACTATTTCAGGAAGTATCAATGTATAGCGTATCAAAATTGCCTTCGTGTTAATGATGGTATTTCATGAACTATGAACCCAAAAGTTGTTGTTTCTGATTTTTTTAAACGCCAAAGGCTTTCAATAACATCAAACTATTTCAAAGGCTTTTCCTTTGGGCCTATGCTCTAGGTATTAAGGGAATGGCCTTTTTTATTGCTATATATACTTTTTACTTAGCCATACCAAAAGAAAGCAAGACCAATCGAACGAAAGAAATCTCAAAATGGAGCAATTCAGATGTAAGAGACTGGGTTAAGCAGAAATGTCAGCTAGAAAGGTGGGTTGTTTGTCAAGGAGATTACCTTTTATGTGGGAATTCTCTTTCCTGTGCACTTCTTTTGATAAGTAATTTGGCTTTTGAAAATAATTGTTAGCATTCTTGAATACTCCTGTTGATCTTTCTACTGTTGATTAAATATTTAATGGTCTCAAAACAGAGTACTGTTCACGGATGTAGAATATGGTTTTTTCATTCTTTGGTAAACATCATGTTTTTTTACGCGGATTTTCTTTTTTTCAGATCAATAAAAGAATCGATTTTAGAAAAACTGACAGGCAAAAAATTAGTTTCGTTGCATCGACTGCATGAAGAGGTATGTATGGCATTGTTGCTAGTAGATTACGTACTCTTGTGTACAATTGCCGTTTCGGTCAAGCCATTTCCATTATCTCATTCTTCGTAATATTTTTAACTAGATCAATTTTGCCTAATTTGTAAATACCATCAATCTAGATTTTTCTATGTATATCTTATTGGGGTCTGACAATTTAATAATTTTCTGTGAACCTTTCTTCTTAAGGGAAATGCATTTTTCAATTTCTAAAATATTGTTCGTCTCATATCTTCCAAATCTTGTTTCAGGCCCCAGAATTCTTTTTCAATACCCTGCGTTCAGATTTTGGGTTCTGCGATGTTCTTGATTTATTGGAATTCTGGGACGCTGTGAAGGAGCTTTTAAATGAATGAGACCCGTGTGGCACAACGTAAAATATATTTTCCGTCAGTGTCCTCCTCTGCAATGAAAGTACAAGACACTTTTGCCTACTATGGGGCATTTGTTTTTTCAGAGCTATCACAGATGTGTCTTTTATATATCAAAGCAACTTTGATACAATATTTAGGTGTCTTATATTTGGTATTATACATTTAATATCATAGCATATAGAAGCCCTTTGCACTATTATACAACTTAAACCATTAAACTGTTTCCCCTAAAAAGGCTCTTTAGGGACATAAAGAGCGAGACACAACCAATATACCTATATGAGAGGCACGTTTTGAACCTTATCACATCCAATTTGTCCATTCAACTGTCCCAATGCTTTTAAAACATTAGTGTAAATTTCAACAGAACAAATGACTTGATGATCTTGAGTTCAAATTGCGCTGTAGAGTTTTTAAAATATTGCATGATATGAAGCTTACAAAATACATATTTAGGAATCCGTGATACCTATTTAGCAATCTTTACAGACAGAAAAAGAAGGAAAAACATTCATAACACAATTTTGTCATGTCTTTAGTATCAGCAGTTTCTATACGGAAGTAAATAACTTTTTAATGGTTTTTTAGCCTACAAAATTAAAAGCAAAGCGATGACTTCCTATTAATACGATTAAATGACATCATGGTGCATATTTTACATGTGTATTTGTTGTTTTGGCTTTTAACAAATAAGCTCGACCTTGTTTGACTTTTATTGCTTTTGAATATTTAATTAATTATTTATTTTGCAGAGAAATATCCTATTTCAACATGCTTGTATATATTTATTCTGTAATTATTTTAAATTTCTAAATTAATTTTCAAATGAATATTTGTATTTAAAGCTTTTAAAACCTTATCATATGAAATTTTTAATCATTAAAATTCTATCTGAGTATGTATTCTCTTTACGGTCTTGTCCTCTCAACGCCAACTCGCATTTTATCGTAGTTAAAACCCTGCATCTCTTTTATATTATATTCATTAATTGCAAGGGCCCTAATTCAATTTTTTACAAGCAATAAAAGGAATAATTATTTGTTGCTAAGAAATGGAAAACCCTAAAATTTAATCAATCAAAATAGCTAGGCTTTCAGTTTCACACTCGATAAACTTTTGGGGAACCTAGGTATTTGATAAAACTGTAATAGTAATAAAGGAGAAAGAAATAGTAAAAATATATTATAATATGATGTTTCACTATAACTGAAATTATGGTAGATTTTATGCATGCATCAACAGGCAAAATATTGTGCCATGGTAATTTTGCAAGTTAGGTTGAAAAAGAATGTTTTGTTTGTCTGGGAAAGAGATTGTTCGAAAATCGACTTCGAATCTCGAAATCGTTGTTTCGCGAAAGTTGTTCTTTAGTTACGCCTGGCTTTATCGTTAAGGAACGTCAGAATCAAACCACAGGACGTAGATTTATACTTCTGTAATAATTCTGTTGGTCGAAAGACTTTTAAAAGGAATTGCAAATGGAGGCTGTATCTTCTGTCTCCCCAACAAAGAACAGTTCAAGCTTTTCTGGGATGCTGCAAGCTTCTTCTGACTTTCTATTGTCACAGGAGAAAAGGGTGGATGAGCAAGAAAATTTCACATTTCCACAGCTAACACCGAGCTCTATCCTGCAAGAAACTTTGCACAGCTTGGATTCAAAGGTTCCGTTGATTCCTGGTCTTGATGAAGTTTTAATGCTAAGCACAACAAAAATAGGCACAAAAGTAAGAAAGTTTGCTTGGAGATAGTAGACATTTGATTCACATCTCAATATACCTATCGTAGCATGGTGTATTGTAGATAGCTTCGTTTATTTTTATTTGATACTTTCACTCGTTATCAGAATCCTTTGACTGACTACCTAAAGATAAGAGGCTATTAAATCCTCTTCCTTTTCATGCTGCTACAGGTAAAAATTGAAATCATGAAAAATATTTTTAAACTCTGCTTCTGCTAAGATGTTACCAATCTATCGCATACTTGATTTTGAGAATGTTTGTATGCTGGACTTATCTCTTTGCTTCAGCGGTTCCAAACTCCGGATGATGCAGAATTTGATCTAAGGACCCCCCAGTCACCTGGTCTAGAGTACAACAACCTACACGATCCTCATTTGAAAAAGTATTTTCAGAAGCCCTATGTGCGGGACAGCCTGACCAAACAAGGTAAGCAAATTCCCAATGATTTTGCATCGTAAAACTTTAGATGTCTAGTTGGTTTCTGTAAGCCGATGAATCCACAAAAATCATTATCCTAGAAGAACAATAATCAGGGGGTACCCAGCTACTCAGAGAGAGCCTCCTTAAGAAACTCCCCTTCATACAATTTATTATATATGATATTATCTCTTAAATTATTTTTAAGCTTTATATTAGGTTTGCGTTTAGTTTGTATGTATTTAGTGTTGTATTAATGTAACTGATAAAATGTAGTGGAATTTTAGAGTATGAAACTGAATGGAATAATTTAGATTTGGTAGATAGATTCCAAAACTGCTAGATGAAACGACGATCGGGCTTTACCAATAATCCAAAACATGTCACATTTGTAGTATTTTGCACAATCTGGGTCTTCTAGTAAATGTTGCCCGATAGCAGAGTCGCATGTCTTGGCTTTAGTCGTACTTTTAGATCTGCAAAACCGAGGTGGCTGATCCCAAACCTTTAGCTTTTCCTAACAAAAAATTTACCTTTTCCTAAACCTTTCATATGATAGCAGCACAGGGCCGTATAAGGAGGTATCAGGAGTGTGACAGGAGTGAGAATTCTTCCGTTGGTCAGCAAAATCGCCTTGTGTTGAGGTAAATTAGTGACCAAATCATTTTAATGCATACATTAACATTCAAAAGTTCTTTATGAGTGATTAAGCTTTAACCTTTTTGTCCTTCTAGGCCTTATTACCAAGGATGGTTTCGTCAAATGTTCGACACGTGAGTTTAATGAATACAGACAATGGATTCGCCGTTTAAAACTGAATAAGATGGATGCCGAGGCAAAGGAGATACAAGAACTTGAGAGGCAGGAAAGACAACTAGAGGATGATGAGTCAGATGTTCCTAGAAGGCAAATGAGTGAGCATGCCCTTGAAATTCTTGAGGCGAACAAACAGAAGCGATTTATTGCCAAGAAGAATTATTTGCAGAGAAAAAGAAAAGAGAAAGAACAACGCAAGAGGTCAGAATATCATTTTTTTTGTAATCCAGTAAAGAGCTTAGTCATTTGCTTAAGTTATTCTTTTATGAAAATGGTCAATTTATAAAACATATGGATGCTGTAAAGCTGATTTTTTTATCAATTTTAAGCTATTCCTAGAGCTGTTAATGTAAATTTGCTATAAGATTTGATCAAACTATCTATGTGAAAAAAGAGCAAAGTTTTTCGAGATATGTTCTCTAAAGAGCCAAGTACCCCAAGGCATTTAAACAAAGAGTATGCTGGCAACTTTCGGTTGTAGCTAAAAATCTATTTAGCAAAATTGAGGATTGTAGTTTCTGTAGTCTGCTGGATCTTGAAGCCTAAGAAAAGCCATTTGATTGTGCAGGTTAATGAAACATCTGGAGCAAGAATTCAAAACCAAAGCTGAGTTGCGAGAAGATCAGCAAGATGTGAAGAGGATGAAGTGCAAAAACCGGAAAACGGAGGAAGAATTGAGAAGATTAGAACACAAAAAGAATGAGGATATTGTAAGCGCTATTTATCATTAGATATATTGTGACCGATTTTGAGCATGTAAATTTTCGGAGGGAGGGGGGATTTTACCTATTTATCCATGTCCTAAGTCTTGTTTGGCTCTTCTATTTTTTGGACATTTGTGCAACTTCTCTGAGGATAATCTTATCTTTGAGCATGTTAAAGCGGCTCAAACCTCTGACTGCACACCTTCGGGTTTATTTTAGATCTGCCCTCGGTCTTGCTCGCATTCATAAATTCTTTAAATGCGAACTAGCTCTTTGGAGAAACTAAGCTTTCACAAAATTTCTTTTGTTTCCTTTCATCGTCCAGATCGTCTATAGTTTGAGGAAACTTTGACATCAACTGTGCGTCGAAAGTTCTTTGTCAGCTTTGCTATTATTTCAAATTTGACTTGCACTTCTTCCACATTCATCGCATCTCTCAATGTCCTGACTTTTCAAACTTTGCTATGTAATGACAGTTCTGTTGCTTTCTTTTCCAGTTTGAACTTTGCTTCTTTGAATCCTTCTCAGTTTTTTTGTTCTGAACCGAAGCTTTTCTTTCCGGATTCCTAAGAACAAGGCTCGATCAGGGTTGAAGTTGCATTGAAGAACAGTCATTACCTGTCTCTTATTTATTGGGTCCCTATATCAAATGCTTCAGCCTTTTTCAGCAAAAAGCAACAAGGATTCAGACATTAGCAGAAAAGGATGAACAATATAAGAAGAGACAAAAAGAAATCAAAGATTACAGAAAGATGGACCGGAAGAACAAAGAACGAAAGGTTTGTATAAAAGTTGCTATCTCGGTATAATTCTTTGAACACAATTTTATCAAACACCCACAGAATAAGCAAATGAAAAACAGTTTTTGGCCGTATAAAATTTTAGAAGTGGCTTGAGAAAAGCAAACATTTTACAACATGCCTAAACTTTTCGTCTGACACTCTTCGGAGTATAATACGTCAAAACATTTTAGAAACTGGGTATATTTTTTCTTTCTTGATCTTTTCGACCCGGATTCTGAAGTTTTATACTTTTAAGACTGTCAGACGAAATGCTTAAATCTGTTGTGAAATGTTTGCTTTTCAAAGCCATTTGTAAATGAAAAAGTATGATAGCACGAATAACTTGTGTTTATATAGATAATATTTTATCAAGGATGGATGGTAAAAACGTTTACTTTTAAATGCTGCTTTTCAACAGTCTCGGATATGAATAAACTGGAATATCACTATCTAAATGTCCCATATTAAAGAGCTTTAAACCTTATTGACTAAATTTTCTGTGACAATAAGGACAACTTTTCAATGAAAAAGTGATCAGCAAGACTAGAGAAGTGTTGATAGTTTAGACAAATATAATACAATAAGCGAAAAGCAGATACTTCCAAGTCTTTTACGCTGTTCTATAAACAAAGTCCCGGCACCAGTTTCTCTCGGTGCCCTGTGGTTACTTTGCGCATGGCAAGTACATTTTTCCTATCTGTTGTTCTATAGTAAATCAATATAAGCGATTTCACAGTTTTTGCCGCCATTATGAATTGGCAAAAATGGCGGACACGCAGCAAACGAGCAAATTACCGCAGAATTTCTAGTCAATTTTGTAGCTAGAATTGCTGATAAAATTAGGCAGTAATCAGCTAAATAAGAATTTAAATGTTCCTTTTTTACAATTAGCAACTCACAAACAGCGTTCCTTGTTGTTTTCCTTGTGATTTCACTGCTGACTTTGACCAGGCTGAAATCAGTCCCCTTTGACCTCTCGTACAAAAACTTCCGCTTTTTGATTCAAACCTTGGTGAAACTCGTTATTTCTAGCCTGTGTACAACCATCTTGAGTTGAACTCTCTTCAGAAATTAATTTGACGTCAATAAAACCTGTACGAGACATCAAAACATCGTGACCAATTCTTATGAGGTTTTGAGTAAACCTCAAAAGAAACGTGTTCTGCATCAAACCTGGGTTTCATGAAAGTAGCCTTTGGACAGATCTTATGTGCACTACCGGTCTAAGTGCGTCACTCTTCAAGCATCAAACTCCAAATGAAGCTAATCATTCTAAATTAAAACCCCAAGAGAAATGTTCATATTAATCAACTAACAAATCAACTATCTCCTTGCTCACAATATCTCCCTTTTAACTGATAATTACACGCCTAGCTTTTTTTACTACTGTCATACAGTGGCTTATTGGTATAAACCTGTATTGGTTTTTCTTGGAAGAATAAACCCCTACTCACCATTTTTCAGGCAATCGAAAAATGGAAACGGCGTCAAACGTACTGCTTTAAGAAGATGGAAGAGAAGAAGGTGCAAATTGAGAAGGAAATGCAAGAACGGAGAGAAAGCATGCTAAGGCGTAACGATGCATTCAACAGGGAACGGCAAAAAAGAGAAGGTAAGAGCCTTTTTGTTTATCTTTCGTTACAAATTGAGCACTTATCAAAATGTCTTGAAAGCATGCAAGAATTTTTATGCATCCATAAAAGGAATTTTATTCTGGATTGATGCAATAGTCGAGGAATTCAATGGGATGTGTCTCTTGTATAGAAGATTTGATTGTGTGAGTTATAATGGTATTCAGTCAATCTATAAATCTCAACCTTTCTTTTAGAGCAACACGAGAAGTCAATGCAACTCAGTCGTGAATTGGCGTACGATCATTTGCAAAAAGCGAACAAATTTATTGAGAAGGCAGAGAAGAAAAAGGAGGCTGAAATCAAGAGATGGCGTGAAAAGAACTTGGCAAGAATGTCCCCAAAGCTGCATCCACAAAGACCAGATGCTATTGAGACATCGAAGAGTAGAAAATCTCGTGGAAAGGGGAAAAAAGGAAGCATGTGGAAGATTGATAATTGCTTGACAGCAAGTGATTATACTGACAGAAAACCTGGAAGATCATCAAATAGCACTGCAGCTAATAAACGGCCCAGCGATATGTTTGATAATGCAGCAATTGTAAAGGTGCCTTTTAATCTTCAATTGTTACGTGGCTATGCATTTACTCTTGGTAGATCAATTAGAAATTCTACTTCAGGCAAACTGCGCTCCGGTTTAGGCCCGTACTACTGTCTACAATTTTGATTCATGCATTCGAGCGCAAAGACATATTCAATTGAATATTTTTGCATACATTAGACCTATAACCATAAGATATTGCCCTATTAGTTTAACCTTTCTAAGTTACTGAAATATCAAATTTTAAAGGTCAATGTAGCACGTTTATATATCTCAGTATAAATAGTCCATCATGTGACGAATTACTGTGTTTACCGGTCCATCATTAAGTGCTCGATGCCTGTCTTGGCAAAGAAATACTCGCTTCGATGTATAAAACTGGACGATTCTAAGTTGCTACTTCGAGTTTCACGCTCAATACGATCATAAGACAACTAGCCTTTGCGAGGGATACATATTTATATGCTGCAAATACAATATAACCTCCATTAATAGCTATTTCTCAAAAATGGACACCTCCCGGCAACGGTCAAATTATTCTGTCCCAAAATATCTTTCTTGCAGAAATATTCTTATACATAACCTCCGGACAATGGTTATTTCTCTACAACGGACAGTAGGTCTAGTCCTAAAGGCGCCCGCTTCATGCAGGCTTTACTTTATAGAAGATTTCTTCCCGGATAACCTATCCTAGCAGATGTGAAAACCTGACTGGCTTCAATATTTGTGTAATGCTATATTAGTTGCCTTTTAATAAACGATGTTATCCCATTTTAAGGACAATTCTGATGTCTTGAGACATGATTCGCACGACAATGGTATGGCAGAAAAGCAAGGCTATGAAGATGACTCGGTAATGGATAGTATCGTGGCATCAGAGGTGGCGAAAGATCATTGCCAGATCACTGACCATTCGTCCGAAAGTGTTAACATATCATCTGCTGAATGTGTAGCCAGCCAGGTGCAAGATGGGAAGGAATCAGCCTTGGGCGCTTCATTGTCTGATGACACACTCAGTGACGTCATTGCTATCTCTTGGAAAATTGCAGAAGAAACAGTGCTGCGGGCAGCAAGCATAGTGGGAATCGATCGAGAACGAGCCAGACAAGTAATCGGAAGGAATCGTGAAGAAACAGGGCTTAGAGAACGGGCAGATTCTTCTGGGAATTGTTGCTTGCCAAGTAAACACAGTCTCTACGATAGTAATATCACAACTGTGGATTCCTTTTATGAGACGAGGCTCGATTCTACTTCCAGCTCCGTGCCAAGTATCGACAATGGTAAACTATCTGCTTCTCATTCATTGGGAGATGTAAATTCATCGATGATTTTTTCAACAGCTAACAAGCTTATTAAGGGTATCATTGGAGAGGCACTTTCAAGGCTTGGCTTAGACGATGAAGAATACTCGATTTTTTGTGCTGAGATTAGAAGGCAAAGTAAATCTATGGAGTCATGTTTTGATGCTAAAAGCTGTGAATTGTGCAATGAAAACAGTAGCTATGAAGCCTTCAAAACTGATGGGAGTTCCTTGATTGGATCTAATATTGGTACTTGTAAAAGCAGAGAGGAAATTCCACTGGAGAGTGACAGTCAAATGCTGGAAGTTCCTGGTGCTATGTTTAGCGAAACTACGATCTCGGAAGAAGCGAAAAGATTGGCAGAAGATGCCCTAAGGCATGCGCTCGTGACGCTGGGCAGTAGCGAATCAATTGCAGATCACATGACAAGCGACTGCTCACTTGATATACAATCTTCACTAAAGGATGCAATTTGCCCAGAGGTCGAGTCCAGTTTTCAGGCAAAGAAATACAGTGCCTCAGAATTAGGACCAAAGAGAAGGTCAAGCAGTGAGAAAAGTCTTGACGTTTCTGGGCAGACATTGGATGGACCTAAAGGCTGTGGTAGTACAGGCTCGGATTTGAGCATTAAAGCTAAGAAGATTGCATTTTATGCCATCGAGAAAGCACTAACGAGTATTGAAGTTTCCGATGTTGAAGGGTCTTCAGCAAGCTACGAAAAATCAGCAGCAGACTTCAATGCTGTAGATGGGAAATTAAGATCTCGCGCCAAATCGGTGGTACAAGATGCAATCGTAGGTGCAGCTGGAAAATCTGGGTGTCGAAGTGAGGAGATCGTAAAATTGGAAGAATATTTTGGAGGGTCTGATTCGAGACACAGTGAGCGAACCAGTAAGGCTAAAGTACACTTTGATAGCAGTATTGAGGCAGCAGTTGTCAGAACGCCGTCAAACCATGTATCATTATTAGCAAGCAGGTTACCTACCCCACATGCTTCAGCTGCAAACCTACTTGAACGTACTGGTGATCATGAAGTCGAAACAAGCACGCAAATAGAGCAAAATGATTCGAATGATGCAGAAAATGTCAATAAAGAATTAACGGCGAATGAATCCTGTAAAGTTGTGGATGTACCAAAAACTTCATCCAGTTTTGAGTTAGAGGATTCTGTGGAAAAGATTATGGTCATGTCAAAAGCTGGGCGTAGGCCTACACCGTTTTTCTCTTGTAGTGACAAGAAACGGCTTTTTGATCAAGTTAATGGTGGCAAAAAATCGTTGAAAATGGAATCTTTTGGAGAAGTTGAAGAGGTGGAGCAGAGCGACACGCTAGGGACCCCGGAGACTGGAAGCGAACTTATGGCTAGCCAATCAAAGTTTTCAAATATGTTGTTAATAAACAGCAAGGAAGCTTTTCTAGATTCAGGAGTGACGGGATCTGCTCCCGAGCTTGGGAGGCGAAGAAGCGTAGGGAGTCATAATGTAAGAAGAACATTTAGTAGTATTATTCCTCGTGAGTGCCCAGAACGACCATTTTCAATAAGAGGCTCAGAGGGACAAGAGGAATGTGGGAATAATTTAATTGGAGATAATAAAAACGAGGCTTCGGGAATCGACGTTGCAGCAAAGAAAGATGCTGCCCATGGTGATGATACGGTTAACGCTGGTGGTATAGACTCTAACCTGAGGGTAACCCTAAAAGAGTCGCTACATAGCCGAAAGTCTTCAAGCGTTTTATCTTCAAAGCGAGAGGATCAAAATTTAAGTTCTGAATCTGGTCTTGCCATGAGAAGGTCATCCAAGAGACTTGCTCGCTCAGGATCATTAAATGCAAGTGAAACATCAAGTGTCAAAGCAATAAATAAGGGGTCTTCATCTAGCATGAAAGGAGATAAGCAGCTTTCAAGTTCACGACTTGATGGCGGCCAACGTGGTTCCTTTTTGTTTAGTGACAAGAGGGGAAGTAGACTATCTTGCGCAACAGGATCATCAAAGGGTGTAATGAAACAAAGACTATCTGATCAGTTAGTTAATGAGAAGAAAACTAGTGATTTTGGTGCAGCAAAGAGTGACAACAGTGTCGGTTCCAGCAGCAGTCACTTTCTGCCTCACGTAAGAGCGTCAAGATCGAGAATGACCTGCAAAATAGACCCATCTGTTTACTCATGTGTGACAGATGAAATTGAGAGCAAAGAGAGCATGGACTCGCAGGATTTGTTAGGATTGACAGATGACCAAGAAACAGAGCAAGTTGTGCAGATTGTGCAACCGGAATCTGATGCAATGGATCAAGGTTTACAGGAACAATTTTTGAGCAGCGAGAACATAGAGAAAGTGACAGAAAAGCTGAATAAACTGGCAAGTTCTGATCATGTTGAGTCTGAAAGGCCTGCTGAGACAAATGATGTGAGAGAAGCAGGAGGTGGAAGCTGGAAAGAGGACGATAACATTGCAACAGGATCCGTCACCGGATTCAAATATAGCGATTACGTAGAGAATGCTGTCAGAAATGATGAAAGTGAGAAATCTGATCAGGCAAAGTCACATGCAGAAATTGGCCTAGCGAAAAGTGATATAGACAGGGTGTCCAGCAGTGATATCGCCGACAACAGATGCGAGGCAAGCAACGAGGAATCAGTTGAAGCCGAGGCTAGGGAGCCAGTGCCAAGTTGCGATGGCTTAAGGGAACAGAGTAACGACAAACCCAAAGAAGATGATGATGTGAAATGCAACTCAACGCTTACTGAAGTAATGCCAGATGAACTTCTGCATGATTTTGTTGTTATTGAAGAGTCGGAAGTTGCCAAAATCATGCATGTTGAGTCAGGAAGACTCGATCACGAAGATGGCTCTGGATCGAAAAATGATGCTAAAGAAACAAGGAAGAGCATGTCTGCGAATGAAAAGTTTGTTACAGGTGATATAGAACAAAGTAATTTGGTGCCGCAGAAATCAAGTTGCCATGAGAGGTCAGTAGCCAATGAGCATTGTCAAAATGACAGAGAGGCGTCAAAGGGCAAAGAATCATCAAGCTCAGAGAACAATAGAATTACTAACATTATATTAGGAGAATCATGCTCTTTAGAACTAAGCTCTCCAAAACGGGGTTCAGAATCAAAAATGGTCTCCAAATCAGAAACAGGCAGGCGAGGAAGTTTCAACAAACTTTCAAGAACTGTAAGTAAAGCATCGTGGCTAAATTTTGATCGAAGAAGTAGCGAAAAATCTAGGGTCTCAATCGCTGAGCCAAAGTTTGGTTTTCCGAAGGAAGCTTCTGAAAGAAAAGTTAAGAATAGCAGGAGATTGTCAGGAAACAGTGTCGTATTAGTATCTGGCAATGAAGTAAACGTTGCTAAAGATGATGAAGAGTCTCGAGCGACTGTAGATGAAAATGACCTTAAAGAGGTTCTCAGTGTGAACTAATGTAAGTTGACAGATCGAAATGCACCCGTCCAACATTTCTAGTCCACTATCTCTGATTAGAATGCGGAACTCTATAGAAATGCATTGGTCAATGATTGTCTGTTGATTTACAATAAGTTTGAGACCTGTTGCACGAGGACATCTGTATAGAGACAATCTGTTGTAACAGTCTTTCTCTTCTCTTGTTTCTAGTTTGATAATATTGGGCTGGCTTTTCAAATGATAGTAAAAAGTACAAATTAGTCAACTATTTGCTTAATTTTTTTGCCTGAATTGTTACTGAGGAGAAGTTTTGTATGTAGAACTGCTAAGCGGCGTACATCTTAATTGAACAGAATGTACGATGTTGATACTTCTATTACAGTATGGTGCATGAGGAAATAGACGCCACTATAGATATATAACAGTTAAAAGAAAAATCATAGAACAAGAATATTTCCTATCTATAATACCAGATAAAAGGACAAATTAATTCATTAAATCAGTAATGTAAGGGAGTGGCCTGGGGGTCTTTAGCAAAACCCTGACAGGGGAGAGGGGGGATAGGCTTAGAAGAGAGGAAACTGAGAACAAGTTTGTTGGTTTTACTTTTGAAAGAAGACAGGGTGTAAGAATCTGCGAAGCAAGAAGAGGGTAAAAAATTTCCAAAGTTGACAGAATCCAAGGAGGAAGGTTGAGTTTTGGGACAGAATTCGTAAATTTGGAAAGGAAATAGAATGGGGGGAGGGGCAATGAAAGAACTACTGATTTCCTGAAACAATAAAGGGATCAATGGTGCTGTCTATGCATATAAATTTAATCACTTGCAAACTTTTCCAAATTCAAAATTGTCAACAAATCTGGATGAATCTACATTAGCGTTCAAAATGAGAATAAATAGGCACTATAATGTATGCTCAGACCAATGATTTTTAAATAATTGTTCATGGAAGTTTTTTGTCAATTTTCACCTAACACCTATAGAACCCGAAACCTTAAACTTTAGGTCAGGCGCCTCTTCATTAAATCCTACTTTTGGACGATTGGGTAATTAACACCCTTGAACCCTATCTATGGACGAATTGACTACAGCCCGAATTGACGAAGGTTTACTTGGTTCATTTGACCAGTGTAAATCAAAATCTATTTTAAAGGTCGGCAGTTTTTATAAAACCTTCCTTTTCTTCTCATCTACTTTTATTTGACAACATAACGATCTCAGCGATGAAACAATAAAAAGAAACAGGCGCACCAATTTAGCCGTAAAAAGGTATTGGGATTTTGGGATAGGCTATTCTTCAAAATCTTTCTTTGATATCGCAAAACTTTGGTAATGATTCTCGTCATTTGCGCACCCAACCTGAAACATTGTAATGAGGAGTCTGGTTCTCACTGGCTTCAAGCTGCCAATTCACATTTGAAAATTTACTGTGCCGAGGAGCGAAGAGGATCAAATTGAGATGAAAATGAAGACAATCAAATAAACCATCGACTATCATTGATTTTTAAATTTATGCCACAACAAATTTTGCCGAGTAAGCACCAAAAATGCGGAATCTGCCGAGTAAAGAGCCGATTCATAACTCTTAAGGAGGGGGGTAGGGGGCTTGTCAGACATCTCCCCGTAGCACCGCCCCAGTTTTCATCCCAGCTTGTGAATGGCTATAGGATGGGTAATCTGTTGGTAAGGAAAAATGTGAAAATGAGACGGGTTGTTGGAGACACCAGAAAAGATCTGCAAAAATAGTTGAAAATAGGATATTTATGTAACTTTGGCCTGCTTGCAGATCTATAGTCAGTGCTTCCGGGGGGGGGGGGGGCTTTCCTTTTTGCAAAACCGTAGTGCGCTTTTCAAAATCTACTGTTATACGGGTTGAATTTTCCCTTGGCCCCCTTCCCCCACATTCAAACCTGTGTCTGAATCTCATTTTCATAGCGAGGTAATTAGAGATGGGGCTTGTAAACATGGTTGTATGCTGCATGAAGTTGTGAATCAAAGTTATATTTGAGGCTGTATCTGAGGATGCGGTATTAGGAATGCAGTAGAAAAAACTTCATCTAAAAAGGTCTGAGGAGGAAGATCTGATTCTTGGAAGAACAATGGTGGGTATATTATGTAATAATAGTGGAGTAGTCTCTCAGACCCCCTAATGTACGTAAGTATGCAATTTGTAATATTTGTAGTGTTGTAAATTGTATGTAATTTGTAATATTTATAGTGTTGTAAACTATTTTATTTACGCCCGATATCTCAACTAAATATTTTCCAGTCTTGTCTTGATCTCTTTATGGAAACCAAGGTCATTTCTAACAAAATATAGAGAGTGTGTATTCTTATACAAGATATTTTCCAGGTTTTTTCGTCATTATGGTTGTTTTGTTTCATTAAATTCCTTAACGTTCAGGTGGCAAATGCCATCTTTGTGTATCTTGTGTTTTGCAATAAACACACTTTGAGAATTATTATTAACTCAAGTGATTTAATTATGATTCATTTCATGATGATGGCCTTATTTGATTTACTTACATAAATTTTTAGATTCATACGCATAATCAATTATTTTAGCTACATTTTTGTTGCTATCAGAGTACTTTTTCTACCAAAGAACTGTTGTAGACAAGAATGCCTTCCTTGCCAGAACCTGTCTAGCCAGACTGGCAGTGGAAAGTATGTACTGGGCACAAATTGTTGTGCATGCAATGGAAGAACTTGGCTGGTTATGATTGCAAAATTAAATGCCAGTCATGCAGTCAGCACATGCGCACATTTAGTCACAAATGATTTCATGCCGAAAACATCTTCTGTATGCAAAATGCAAATTTTCCAGTCTGGCTGTCTAGTATTTTTGGATACCCTCCATCTAGAATAGCTTTGAAACCAGTCACAATTTCTTTCCACAAGCCAACCAACTTAGCTTTCCATCATTTTAAGGTCATTTAATGAGTACCCTGATCTAAAATATCAATTGTGGGGCACAAGCCACAGGTTTAAATTAGCTGCCAGATTTATAATCGTTTTAAAAAATTACAATCTTGTTGATTACTTGTTTCCTGGCTTCCTTGACTTTAAATTCTTGTTATAGAAGATCATGGCCCAAAAAAGTTAATGATAAGATAGATAAATATATTTGTCTTTGTATTTTACCTATTGTCAGATTATTCTACCAACTAATTAATGTTTTGGCTGACCAGCTGAAGATTTGAATTGACCAACTCATCAAAAACTGTGAGAAGGGGAAGCTCACCCCCTTACCCCTGATCAGATACACCTCTGTGTGTAGGCCCCATTTTTGAACCATCACAGGTTAAAAATTAGCTTTAAAAGTCATTTCATAATTTTGAAGATTCATATAGATGCATCTTTATATATTCGTGGCAATCAATTTTCCACAAAATTCAGTATAATTCTAAAAGTAATTATTCTTGCAGTTGGGGTTTGGAGCCTTGAACAATGATTCTGAAGAATATGTTGAGCGAGAACCCCCAATAGAAATTATTCAGGAGGCACAGGTATGGCAAATCTTGATTTTCATTTGGATAACTCATTTTATTCCAGTTGAATTTTGGAAGAGACATATCAGACCTGATGGTAAAATGGCATCTGAAATCTGGCATTTGTTGTTGATGAATTTGAATGGCATAAGAAACATAATTGTGATCTGATATGGCCTTTTGCTAGCTATATATTTGTTACTGCCAGCCAACATGTTATATATTGCCGCTTATTATATAGACAGATCTGCACACACACTGGTGCATAGCACAAGATGGCTCTTAGATGATGCTCTGAGTTTCAGAATTTAGATGCATGTTTGACAAATAAACATGCTGTTTCTATTTTACTAGGAATCTGAGGCTCTAGCAATCTATCACAAAGCTTTAGCATGTCAAAAATCAGGAGATAACCAGGAGGCAGAAAGGTTGTATCTGGATGTTCTCAAAACGGAACTTCTGTCAAAGGTGAATAGCATTATTTATCTTATACTTTTGTTGAAACCGTATAAATTTTCTAGCTCTGAGTGTGAAAATACTGTATAGAAATATTGATCTAAATTTGGAGGATTTTTTTATCAATATTAGCTATTCATTTAGTAATTTTTTCAATTCTGATGAGCTGCAGCTTACCAGCCCACCATCCTGCCATTCCACCAACCCACTAGCCCTCTAGCCCCCTAGCCCAACATAACACCAGCCCAGCATCTCACCATCCCAGCATCCTACCATCTTACCAGCAACCCAGCCCCAAGCCCATTATCCCAGCCCCCCCCCAGCCCATTATCCCACCAGCCCCCAGCCCATTATCCCACCAGCCCATAGCCCATTATCCCACCAGCCCCAACTAATTATCCCACCAGCCCCCAGCCCCCAGCCCATTTTTCCCACCAGCCCCCAGCCCGTTATCCCATCACCCTGCTAGTCTCAAGCCCCCTCAACCCACCAGCTCCCTAGCTGCTATAATTGGAATTTTTCCTCATCCAAAATGTTGTTCTGTGTTTTTTGTAGTGTTTTTGTAGTGGAGTTTGAAATGTGAACATGTAAATAGTGGATGGACATTTGGAAAAATTATATCTCCTTACCTAATAATGTCCTGTATGAGTTCGTTATGATTCAATGGAAGGTGAATGTTTTGTAAATTTTCTTTATTGTGTCATAATTATCAGGTACCATGCCCATCAGAGCTGAAACCAGAAGAAATACAAGAAAATTCTGGTCTTTTGCTGAAGTATACGGTTTACAAAAATCTTGGTGATATTTCATATGCTGAGGAGGATAATGAAAAGGCTTTGGACAACTATCTTGAGGTAATTGCAGCTCTTCTTTACACAAGGGTTATGAACAATGAAGATTCAAAAATTATTTCAATCAATAACATGGCAAAAACGGTAAAAGTGAATGTTGTTGCAAAAAAGTGTTAAAATAAAAAACTTAGAGGCATTGCTCAGATTAATTTAGCAAGGTGGTAAATCACAGTATTTGCGAGCAATAGACACACAAACTGTTTCTTTTTTTTCGGAGGGGGGGGGTGTTGATAAGTGGTTGTGGTTTCTTGTTGTAACAGAATCCATATTCTTATCTTATAGAATCTACTTGTGGTAGTGTACTTGTTTGTAGCGTAAAATTCTGCTGTTCATTTTAATTGTTGATCCTGTTTGCTTGATTGAAATTGTTACCGGAAAACAAATCATCAGGTCCTATTTGGTAGTTCTGAATATTTTGCTAGCCATAATTTTATGAAATATGTATTGTGTTGTATTGTTTGCTACCTGGCTTCCAAAGGTAGTTTTTAGGACACTGAAAGCTATGCTTTTTGCAGTTTCCTGGTTATTCCTCTTGATGTGACCACACCTTTTGATTCCTACACCTGGAATTACAGAGAGCTGGTGACTCTGGAAGTTTGGTCATATCAGAACTCGAGCCATAGACCCTTGGGTCAATGACCCTAACCACTGAGTCATCCTTGCCCCTAGGAGACATTTTATAGAATATTTTTTCTGAAAAAGAGGAAACACTGTGTTCATCAGTCTACCTATTTTTAGATTGATAACAAACATCATCTATGACTGTTTAATATCTAGGTTTGGTAATATGACATATTTCAGAAACAATGCCCTAAACCATTATTTTTTTCCATACAGGCTGCCCTTATTGATGAATCTGATGTGTCCCTATGGTGGAGAATAGGAGACATTGCTTTAAAAGTCACAAATATGAAGCTTGCAAGGTACTCATTTGAAAAGGTAGGAAAGATATGCAGAGGTTTTTCATTTCGTTATAGTACCTTGGTTCAAATGATATAGAGTTTGATGAAAGCATAAAAAGAGGAGAAATACTTATACCAAATTATTTTTTGTTCAGCACCCCTCAGATTACCAAACATCAGATAATACTTTTCAATGCTGTCTTCAGATTTTGCAGTACCAAAAGCTTATTTGATGCAGCGTTCTAGTTCACCTTAATCATGCCAATACTTTAATTTCTTCTCATGTTGTCTTTTTCTGTCTTTTTCAAGGGACTAATCGTTAACTCAAAGCACTGGCCATGCCTCGATAACCTTGTCACTGTCTTATTTGCAATTGGTGATTATGCAGGTCAGTTTTGGTTTTTTCATGACATATCCTTCCTTTGTAAAATACTTTCTGTAATCACACAATCTCTTTTGAACGACTTAACATAAAACTTGGTCTAGCTCTTTTAAATAGATTATCAACCTCTACCACATTAAAACTGGGGCACACAAGGTATTGATTATATGCAGATGCTGGGGTTTGAGGGTAAAGGTGAAATTCTTCTATAAACTCAGTTGTATAAACTTTTAACTATCAACTTTTTTAGCTTGCTTAGAGGCGATAGTCAGAGGACTGGAAATGGATAGTATGTTTGTCAAAGGTATGTCTTTCAGCACACTGATATGTTTGCTAGACTAAATGATGGCAGTAGGGGTTTTATAAATATAAACTTGACTTGGTTGCTTATCTTAAGTATAACCTAAAAGGACAGTTTAGATATGCAGTAAACTAATGTCCCTTATGTTTAAAAAGCCCAAGTCTGTAACAAAGCTTTTCTTACTCACAGAACACCTTATCCACCTCGAAAGTCTTTGCCAGAATTTCATCTTTTTAGCAGACCTATCTTGCTTCCTGCCCTGACTACACAATGGAAGGGAGTCATTGTCGTCATTACTTCTGTTGCCCCTGCAACACAGATATGCGTTTTAAACACACCATTATTGCCAACATGACAGCATTAATCATGAACTCAATGTAGCAACTCAGAACTATCCTGTTCTATACGCTAAAGCGAAGCAAGCCCGGCTTTCATAGCATCGAGCAACATACTGTTAAACCAGACTGGAAAGTGCAGCATTTTTAGGCGGGATCTCGGGTATGCCAAAGGCTCCTGGACGAAAGAGTGTTGCAGAGAATTGGTCAGATTATCTTTTGGCGGAATTAGAAAGTGTGTTATACAGTTGAAGCTTGAAATGGGATGAACTTCAGATCAGCTAAATGATACATTCCTCAATTTTCTAAAAAGAAAAAAAACTAGCAAGGAATAGCGATTGCAGCTCAGCTATTCAGACTTATAAGACCCCAAAGCATAAAGTGCGCCCGTTAATAGAGCAGAAACAGTCAAGGCTTTCTAGTCTAGGTGCTCAACAGTAAACTTGATTAACTAGGTTAGAAGTAAACAGACTGTTAAGACTTCTTTTTCCACAAAAGCTGTTAGAATTGTATGTTATGTAAAATTTGCTTTATGTTGTTTTAGATTTTAGCGTCAGGAAAGGAACGGAATAAGATGCAGTTATCTCATCGTTATTGTTTGTAAAAGTAGGTGATGTAGTTGGTTTTTGTGTAATTGGTATCAAAGCGTGCAGACTGTAAAGGGGTGTTCTATAATGCTTGCAACGAATATAACCATTTGTGGCCTACATTAATGCGATTTCAATCCCATCCAGGTTTGGTTATTCGCGATCAAATTTTCAAAGAAGAGGCCCACTTCAGAAGAGAGTATCGCGAATTCCAGTAGGTCATCTACGTTAGTAATTTTGAAGTGATTTTCCTGCTTTTTTTCTATAACAAAGTGTCTCATTCTTGGATATCTTCCTTTGTGTGTCAAATGGCGATGAATATTTTGAATATTATTGACTTTTCCCAGCCATAAGACTTTTTAGTATCAATTCGATCAGTGACTTGTAAATATGATCTGTTGGTCAGTAAGTCGACAAAACTTAACATAACAGATTTTTGGCCAAAATACATATGTTTTTTCGGTGATAACTTGCTGTTGATTTTTCCTTTTTTATATACAATGCAAGTTGTTTTTAGAGGTATTTAATCAATTTAATTTGTTGTGACAACATATATTTAAATACGTTGATTTTCAGCATCTTATTTGAGAACGAAAATCAAGATGAATATTATGATGACAGTTGTGTTGTGAGTAGAAATTTCTCTCCAATGACAGTTATCTTGTTCAAGCTATGAATTGTGAATTCTGGGACTATTTTTAACATTGATAATTCATTAATTCACAAACTCGGTTATTTCAAATACCGATACGGTATTTCTAATCCTGAAACGATCTTGCCAACTTGCTGAGTCAAAAAGCAAAGTTAGTTGTATGTTTGCTACAGGGCTGTAGAGGAAGGGCTGTTCCCCCTCCTCTTTTTTCGGGGTATTTCTAAAATATCATTGCTGATTTCCTCCAGGATCAAATCTTTGATTGAACCAATATTACTTTCATACATTTTCATTCATATGTGACCTCAATAGCCCTCTTGATAACTGAAAACTCAATAAATGCTGGCAAAATTTCACTACTTTGAATTCTATATTTTTAAGATTTCCCTACTCAAGCAAAAAGTTAGACATTGGAAGATCATTTAACCTTTCCATAAAATGGAAAGGTAAAGAAATTGATTTTGTGGAGGCATGCAAATGAAAACAATTGAAACGTCATTTTTGTATACAGTATAGAGAAAGCTCTATGCCCCCTCTACATTTGTTGGCTCTGCATTACTGGTTTGGTCACAAAAGTCATTTACCTATAGCCCCTCAATATAATATGCTGGTATTACGGTTAAACTTTCATAAACGCACAACTTCCATCGATGAAAAGCTGCAAATTATATAGGAATGAATTATCCATTTTGAAAAGTGGGGTCTGGAATTTGTCTACGAAAATTGAATTGAATAGATTCTGTTTATCGACTGAAAAGTTTCATTCAGGTTGTGAAATGCCCTAAAAATATTGCCTTCTTATTTCTGCTTATACTTTTTCACATACGATGGAGATGAGAACATTCCCAGCTTTTTAATTTGAATGAAAAACAGCAAGCCTATGAAAGGTATCCTCAACATTTGTGTGCAATTAATATGTTACTGTATTTTTACAGAAATATATTGAAGAAGCTCTAGTTTTACGCGAGAAAAGATGTTTGTTAGCAAAAAAAGAAGATCTGCAGAAGATCAAGCTTACCAAGCAGTTGACGTTCTTCACGTAAGTATGACGTCACTTGTTTGCTATCACTAATAGTTTGTTGCAAAATGGTTCTATAAAGACAATTATCTTTTTTCTTTGTGTTTGTTCTAATTTGTTCTCTGTTTACCTGCAAGTGTTTTGTAATCCAACGAATCTCGCTGTCCCTTAATACAACGAATGACCCTGTTTTTATGATTACAATGAAACGGGGTGAGTGGATAATTACAAAATATGATTGGTCACCAGAAAAGGCCTCAAACCAGTAACCTTCCACCATCCTAGTAATATTAACTAACTCTATAAGATTGCAAACATTAGGGCAATGGCCTGATAAGAATAATCAAGGTAGTCCAAAAATCTTGACAACGTAGCAACAATTTAACAAGTCCTTTATCAAAACCAAATTTATCCTGCTTAAGTGATTTATCGATTAGCAGGTTGATTTATCGATTATTTCTAGATGGGCCTGCGTTGGCGATTGCCTCATACATCAATATGATGAATTGACCAATCCTGACAACCCGAAGGTATGCAAGTTATTTATCTGAGTTTATCTGAAGGAGCAATGGCTTGAACTTCCTTAAAGCTGATATCTGTGGGACCAGTGTTGATGTTCACTGTAGGGAAACTTTCGTTGTAGGGAAATTTCCGTTGTAGGGAGATGTTCGTGGTAGGAAGATGTCCGTGGTAGGGAGATTTTCATTGTAGAAGATGCTGGTGGTAGGGGGATATCCATCGTTAGGAGACCTGAATCTTCCTTTAAGATGCCTTTTACCATGGGAAAGGAATTTTAAGGACAATAATTTTTTCCCCTTAAAGGAAACTGCTGTGATAGAATATATTACTATAAATATTTGGTATTTTTTCGCACTATAAACATTAGAATTAATTTAATCTTGAATTTCGCACTCTCAATTTTACTAGAGAAAAAAATTAAATTTGTTTTAGAGCCCCCAATGATTTGTTTACTTGACCAGGACATAAACTGATATTCCAGATCGAAATTTATCTTGTTAATGAATTTAATTTATTTGAAACTCTAGTAATGTAGTTTCATTCTGTGCTTTTGGTTAGTCCAATGCTGAAATGAGATTATTTTTGTCACGCAGTCGCTTTGCAGACCATTGGATATCGAAAAATATTCGAAAACACCAGAACAGCAAAGTGAGCTCTGCTTTTATAATTTATCTTTTGGTTCAAGTATGTCTTTCATTTATAGTTGTCCTGTAAATGTCTGGTTCACAGTAAAGGCTCACTGATTATTATCATGTTTTCTTTCGATTTATCACAGATTCGCTTGCTATTCCCTCTCCTGAGACAAACTGGAAAGGAGCCAAGCCATTTGGAAAAGGTATTTCATTACCCTCGATATAATGTGCCCCAGCTTTGTCGGTATAAAGTTTAAATACTTCAACACTACCCTCTTTTGTCAAATAGGTATAAATTTACCTAACATTACTGACTGGCCAAGATCCGTTAAACCACTTCTTTATGTACTCATTCAATCTACATAAATGCTGAAGGTTTTGAGAGAAGTAGGTCTAAGCTATCACGGAAATATTTTTGGTCACGCTAGACGAAGAAAGAAAAGGAATTAAACGGAAGAAGATTCAGTCAGCATTGTTTGAGAAAGATGTGGAACCAGTTGCAAAAAGGAGATCGGCAAGGGTAAGTCAAGGACTAAACAAACTCTGTTTTGAAAGCTTCTGTCTTTTATTCAAAATAGAAGCCTATATCTCTCTCATCTTCCACGAGATTCTGCTTTTTTTCTTGTATTGTGGCATATCTTTTACGGTTTCTTGTTTATTCGTATTTCATTGCTTTGTAACTCTTTTCTAGCTTGCCGCCATTATTTACTGCACTGGAAAAAGCATCTAAATGATACAAAGATTAGCAAAATAGGAACTATGTGTTCAATTCATGTAGTTTGTATCTGTCCTATTTATTATATAATTTTCCAGGTCAAGTCGTCAAAAAAGGAAGAGGACGTCAACTGGTCTGAGCTGTTGCAAAACTTTCTTCCAGAGTTCTTAAGGTACGTCTGTTCATGGACACCTCTTTGTAATGGACACCTCCACACAAGTGACAAACAGATTCTTCAAGGGCACCTCTCTATAACGGCCAGCTCTTTTTAAAAACCTCCATACAAGGGACAAACAGTTTCATCTCGGAGTTTTCTTGTTATGATCAAAGCCTTGTGGTGTGAGACTCCAGAAAACAAAGCCCTATATTGAACAATACCCCTGGTATTAATTGGACCGTTATATGGCTGTATCCATAGCAAAGTCATGTTCAGTTGATGGTTTCACATATTGCATCGATAGCAAAAGCTACATCAATGATATTGAAGGCTGTGTAGCCTTATGTATTTACTAAAAACACTTCGCTACTCTAAACCCCTGATAGTTCTTTACAAGTCAGTTTTCGCTTTTTTGAGTATCTTAATGTATGTTTTCCCTGTAAAGAGAAAACCTTCTGACAAGGGGTGCTGTATCTAGCATTTTAAGAATTATGATCGATGAAAGGATACTCAAATTTTCGTGTGAGGTCGCTCATCAGCTCGTTTCGATGCTTCAGGTCAGATTCAGTCACTGAAAATGAAGACTCGCAAGACAGTATGGCCGAAGATTACAATACATTGCCTCCTAACTCAACTGCGACTGATCTAAATCAAAAGAGTACAGAAGGCAAGTCCTTGCTGCTTTTGTTTAGATAAATACATTTCAACGAAAAGCTCTATTTTGGCAGGCCAGTGAGTAGAGAAAACATGAAAAACGTTCTTGGAAAAGAAAGTCTGGCCTGAATAGCATTTTATTTGATGTTCTCGAACTGGTATTAATTTTTTTGTAAGAATGCCTAGAGGAAAAATCTTGATTTACTTGGGCTAACATTCACCACTGATTTGCTTTCTCTGGAGTTTTAAGTAATGAAAATGTGTAGTTGGTTGTCTCAAAGTCTGAATAATCATGTTCCCAGGCAGTCAGTAAATCAGTAAATCTGAGTTTATGAAAATGTTGCGAGAAAGGGAATTTTATCATACACCGTAAATAGTGACCAATAACAATTATACGGTGATAACATGAAAACATGTTTTAAAATTTTAAAATACTGTTTTGTTTGCTATTATTCACATATTGTCTTCCAGAGGCCAAATTGGTTTCCGATTTTATAAATAAAAATGTTCGAAATAGGTAAGCATTTCTATTTGAACCTATTCTTCTCCTTGTTAGTAATGAAAAGGTTTCGCATAGACCTTGAAACCCTGGTCAATTTTTGTTCACATAAAATTCACTTGCAATCTTTATATGATGTTCAAATTTGTTTTTGACAAGTTCATATTTTGCTAAGTGCTCCCTGAATACCTTACTTGGTAATTACCATTTTGGCTGGAGTACCCCCAAAAAACTCTCCGGTAACCTTCATAAGGGTTGCCAATCCTGTAACGTTACCTTTGATGGTGCAATCTTGTTCTTCAATTTTTCTTTTTGTGATTTTGTATATGCGATTTTTCGTTGTTATGTTTTCAAGTGGGTGCATTGATTTGATGTGCAAATTTGTCGACGCAGTTGCAAGCCATCACGAGGCTCATCAAAAATGGTAAGGAGAAATCTCCTTCGGCTCAACATTTACCTTTTGCTCATTTAATTCAAGTTGTAACTGTTACGTTTCTTGAATATACTTCTAAAAGGGTTAAGCACTGGTAGCTGGCATTTTTTCTAGGCTTCTCTTGACCTGTTCATATCGTTATATTTACTATGTAAAATGTTCTTTGATTGTATTTGTAAAAGTCATTGACGCCCGCAAGAACCCTTCTAAACGTTCATTCGTTGCAACCTTCCACTCATTAGCACCTATTTTCATTCATTCAAGTTATAATTGCATATAATACCTCTGATTTAGTTTTGATTTTAATTCTGTTTAGTCACACCAGGGTTTATATTAATTAACATTTGATCGAAGTTCTTGTATTTATGTGAAAATGTATACAAAATTTTATTTTGAAAGCTTATGAAAAGAAATCACTGTATGAATTGAATTGAACCTTTGTTATTTTGTAGGTACCATGGTCTTCCTCAAATTTACACCCAAGTTTTCAAGAGAATCAGAAAGCACATCCAATATCCAGAACTTCCTCCGTAATTCTTTTTTCAACTTTATTAATCATTTATTTGTTTATTAAATCTCTAGATCTTATAACATCTAGCCCTGAAGTATCTTTATGCTTTTGAATAAATTTCATGGCAAGTTGTTGCTTCATACTTTGTTTTACTTGATTTTTGTCAAAACATTTCCATCCTACTTGTGAATCGTGTGAGTAGATTATGGGGCTTTTGTCTCCATACCTAGTGGTCATTCGCTCTTTGATTCTTTTTGTCATTCTCTCTGCTAGGCGTGATGGCAGTGAAGAATACACATGTTTGTTTGCTAAAGTAAGCTCCATAAAACTTTACTTAGCCGTTATCTTATAATTTTTTGGGGTAAAGCTTTATTCAAAATCTACTACAATAATAATTGTTAACAAAATACTGATGATTATAATATAGAAAAATAAAACAACAACACAATGCAACTAGATATAGTAGAATTCTTAAGGAGGAGCTCTCAAAGTAGGTAAACTAACGAGAAGCGAGCCCCCCCCCCCCCCCCCTGTCATCTATAAGAACCATAAACACAAAGGGGATGCAAAATTGCTAGCTTAAATAATAAAATTTGTTAAACGTATCGAATACAAATTTTCATTTAGGCATTCACATAGCATTTAGCAAGTGATGTTTTAGATTCTTTCTGAATAAAAATCTTGAGGTAGAGTCTCGAATGCCAGCTGATAGGTCATTCCAGAGTTTCGCTCCCATATATCGAATGGACTTTAAGCCAAATTGAAGCGTATTTTTTTATCTAGATAGCTATCTCCTCGGAAAGACTGCCTTGTTTCATAGTGATGGACTGAAGTATTTAGTGGGAAGAAATTGTTAAAGCAACTCGGTGTTAGTTTGTTTATTGATTCAAAAACAAATGTTAATAACCTGAGTTTAAATATGTCATGAAATCTGAGTAGCTTCAGACTTCTAAAGATCGGTGTTGAATGGGAAAAGGCCTTTTCATGGGAAATTGCTATAACAGCTCGTTTTTGCAGTTTGAAAATGGGGCCAACGTATGAGGCAAATGTTTGACCCCAAACAATGATACCTTACTGAAGAAATGACATAAATAGAGAATTTTAGATGCGTATTAAAGAATCAGTTGGTAAAAAATGTCTGATTTTGAAAAAACTTCGCATGTTCTTGCCAGTTTTTTGGAGAGTTCACTTTGATGAACTTTCCAACTAAGATGTTCACCCAGAAGAAGTCCCAAAAATCTTACATGATTTACCCTGGTGATATGTTGTTCACCAATTTAAATTAAGATGTCGGATGGAATAAAGGAGAAAGAAATAAGAAGAAAATAATGGTAACACACAATTTTTTGGACTTAATAGGCATGACATTTGCTGATAAACAATCAGCTGTGTTAGATACTCGGAATTCATTTCACCGGTTTGATTTGATTTATTATTCAAATTCTGCTACAATAATAATTGTTAACAAAATACTGAAAATAAAAATATAGAAAACACAAACACAATGCAACTAGATATAGTAGAATTCTTAAGGAGGAGCTCTCAAAGTAGGTAAACTAACGAGAAGCGAGCCCCCCCCCCCTCCTGTCGTCTATAAGAACCATAAACACAAAGGCGATGCCAAATTGCTAGCTCAAATAATAAATTTTTTAAACGTATCGAATAAAAATATCATTTAGGCATTCACATAGCGTTTAGCAAGTGATCTTTTAAAGAATATGTTATTGAAAGAGTTGAAGAATATGTTATTGAAATTCTTGAGAAAGAAAAAAGTCAGTGTTTTGTGCAACTCCCCTATTAACTGTACTAAATTTTTCCTTTCAACTTGAACTGTATCATTGTTAACGCATGTTCTTTTGAATCAGTGTTCTTTAGCTTACTATCTTTGTCATGTTGTCTTTCAGTCTGTTTTGTATGTTTTGGAGTTTCAACTCGATGAATGGCTTTCAGTTAAATCAAAAGTTCCAGTCAATTTTTCTCCCGGAAAACAATCTTCAAAGTAAGAGGATTCTTTTACAATAGCTAAACATTTATTCTTCTGTTTCTAGCTGCTTTTGATTATCATTTCACTCTTGTTTGACTTTCGTCTTGAGTTAAATTTCTTGCCTTAAATGTCTGCTCGAATAAAAATTGGCGCTTTTTAAAAATACAGTGACGTTATGATATAACAAATAAATACGAAAGCTGGAGAGTTTGTTGTGATGAGAGCTCGCTGAACCAGAATCTCGTTGGTATACCTAGAGCAGTATCGATGGGACCAGTTGTCTAGTTCGTTATACTGAGAAGCTCGTTATATACCGTAAATTCTGTATTTAGCCCCCAGTGGGCTTGTTTTATTAGACATCATTGAGTGGGCTTGAAAAAGAGGGGGCGTAATAGAGAGGGTGCCGACTCTAAATATATGCTGCTTGGTATTTACGCTCACTAGTCTAAGGTATTTAGATAATGCAGTTGTGGTCCCAGGGCTCTTGAAGCGATGCCAAGTGAAAATTCATTGATAGGTTTTTTAAGAAAGAACGGCTGACTAACTGAATGACAGAAAGGTCAATGACAATGCAGTAATGATCACAAACAAAATATTACACTTTGAAAATTTACTGTATTGATTATTTGGGGGACTTAATAGAGAGGGAGGCCTATTTTTCCTGCTTTCAAAGACGGAGGCCTTTTAAATAACGGAGAGTTTAAAAAGGGGGGTTTAATACAGAATTCGTTGCAGGCGATTCTTTGAATTTGGATTTCGCAGTATTTACAAGCCCTGATTCTTTTATCGAGTAAAGTAAACATATACCTAGATTTTTAATCACAGAGCGAAGAAGTCTGAAACCAAAAGTGGAAGTGAAAAGCCAAACGGTTGTGAAGAATTCCAGAGTGATCTTTCATACTTGATGTTCCTCGTTCCGCTTGAGAACGTGTTCAAGGAATTTTGGCTGGAGCTGATAACCAGACGTGAGTTTATCGAAGTGTTTTTTCAATTGTCAAGCTTGAACATAGCAAATTGGATTCATTAATGGTTATTTGCCAGGAAGGTATCATTCCTGCTAACGTTATTTGATACTCCCAACCGCTTGAGTTTTTTCTATTACTAAATGCCCCCCCCCCCCCCCCCCCGGTAATTTTTTTTAACAATATCATGCAGGTCACATGAAAATCCTTCCCAATTTGCTACACCATTTGATAGTAAACCGTCATTGTTTCAAAGGGAGAGGGCAGAGGAGGTTGACTGAATTTAAGCTTAAAATTTACGTTAGTGGTCGAGGACTTGCTTTGATTTCTTTAATGTTCCATGCAGTTAACACCTTCACATTGTTAGGTCTGTTTACTCCAAGTATCGGTTGGCTGTCGTGTCGGTTCGTTGTAGTGTCGGTTCGTTGTAGTTTTAGCTCATTGTAGTATCGGTTCATTGTAGTGTCGGTTCATTGTAGTGTCGGTTCATTGTAGTGTCGGTTCATTTTAGTGTTGGTTCATTGTAGCGTCGGTTCTTTGTAGTGTCGGTTCTTTGTAGTGTCGACTAGCAGCCCTTCTGATACACTGGTACAATTGCATTAAAATATATTTCTTCCTTTCCAGTACATTGGCTTGAAGCAAGGTTTCTTATGCTAATCGGTGACACTAAGCAGTCTATTCGTGTTTTTAACAAGGTAAGACGGCATTTTGTTTTGGTTTGGGTTATGAGAAGAAGTCGTTAGGTGCTCTATTATTCCTAGACCAGATAAATCTATGAAAAACTTCCATAAGAATTGAATCAATTTATTTAGAATTTCAACTTGTGTGGTAGTTTTTTTTCAAATATATACGTCATTATGTCGTGTCGGGAATCCAAAACATCACGACAAGAGCACTCTCATGGCAATAATTGAGTATTGGCACCCTTAATGTGTAGATGGATCCCCAGTAAAATATTATCTTATCAAATGTGTTTCAGAAGGACCAATAGGCATTCTAGGGAATCTGAAACCAAAAGAAGTGCTGAGATAGATGTCAAGATAAATAGCAAGCAGGGAAGGAGTAAAGGAAAATAAAGAGAATTAAAAAAAAGGTTTACAGAAAGATGGAGTGTATACTGAACGAGAAATGGATCAATGTCGCTCGTAGATCATTTTGAAGTCTGCTACTTCCAAAACAATTATAGGGAATGTCAAAGACCATCTTCTTATTTCTAGGGTAAAGAAAGAGAGTAATAAGATGTTAAGTTCTAGATACCTTAAGCTGCAAGCAAGTTAACGATTCTGGCATTTTTCAGTGCATTGATGTTCTTACCCCTGGAAATGGAATGACAACAGATCCAAAGTTATTATTTCGATTGGAAAACTGTACCTGTGATGCGCAGATTAGTCTAGGTAGGTATTCACTTAAAAATCCGGTTTGCTTAGAAGCACGTAGAGTCACAGGATACTTGAAATATTCAAAATGACAACAACACTTCAGAACATTGTTGCGCTTTCTCTCTCATTCTTCATTAAAAAGCTGATACGTTTAAATCATAAATGACGTGATGTCATAAATGTTATTATGATTATAGATAACCAAAGTGGTCTCCTCCGTAGTAGTCATAGAGTATGGTAGATGTGAACATATAATTTTCTGTTTTTCTACGGATATATTTTTGGCGTTTTAGCCTTAGTTCTAGCAACAAAATCCTTTCGGGCCCGATTTTTGAAGGGAGTGCTAAAAGAAAGATCATTTTAAAAAAAATCTTAATGAAAGCAAACATTTATTCAAGGCTAGTTTTTCATTAGACACCAATGTTAAGCTTCTTTTAAGAAGACAGATGTTAATGTTATCAATTTGACTTGTATGTTTCATTTATTAAAATTTCATACAGAAACCGTGCAAAGAAAATTTGAAACACTGCAAAGATGTCTGTCCTTACAAGAAGTAAGTAGCATTTATTATATTTAATATTCTGAAAGTTACAGCTAACAGCCCGTTCTAAACTGCGATTAGATACTTACTACATACAAACGAAAAGGCCGCCATTGTGTAGACAAAAGGAGTTTGTTTTCTCTCTTGGACTCCATTTGTAATTTTTCTTTAGGCTCGCGGCACTGATTGGTCAACTATACCGGTCTTGTGCTTGCATTTTTTCTGATTGGCCTATTTCGATCCACAACTGGGTATATATTTTTTATCATGTTCTTTCGGACTCGTTATTCTGACGTTTTATGCTCCGAGGAGTATCAGACGAAAAAGCTTTTAGCCAATATGTTTTAAAATGTTTGATTTTTTCAATGCAATTAGATAATTGTATCTTCATTTATTGTGCACTTGAAGGCTTGAAATCAGATCTCTACTGTGAATATTAGAAAGTAAAGTCACATATTCTAGCCTGAATTATAGTTAGATTCATTTGAAGGAGCATAAACTGCCTCTGGATTACTGCTGATGATTATCCATTAGCAAAACCAGCGATTTCCTCTGTAATTTAATCGAAGTTACGTGCTCGTAAATTCATTCGTTTTTATCTCCTTGTGTTTTACGCAATACAATTTGAGTAAAAAGTAATTTATGGCTAAGTTTACGCGTTAAGTTTTCTCCTTTTGTCCTGCATTTTGAGAACCTCGTGTGTAGAGGGGACATCAGGGGGTTTTTAAGCAGGAATACCGAGGTTTAAAGAGGACACTAAGTTCTATGTAGAAAGAATACCGTTGTTTAGAGTGGTATATGCTTGCAAATTTAGGTGAGTAAATCATACGAGGATGAAAAATATGCAGATGTTGTCGAGCTGTTGTTGCCCCTATTGAAGCAAAGGCAACCATCAACCAAGGTTTGTGAGTTTTTATATATAGATATTTTTGAATTATAGTTTTATATATTTTCTCAAGCATTTAATTGGTGTGTGACAGTGTCACAATTAGAATGGATTCTTTGCTTCCAGTATTCTTCGATAAGCGGTTTTTCTAATTCTCCATGGGGTATTGTCCATCATTCTTTGTTTTGTTCGTGGATGCTCTAATTATTTTTAACATTGGTTTTATAAAGCCAAGGGTTCTGCTTCACAGCATCTCACAGGTGAACCAAACTCTAGTCATGGAGCATGAGCCATTGAGAAATTTTTGTCAGTGCGCATGTGTATTTACTACCTGTCCAAGAGATGGATCAGTCATTTATGAAGAGTCACAATTGGTACCTTGATGATCATAATTTGTCATGCGTTAGAGGTATTGCAAGTTGATCAAGTTGTTTTTATTTTTCTCAGGATAGTGAGACTACATCTGCACCTGCAGAAAGGCCAACACAGTTGCTTCTCCTGCAAGACTCACTGGCAAAACTCGGACAAATAAAAGTGAGTTAGAGGGTCTTAGTAAACTTACCAGATAGTTTATCTCTGCATCCTACCGCACTATACACGTTAATGCAGCAACAACTAGCCTTGAGAGTGTTGCATCCTACCAAAGTTTGTCTCACCGCAGTACATCTAGCTTCAGTCCACCTTTCTGTCATGATTTGCTCTAACATGTCTTGCTGCCAGGTTTTCTACATAATGCTTCTTACCATTAAACGTTTTACCACAGTGAGCCTTACCCGAGTGCACCTTACTGCAGTGTGTCTTACTGCAGAATGGTTTACCACAACGTGCCTCGCTGCAATGCACCTTAGTGCCACATGTTATACCCGCAGAATGTTTTACAGCAGCTTGTCCTACTGAAGTGCACTTAACTGTAGTACATCATACTGCAGATCAATTAAAAAACTGCAAAGCCAGCTCTACATATACTAAAATCAAGCTTTATAAGCCTTGATCTTATAAGCAAAACGTTTCTGACAAATGCGAGATGAGGTGAGAGAGTTGACCATGCTAGAATAGTTTTGTGCTATTTGCAAAGCAGACTTTATCTACAATGACTATCGAAACGTTGTATGCGGGTTTAAGCCATTACTGTTTAACCGTGATTTGTAAATTAAACATGTTGTGAGCACCTGAGAGAGAATGCGTTTTACATGTTGATCTACTGATTCGCCACTGAATGCTCATGCTTCCACAGAAATGCATCATGTGCTCAGAACTGGCAATTAACGAGGCTGTGCAACAGATGACACCAACTGAAGACTGGAAGATACTTATTAATGGCTTTCTCGAATGTCTTAATAGGTATGGCTGTTTCTTGTACTGTACGATAAAGTTTAAGATCATAATACTGGTGGGCTGTCTTTTGGATCCCTGGGAGGTTGTAAGAGCGCGGTATTTGCCTGTTTTGAAACAAAATTGAATAAGGCTTTTGTGAACCAGCTAATGCATCTTTTGTTGTCCCCCTATGATTGAGCCATAAACAGTGAAGGGCGCACTGCTGTCTCAAATCTAACAGTAATTTTTGCTTGAAGAAAACTTTTGCAATCTTCATTCAACTTTTTCGGCCATTGTTTGTCAGCATCAACAGTAGGGTTTTGTAAACGTTTCACTCATCTCTATAGGGTACTCCTTCTACTCGAGATTTGATGTAATGCAATTTGATGCTGCCTTCCAGTTCTCCTATTGGCCGTAGTTGTTCACTGCGCTAAGGTTGCATTTCATATCTTTCCATGTGCAGTTTATTTGTGCAGTAAGGCTCCAACAGTTAGGCTATAAGTAGTTTTCACGAATTTAGGCTGTTTGCACTGCTTGAAAGATCTGTTTTTGTCACAACCCCTTGTTATTCTGGCCCTTAAATGTCACTCGTGTTTTCCACCCGTACAAGCTACCTGCGGCCATTCAGTTTAATGCAATTTAGCCTGTATCACAGATCATAACTAACGGACTGTGGTGAAGGCTAGGTAACCTTTGAAAGTAATTATGCTTTTTAGGAGTGGAGTATGTCTATCTATAAGGGTCGCAGTTCTAGAAATCTTTGCAGCATGTAAATAAAAGCCAATCGGTGTAGAGTCTCTAAAAACAATAGAGTCTCGACTTGCACTCGACTTGAACACAGATCTCCTGTTGAATTTTAGGGTCTTAAATGAAGATGTTTTTACTGACAAGATGTTGCCAAGCAGTGTTCTATATGGCCTAGTGCATGGAATGATACGAGTAGGTGGCAATTTAAAAATATTTATTTCCCGTTAAAAAACACATAGAAACACCTATTTTTACTATTTGTATTTTTTCTGAATATAATATCTGGTTGAATATTTCCATTTTAGACATTGTTTGAAAGCAGAAATACTACGCTGAATTATTAGATATAGGCTTTTTTGGTTCAATGTCAAAACCAATAACATTAAAACAGAGTAGCCCATAACAGTAAAGCGTTTTCAAGTTCTATCTTAACGAGGCCATTTAAATTGACATGCAAAGCAACCGACGGTTAGATTATCGATCTTGATCGATCCTGTTTTAGATTAACGATCCTGAAATTATTTGCCTTTGATTCCAACCGGTAAATATTTTCTTAGATTATAGAAACATCCATGGAATGCTTGGATTCAAATGAAATAGTTTTAGCTACAACAATTCCATGGCTCATCTTGTACAAAATCGTTAAAAGGTAACGTCTAGACCAGAGGTGGAAAAAGTATCGGAACCTGGGAACGTAGTTCCCAGAAATTTTTCTAGATGAAAATGTTAGCAGAAAGTTTTACAGAAAATTTTTGAAGTATTAAAGTAAATATAAAAATCTGGTGACATAGGTTAAGTCAAATTAGGAGAAAATATTATTTCAACTCGCCCGCGAGCAGCAAAATTTGAGCTGCCAAAGGACTGTGGGAATTAGTCTCTTTCCATTGGAAAGAAATTCTTTGTGCACCTTATTTACATTCACAATCTCACAGAAATCTCAGCCACTCAAGATCAGAATTTTTTTAGCAGCTGAGCTTTTAAGAAACACCATGATTAAGACTGAGATTAATATAGGGACTGGAATCTACTTTCACAGAAAATATTTCTGGCACCATGGTGTGAACAGTATTTATCATAAGTTAATATGCTTGGTTGAATTTATCTGTTACATGCTAGGACTCCATTTCAACCATATATTGCTTTTCACTTGTCAAAAGATTAGGCGATACGTTCCCAGGTAGTTACCCCCCCCCCCTTTTAGTTTTGTTGTATATATTCTTTGTAAGGGATTGTTTAGTGTAAGTGTCGCTCGTAGTGGGAACACGATGACCTTGGGTCTTTTCCCGCTATGAGGGGCACAGTTGAATGTAAATATTAGAGTTGTAGTTGTTTTAAGTTGATAAAAAAAAAAAAAAAAAAGATTAGGCCAAGCCTTCTCCATAAAATGCACCATACAATTCAAATGATTTTGTCCCTGACTCTTCTGAAACTATGTTTGGAGATTATTGCATGGATTTTCCTTTTGATTTTGGTTTTCTATCATGATTGATTGAATGAATCAATTTCTAGCTAAAGTTGAATTCTTTCTTTTGTGCATTTATGCATTAAGTAAAGGCATATCTAATATGTTGAGAATGACTGTTTTGAAACAATAGTCAAGATCTCCAATGTTAAATGACACTGATTATGTTAAGAAGTTGATTGCCTGACAATTTTATGCATTCAATTTAACCTTCTATAGAAATACTTCAAGAGAAAAAAAAACAAATTAAGCATTAAAATAAAAACAAATTGAACATTCAAATGAGAAGTATCATACTTCTTAAAACTAAGTTTGCCCTCTTTTATACATCAACTAAGTATAGAGATATAGGCACAAACAGAAAGTTTATTTGTCTACCCCCTATATCTTGCAGAAAGTTTTGAGCCAGATTCTTAGGTTCCCAGAAAGAAAAAAAGATTTTCCACCTCTGGTCTAGACTAAAAGACTTACTAGGCCTGCCCTCTGAGGAGTATGACTACATTTTTATAGAGATGCATCAGACAGTTTGGAATATTTTAGGGGTTTAAATCTGGAGTAGTTTTGATTATTTTGACTAGACAGCTTATCAATCTCACATGTAGAATGATTTTGACTGAAGGTATCTTGATTGCCCTCTAAGCTTCATTAGCTTCTCGCAAACTTCAGTTGCAGACAATTAGCATGATTTTTCCTGAAATTTCTACCCATTTTATTTGATTTCCATTTTCAAATATTTAGTAAAGTCATTTCTGAATTTGATCTTCTCTCCAGCTTCAATCCCTCATCTGTAGCGAAAGAAGATTGTGTATCTTCCTTGCGGGAAATGTTGGCTGCAGACGACAGCACAATGCCGCCATCTTTTATGTTTATAAAAAGTGCCCACGATGTGCTGGGAAGGTAAGAATTTTAATTTGCTGCAGCAAGCAGTTATCAGGCACTTGTCCATAGATAAGCTGGGCGGTGTAGGATTATAACCATTTTGTCGTTGTCACCCGCAAAAATTGTGATCCAGAATTGTAAGAAACTTGATACGTGTTAAAGAATTTCCAACGTAATGCATTTTCGTACTACTGGTCCTGAGATAATCGCAAAAAACTTTATTTTTTGTTGTTTATTTTTCCTTCAAGGCGTGGATTGTGTTGTGCGGACGATGGCCTTCTCCTTCTAGCATTTTCAAAAGACCTAAAGTCATTGTCTGATTTTTTGATGCCACAGTCAAAGAAAGAGGTAAACTTTCTCGCCCTCTTCTTATTAACTAATATTCTGAGTATTCGTGCATCAACCCTAGTATCGTTTTGCTCCACCCAGAAGTTAGGAGGCTGCTAACTCTCCTCAGAGTTCTTACTTGTAGCTTTTTCCAATATGAAATCTCATTTAATCTCACTCAATCCCAATACTTTATACTGTATGTTTACTGATGAATTCACTAACAGTTTACCTGAATTAAAAATCGTTCAGCACGTAATAAACTTCTATATGATACGAGGCAACACCTTTGACAGCTGCTTCAGAGAAAAAAAATTTGTGTTTTTTGATCAAAACAGCAACTTTTTTGAAGCATTACGACCGCACCAGCAATCGAGCCAAAGCGCTATTAGTAAATTGTTCTCATTTTGTTATTGTAGGACGTGCTAAGGGAGCTTGAGCAATGTTTTTATTGCCTTTATGGACATCCTTCCAAGAAAACAAAGGTAAATACAACAGAATTCTGGTCCATCCCTTCTCGCGTCAATAGCAACGTAATTTGTTTTGTCTTTCAAAGTCATTTTCTATTAACAGCTGAAGCTCTAATGCTTTCATATTCACTGAAATGCTGACTCAAGCCTCTTTAAAACGTCATTAAGAGTGTTTTAGTATACCATCCAACGATGTTGAGCCGCGCAAGTGCACTCGAATTAATGATTTTCCTTGTCGTTCAGATGCTAGATAACAATGTATAGAGCTTTTGACACCTGAACTTCAGTGAACAGCGCCCTGCAAATGTGGAGCTATGTCCAGTCATTCGTTGAGAGCGTATAACGGAACTTGTGACATACTTTTAGTGGTAGAAAATTACCATACTAAAGCCATACGAACAGAACTGAACCATACTGAAGCTTTTCGTATGACAATTCGGAGAATAAAACTTAGGCTTTGAAGAATGTCATACAGAAAACTTTAGTCTATCGCTTTTTCGCAAAGCTAGCGATTTTGTCCAAAATAGATTACTTTGTTTATTTTGGGCTCCTTTTTTGTTGTGATTTTAAAAAACTAAATATTCTGTCTATTATATTTAAATTTTCTTTCACCCAACAACAGAGTAGAAAGCTGCATGATCATGTGACCAGTCAGGTAATTGGAACATACCTTTTTAAAATATGCAAGTTAATGACAGGAAATAAAAACGGTGGCTGGTTTTGTTGATAATGGGCCTCGTGCAAACATTTTATCGCAATTTCTGCTGCTACAGGCTCGATGAAATTCGAAGATTCAGCAATAAACAGAAAGTTATTGGTGCGCAGTTTTGAAGTAAAAACTTTTGATATACGGACACCGCCATATATCGGACACCGCCATGTATCGGACACCGCCATATATCATACATACACCTTCAAACAACGGACAGGCAATTTGGTGTCAGAATTTTTTCTTTACAGACAAAGCATTGAAAATGTCATTTATAGGCAATGGCCACTCTCCTTGCAACGGACAGCAATTCTAAGCCATTAACTGGCACCTCTATGCACCATTGACAATAACCTTTATATTTCGGACGCCTTCAAACAACATACAAGCAATTTAGTCCCAAAGTTTTTTCGGTACGGGCACTGTGAAGTCACTTAAGGTCAATGGAAACACTCCTTGCACTACACAGTTATTCTTGTCCATATCTGATTGTTATTTGGAGGTTCTTTTATTGACTGGGAATGTAACGTGTATAGTTTGACCGCCATTTCTCTATTTGCCGACTTCTTTGTATTGTTGTGTACATCCCATCTTTTTTTCGAATCGTCCAATTTATGTATCGAATTGAAGAACCTTGTATTTAATAGATTCCGTTAATTTGGGAGCACGCCCATATCGTCTACGAACATTTCCGCCCGCCGGGTCTACCCACCCTGGATAATAAGCTAAACACAATATCGATGGAAGTACAGCTGCTTCTCAGGCGAATTATTAGCGTGGTGCCCCAAAAGGAAGTTGAAGGTAAGAAAGTTGCGAGTATCATTCAACTGCTCATTATCTCTTCACAAACACACTGTAAGTAACCATGCTAGAAAAACTGCATTAAAGATTTGGGAGCAAGCGGAAATTTTTGCATCATTCTGCTCAGAGTATGGTTTGAGAAGTTTAGTATAATGATGTTTATATTCAGGTCTGGATCGAGAATTACTTGAAAAGAGGAATTGTTTATTGATGAGCTCATTTTTAAGACCAATCGGGGACTATTAACTTCTCACTTAGTTTTTGACTGACGAATCTACACACGAGAAAAATCAAATCTTTCTATCTTTATCAAAGCAAATAAATTCAGATTTCCAGAGCTTAGATAAGATTTGTGTAGACTCCTAAGTATGTTACAAGATGTTTTCGCAATTTCCTATTACCTAGAAAAGTTACGTTTCCTAATCATTTCCTGTTCAAATGAAATTATATGTTTTCTTCAATTTAGTTATTTCATTCGATGAATTACAATCTCACATTGATGGTTTAGCTGATTTTCCAGTCGAAGAAAAAAATTCGGATGCAAATAGCAGGTTGAGCGCCTAGTGTTACATTTTGCTGCTTTATGCTCTCTCATGTTTGATTTTCACAGTTCTTTTTCTTTCTTGTACATATCTCCTGTTCTCTGTATTCTTGTGCTTGTTGCCTTATAAATTTCCTAACTCTTGTCTCATTTATACTCTTATTATGTTTGGGAAAGCACTTTGGCTTTGGTATTTGAAATTTTTGTGCATTATAGCTGTAATATCAACAAGTTTGTGAGATTCAAATTATTCAATAATCTAGCTGCTCGTGTGATACATTGCCTTGCTCTGACAGTTCACTTGATTTGGTAATCCATCGAGATCACCTGTGTTAGTTAAATGTTTCTAGCATTCTCTTTACGAATATGGAAATATAGTCATTCATTCTTACATTAAAACGCTGAAAACTACGTTGTTGTTGTTGTTGTTGCTGCAGGGTACGCATCCAAGACCTCTTTTACTATCTAGCTGATTACTATTTTAAAAACAAAGAGTTCAACAAGGCCATCAAGTTCTACATGCATGACGTTTGTCTGAATCCGAAGAGATTCGAATCATGGGCTGCGATGGCGCTTGCTCGTGGATCGAGGCTGGAGGAAAAGATCAGTGCCGTACGTATTCAGCTGTTGAATGTTTAAATTATCTCATGGGAATCCAAGTTGCCTAGTGTTTTTATCGCTCGATTGCATTTATTAAGGTTTTGAGTTCTTCTGGGCCCGGTTCATGTTTTTTACTTCCCTTAGCAGCTAACGAGTACTCTTTGAAAGGAAACGAGAGGCCAGGGAAGTTGGGACTACCGCACCTCGCCATGTTGCTAGCCCAGTCCTATCGTTCTTTCAATCAGGCTTATATCCTATTAACGGATTGCATACTGTCCAGGACTCACACTACCTCCACTGGTTTTCACCTTGAAATTAAGAAAATAAAGTAAAAATAATGAGATTGATTTACTTTCTGTTGCATTTCTTTGATGAAAAGCTAATTTTGAATGCTAATTTTTTGAGAAAAGTATGGGAATTTTTGTCGGAAAGTATGGCCAATAATGGCATACAAGGCCACTTGTCAGAAATGGTTGAACAGAGGACCCGTGAACTTCTACGTTTTAGAATTTATGCATGGTTGATGCCCAATCTACTTGTTTTTCATGATGCATATGGTCGAGACTTGCTTTGATCCCCTCTACCCTCTTCTTTCCGTCATAGCTCGGCCTATTTTTGAGCATTTTTTAAAGCTGGGCTTGCTCCGAATTTTGACTAAAGTGGGTTTTTTCTACTCAACCCCCCCCTGTATTTTTTTTTAAGCGTCTCTGCCTTTTCCTCTCTAATTATGTAAACCATTAATTGATTTTTCTTTCTCTTTGGGATATAAATTGCATTGTTTATTTGTATTGCTATCTTTCTAGCATGAGCCAAAAAGTGATGGGCCTATTCGCAAGAACATCGTGTCAACTTTGAGGTTTGTTTCATTATTTAAGACAAAACAGAATAGGCCTCCCGTATTAGGAAACTGAACATTTCTGCAAAAAAGCTAACATTTCACATAGTTATAAAACATTATTTCTTACATTCCACTTTTAAGTGCCATATAGTATTTATAATGCGTTATTTTTTCTTGAAAATGGAAAATTCCAACAAGATAGAATATTTGACAGAGCTGGTCATTTATTGGAGCCGTGTCAATCCTGCAGTAAGCTTTTTGCCATTTACAAATTAAAGCATTTTAACTTTTTTTATAGATATCTTTATAATCCAAATATACTTTATTAAAACTATTTCTTTTTACTTTTTCTGAAATTTTCCGAATATACTTATCAGACTTAATTTATCATAGATGTTTTGAGAAGGCTGTTGAGCTGAATAACAAAAATTGTATGATTCTTGAAGAGGTAATTTGCTTTAAAGTTAGAAATCGATTCATTATATTCGGGCTTATCTTACCTTAAGCAAATAAGCCAAATCTTTTAGAGCTTTGTTCAAATGAACATCGAAAACAGGGTTTGAACTGGTAGTGATAGTAAAAGTATTTCTTTCACCTTTTTGAAAGTCGTCAATCGTGTGTCTTTTCCTTATTTCAATACAAGTATAGGGTATGTTCGATTACATAACTTAGGCTTACAAACATCTTTTAATTCTGCAACTAGTTTGAAGCCTTACTGGCTTTAGAATTTTCGACTCACTTCTTTGAAAAGATACTTAAGCAAAATAGAATAGCAAATAATGCTTTGCTTATACTTTTACTGTAGACAGTAAATATTCTTTAAATTGTTTTTATAACCACATTACTTAATGCTAAATATGCGTTTTCACGAACAGTATGGATCGACTTCCTACATGTTGAATTCTCAGGCAGCCAGGCGATTGAGGGAGGTTTGTTTTTTTACCATTTATAAGCCATAAATTCTTAAGTATTCTATAGTTTTTCTACTTTTTTTGCAGGATTTATTATAAAGAGTTTTTGGCATTCTTACGGTAATAGGATATGAGCAGAATAAAATTCCAACATTTCCACTTCCTGATATCTAGATATTTTCCTTGTTCAAAGTTTGTCTCTCCTTTGAAAGAAAACAATTTCATTTTTCCTTCTTTCAATTAAAAGGTACAAGTTAAAGTGGCATACTTTTTGACTGTTTATTGAAAATTCCTGTTTTCTGGTCTGTCATAAAGTGTCTTTCTTATAGGAAGCGTTGATTGAAACTTGTAATAACCACTAATTACTCCTTATGCTGAACCCTGGTTTTAGCGAGCAACCTAAACTAAAATGTTACAAAAATTCTTATACATACATACATACACTACCAGGACAAAAGTATTGCGACTCCCAAATAAATATTACATCCTAAAAAGTTGAAGTTTTGTAAACTTATATCTTTACGCTGAAAACAATCATGCTAAACCAGTAGTCAAATTCTTTGAAATTTTTTGAGGGTTTGAGGGTTTATCACAACGAGTTAGCAGTTGTGATAAAACTTCGTGTAACTGGTCTTTTAATTCTAAAGATTTCGAAACTTTTTATAGAAAATGATAGCAAAATAGTGAGAAATCAGGAAACAACAAATCAAGTCAATATTCCTGACTTCTTTAGCCCCGAAATTTTCCAACTCAAATTGGATAATTTTTTGGGACAGTTAAACACAAATAAATTGGTAAGTCATCAACTAGCGACGTGCGAGTTTATGCAGTAAAACATGTCAAAATAATGCGAAACAGTTTCTTTGATGGAATCAATTCGAATGCTAAGAAAATAAGGAAGGCTGTCTTTTTCATAAAAAGCAATAAATTCCCCTTAAAAGGCCATTTTTACTCAAATTTACCTGAAAATCTGCAATTTTATGTCCTTGCTCGGCAATCACAAAGACCTAACCTTAAAATAAGCGAATATTTCTTGTTTCCAATGAAAATGATCTGATTTGAAATCCACAAGGTTCTCTAAGGTCCAAACAAAAATTGACTTAGAGAATTTAGCGTATGTTAAGTAAAGGTTCTCTGCAGTGTTTCTGATATGCTTGTGGAAACATTGTATGTTTCATCGTTCTGCATTTCTTCTGCAAGAGATTGTTGACGTAAACTTATTCGTGAATAAGTTATAAAAGAATGATGAAAAATAAATTGTGAATCAAACTATCAAAAGGGAAAAATATTTCATCTGTTTAGGTCGCGAATACTGTTTGCAGTGTTTCACGCTAAGTGGTTTCAATGGTATCATGGAAGTTTGCAGTCATTTTCCTTGCCAAACATAGTTATATAGTTGTAGATTTTCTACAGCTTGCAAGATAAAACTTTGAGCTGATTTTGTTTCAATTTTCAGCTGATACAAGACGAGGAGTACACAAAAGATGTGGCAGTAACTTTGATGGAGAGGCGAAATGAAATGCTGAAACTATCGGAGAAATGTTTTTCGCAGGCAAAGAGTCTCGTTAAAAGAGCCGAAGGAGAACCATGGCTGCACTCCTATATGCTAGGCAAAACATCAGAAAGATTAGAGAAATCTCTTCGTATTTATCTTGACTATTATATGCTTGTAAGTCTTTGCATGGTCTTTGGGTGACAATATTTGTTTCGGCTTCAGCTGTCGTCGTCTTTCCCATTTTGATGTTGTTGCTGTTGCTATTGTTGTTGTTGTTATTATTGTCATTGTTGTTGTTGTTGTTGAATAAAGTGCAAACGATTTCTGTCTATTTTTAACCATATATTGAAATATTTCCTTCATTTTATCTTTGTGTACATAAAACAACTGAACTATTGATCCCCAAAGTTTTGATTTCAATCTCTCTTCATTGTAAGTCAGCAACGATCTGGTAAGAAGGTTGTTTTAACTGTTTTTATTTAAAGCCTACAAAGCTGGAAAGTCGTTCTTTAAATTGAATATGATTGTGAAGTTGAGAATATTTCAATCTTTTTTCTTAGCAAGATTTGTAATGAATAGTGCATCTTCTGTTAACAGGCTGGTCGACAATTGTACATAGCTAATGCAAACTATCCAAAAAGAATTCCATACCATAATCCGCCGGAGTATTCCATCGAATCTCTAGAGGTTTGTTTCAGTATTTTTTTTCTAGAATATTTACCGCTGGGAACAATCTAAGTACCACATAACCTGACTTCAAGATCAGTTAACATGCATTGAAACGCTTTATTGTTTTTCATATACAGATTGTTTAGATAGGTTTGCACCAATTGAATTGTACTCGCGTACAAATCAGAACTTCTGCATCGGGAAGGTCTCTAAAATTGCTACAATCTTTTCTTGGTGCATTGTATAGCTCTCTGCGCAAATCGCTCTCTCTTGCTTCGAATTTTACGCTTAATTCTTATGCTTTTTTCGTAGATGTATTACAGAACACATGCGTCGATTCTCAAGTTTCTTCGGAAATGCAAAGATAATCTGGATTTCGCTTTAATTGAAGAATACTTGGACAAAGCCGAGGAATCCCCTTTTGTTAAGGGAATCAACATTAAGAGCGTCGATAAACCTTTGGGAAAAGAGGACAGTTTCACTGGTACCCAAAAATTCTATTAATGCTCTTAGTTCGTAATTTGTAATTAATAAGAATCATTTTATTCAGCACTGCAGTGTCGTTTCACTAGATTCGATAGTTGATACCCATGAAATGCTCCTTTTCGATATCAAGTAGTCTGCACCTTCTGACTTCTTTATTTGGTGATTTCAGATTCCGCTAAGCCTGTTTCACTTGGTGACATGTCCGAGAAAAGTTCTTCGGTCATGGAGAGCCAAGTGTCAATCAAGGGAGATGACGTAATAAAGACAATGCCAGACAACCAATCATTGCTTGATGTACCAAGCTATGAAGATTCCCCTTCATTGTTCTCGGAAACCTATTCCCAAAACACATCAGCATCTGATTCGCAAATGTCACTCGTGTCCAACCAGACTGGAGCACCAGAGAGCACAAAGCAGCACTATGGAACAACCGCAGAATATTCATTGAATGTGAACTCTCTTAGTCAAATGGAGGGGGATCCTGCAAGAAAAATAGAAGAGACGCCTAAAAATAAATCACCCAATGAGAGCGGGCTTGACCAAGCTCCTAGCGATGAGACTGACTCCCAATTTAAGGTTCCTGAATCGAAGCCCGTTAGCGACCCTCCTGATTCTCTACCACCTAGTAACGAACAGAGCTTTTCCGGTGCTGCAAAGGAGGACGAAAAGATACCTAGCTTAGCAGTATCAATGATACGGTATAAATTTTCATCAGAAGAAGAGAGAGAAAGATATAAAAAGATAATTGATCGTTGTGTTGACGCGTTCTCGCTTTGCTTGAAGAGATTTCCAGAGCATTACAAGAGTCAACACAAGATCGCCTTCGTCATGACGTATTTCGAGACTCATAAGGTACGTCTTCTTTCTTAGATACTCAGAGGTTTTATGACATAATCATTGTATATGAATGCAAAAGTAGAGTTGTGGCCTTTATGCAGAAAAAGCGATTGTTAGATGGGTCTTTAGTGTTCTAATATTGAGTAGGCTGGCTAGCTGCTTTCCCCAATGTCTATAATGCCACATTCAAGGTTAGACGGATGAACGTTTTAGATAGAGAAAATTTCTGGTAGCCTCATTTGTTTCTTTTAAAGAGTTTTTTGGCTTTTTTTTTATTTACCACAACACATTAAGTTTATTGTCGTTTTTTGGGATGAAAAATTTGATGCCTTTTCATTTGCAGGATTTATCGTTTAGCCGGGAACTGCTTCTTGGCTCAAGTGGAGTCACTACAAAAAGGGCCTTTGTGCCACAACATGGAATTTTTACTGACAGGAGCAAGACCAACCTCTTTCAGGTATGACTGCAGCGAAGTCGAGGCTGTTAATATCGGCAATGAAAGAAGCGACCCCTTGTTTCACTGAATAAATTTTTTTAGTGCCCTCTTTGATGCTCTCTGCATTGAAACCTGCTAAGCTTCATAGGGTGGTGTGGTTGATTCAAGAATTTATGAAAGGTCTTCACCTTCATTGCGTTAAAAGCATCTTGGATCTTGCGATAACTGGAAACAATAGCAGTATGAACCAGGCCAGAACAAGAGTTATCCATTAGCAAAATTAAGTTCTCTCACTTGGTATATCTCAGTTAATTTGCTACAGATCTTGCACCTTTCGGGTTTTGTAGTCAAAGTAGCAATGTGAAAATGGAATTCTTTTATGGCCAAACCCTTTCAAACTTTATTTCATGTTTTCAGTTAGCATTGCTGATCAATAAGCGGTTTTGCATTTTAAACCAAAGAAGTCTCATAAATCTAATTTTATCCTCCTTTCTTAAACCTATTTCAATATTTCAGTATATTTGGCGAATTCCTATTGATGAAGTTGATCGCCGCGGGAGCTTTTGCTCCCATATTTGCAAAGCTGTAGAGCTCCTACTTCATGTTCTGTCAGAGTTAAAAGAATGGGACACCCTTCTAACAGTTTCCGGGCTGCTTCATCTTACTCCAAGCAAAGATAAGTAAGTGATTATGCTCCCTCGTATTTCTCAGTATAAATGATATTTGAAATTTTTAAGAACTTTTTCAAAGTGACCACAACTAGGCGAGTAGTGTGCTAATTTCATTAGGGCTGTTAGAGTCGGTCTACATTGAGACTAAGATTAATAGTCCTAATTTGTGTAGACAAAAATAGTCTGAGACAAGGTGATAAGATTGAAATTATGACATTATAGCTTTATAACATAAGATTTGTTTCATTAAAGTACCAATCAAACTTTATATTTCGATCTTTCATGGGATTGAGATAATATGTGCTGGAGGTTTCTGAAATGCTATAGATAAATTATCCCAACACTTTTTTTGCTAGAGAACTACAATCCTTGACAAAAGTCCTTGGAACACCCTGCGGCCAAAGAAAGATTTTGATGAAATAAAGGTTTCCGGCCCTAAGATATAGAAATATCCCCCCCTCCCCCCAAAACAATGTTGGTTGTTAAGCCTATTGCTTACCCTAGCTGATAAAGTAACATTGGATGAATTTCAAGCTTTGAATCTGTTGTTATTCAACATTGTTTCAAGGGGGAGAGGGGGATGCTAATAAACTTAAACGAAATTTCTGCTTAGTATATCTTTTGACAAGCAATGTATGTATTACTAAGAATTTCCTGCTCTAAGCAGGTAAAAGTTTATGCCTTCTTAAATCATATACTATAAACATCAGGCGATCAAAGATGTATCATTTTCTTTTGCAATCCATATAAAAAAGCATCATTCAATTATTTTCAGAAAATATTTGAGGGATAATGACAGATTGCTGCTTGCTTTGAAGGTAATGCTCTTATTCCTTCATAAAGATGGTTCCCATATTTTTTTGATTTTGTTGATCTTCGACCACATGTGAAAATCAGTTTTGATCAGCTGAATATGAAGAGCAGTTTCGATAAGTTTTCATTTCTTTTGCAGGCATTTGATATCGCCAATGATATTTTAAAGGAGCGGATCAAGCTGGCAGATACGGTAACCATAACTTTTTTAGTTTTTGCATACTGGTTGTCTATAAAAATTGTTCTTTCTGCTGTAGTTTTGCTAGAGTTGCTTGAATAAACTTTACTTTGACTATCTATAAAAGTCAACTTTATTTTATTGCATTTACCTATTGGTTTGATTATTCGTTCATTTATTCGTCCATTAATTAGTTAACTCGTTCGTTCATGTATTTATTTTTTATCAATTAGTCATTTACCCATTCATTCATTCATTTGTTCGTTGGTTAGTTCATTCATTCGTTCATTTATTCGTTTCATTGTTTCATTAATTCATTCATTTATTCATTCATTCGTAAGTTAATTGTTTCATTCATTTATTTATTTACTTGTTGATTCATTAATATTTTTTCTGTTCATTTGACTATTTGTTTTGCCTTGATTTGCAGTCGAATCAGTTTCCTCTACTGAATCAACAATCGAGGAATTTTACATTCTCCAGAATCCTTCTCCAGATTATGTTCCTTATTGGCGCATTGTGCCTAGTTTTTCAATTATCATTTTGTCTCGAATAGCGAAAAATTGTTCTTCGTTCTGGGCCAATTAGCAAGCAATCAGAAATCTTAGTCAGCAGAACCTCTGATTCTCATTATTTCAAGCAACAAAATTTCTAGATGGGCAGCTGAGCGTCTACAAAGTCCTGCTGTTTTAGGGGCCTACTCATTCGAAGTAGGTGCTATTTTGAGGAAGTGCGTTCAGTAAAGGCTTTACATTCCCGTTACATTGATTTAGCTTTCAAGAACAGAAAAGAAGCTCTTGCTATTGGATTGCTATGAAGCATACAGGCATGCGCAGAAAATGCAAACATCAATGCAGGTAGGCTACAGAGCACTTTTGATTGGCTCTTTGAAACAATTGTTTTTGTCTCCTATGCATAAACCAGTAAACTTACGGCCTCATTTTGAAAAATTCTTGAGAGCAAGGATTTTAGTCTTTTTGGAAGCTTATATTATGGTATTGCTCACGATATTGATTTGATGACGACCTAAAGATATAAAATTTTCTAGGGTAAAGTCCCCCCGGAACGATTTTTGCGGTCAAAACTCTTGCAAATTTTCAAAATTCATTTCTCCGCAAAATTTAAAACACAATCGCAAACTATATGTATCCAAAATGGTATCCCGCCTAAAATTATGATGATAAAACCAAATCTGAGCTTATAAAAGTCGTATAATGAAGTTTGGAGAATTTCCCCAAACGAGGCCGTAAGTCGAATGGGTGTATTTTCATGACCTTCCTTTGTCATTGTCACAGAAGGAGGATAAAGTCCTAAATCTGGTTAACGGTAACCCTTGCTTGTAGAGTCTGTGTATAAGGCCATCTCTACCGGCCCAATCCCTTAGCATCTCAACCTATACTGATTCATGCTAAGCAGACATCCAGTCGTGAAAACCTCCATTGAAACTGATGTCCACAATTGTCTTGTCCTTGACTTTGTCAACAGTATTTTACATTAAAGGACATAAGTAACTATCGAAGTGAATACAATTGTTCGCTTAAATTTCAAGTCATTGAAACTTCCTTTTCTAGTTGGAACTAAAGCATGTGTAGCTGTCGCTTTTAAAGTTGAATTTATTCTTATGTATATACACGGACTTCCTTTTCAAAATATACTTTACTCATATTTTCAGATCACGGAGCATTTCCTGACCAAGCTTTACCGGCTGCTTCTCTACGAAGTAAGTTTAAAATATGAAGTTACTCTATGCCCTTGATTTTTCTAGTCTACAATTTCTTGTTACACCTAAAACGATCTGTTTTTGTTTCTTTTCATACAGTTATTATGAATCCTAAAATGTCTGCTAATTCTCCAACAACGGAGTAGCCGGCCTGGTCAAAACAATATCATCAGGACAATTTTTGGGACATGTTTTCTTTCAGCTCATAGGGTGTTTCTCAAATGCATGTTTGGCATTATCGGCTTGCAAACGTTGATTATTTTTGACAGATTATTTTCCCAATAAAACCCCTGTGGCACACAACGTTCCTTCAAAAGAGGAAAATACTGGAGAGCATTTGCTACCTCTATTGGACATGCTTTGTTGTCCTATAATCCCGCTTTTTGTGTTTAGTTGGTTCTCGATGCCCTTCTTCCAGGCTTCTCGTGACTGTTAACTTGTTTTCCGCGAATCTAAATTATCAGTGAGGCACAGCACAATCCTTTTCTAGCCCGCGGTCCGTCCGAAACGTACACCAACGCCCGGCGTTCTCATCAATAACTTTAGCAAATTCTAAGACGGGTTTTCTCAAGCCTCTTGAGCTGAGCAGCTAGCATCCTTATAGTCTTAGCCTGCCTTCGTATCACTTAATCTGTTATTCTTTTTCTCTGAGAATTTCTTATGTATCTTTATAAGTATCTGCATTCTATTTTAACATTGTTTACAGTCTAAATGAAGTGGAAGCAGCAAAACAAATCAGTTAACGTTACGGCCATACGAATACTTGGGAGAAAGTTAATGCAAGTGTTCAGAATAGAGAAGTAAACACTGGCGTATGGCAGAAATGTGTTTCAATAGGACGGTTCTAGGGAGTCGCTTGCCCTCCTTTCCCCCTTCCTAATCCTTGCTGCCTCTTGCTGTATTTCGTAACATTTCAGTTGTGATATTCTTCGTTATGTTTACATCTTTTTAGCCAGATGAAAATTCAGAGGTCCTATCTCCACTACCTGACAAGGTTGTTTTAGAGCAGGCTTTGCGATTTTGTGTTTTGAATGCAGAAAGTGCCAAGAAATTTTCTGTATCGGTAAGTTATTTTGTTTGGCAAGTGTCTGTTGCTTTTTAAATAATTGCCTGTCTGTTGAAAGACTTTCGTCTACACGAATGGAAATGAAAAAAGGAACAATTTCTTTTTACTTTCTATCATGTCTACATAAACAACAAGAAATTGTGATCAATTATTAATTCTAAAATATCTTCTTGAGCCACGTCTCCTTCTGAAATCGAGCATTCGAAAATGTCGACTTCATCCCTCGGAGTTCTAACGGCCTTTTTGGTTAAAGGCTCTCACATGGCCCGTTCTTTATGCACATTATCTTTGTCTTCGGATCTGTCGTGACTGAAAGAGACATTGTGTGAATTTTGATTTGATGTAAAGAGTTGAACGACCAATGAATAAAACGAAACCTCTATTTTTCGTCAAGTTTACTTATTTCGGCACCTATGAATTTTTTTAGGGTGGGGCTAAATTGAGAGGGGGCTAATTAAATTTTTCCTTCTGAAAAGGAGGGCTTATAAGAGAGGGTGGCTTAATTGACAGGGGGCCTCCCAAGATCTCCTGGACCTCTGGCAATTTGATAATTTTGATTTGAAACTTCCATAAGCAATCCATAGACAAATATTCTGTTAGCATTAGGGGCCATTCACAAAGGACGTCCAAGCTGAAGGGGTTCGGGGTTTGGTGAATCCGGATAAATTCGGACATAGGGGGAGAGGGTATTTGCGCAATCTGGACGTCCAGGTTTCAAGATAAGTCTCAGTTTGCATTGACCTTATCATGAAATATTCGGACAGTCAAAAAGGTAAGGTATCTTCCAGGCCTACTTCTCATAAGAAGAAATTTTGAATGTGGACTGCAGTTGACTAATATAGGGGAACAACCTGTCAAAGAAAAAAAGATTTACACGGATCTTCTGCAAACCAATGGCAATATCACATCTGAAATCAGAAGGCTACGAGCAAGTTGACTTGCCGTATGATTGATTTGTTCTGTCCATCTGTGCAAAAAAGCATGTAGAAAAAGTCAGTGGCGGATTTAAGGGGGGCAACTAGGGGCAGTTGCCTTTCCCTCAACGAGTTGAAGTAAGTCTGGCGCCCCTTTTTGGAAATTGTGAGCCCCTTTTGAAGATTGAGAATCAGGTGAAAAGGTTTCTGAGACCGATAGGTTAATTTACGTCAAGGATTACCTCAAAGTTATGTTGTTTATTCCAAAAATGGATCTGAAATTGTTGTATACAGCGTACTCTCGTCATAAATTTTTCAGCGCCCCGACTACCAACTGTCCCTCCTTCAAATTTACTCTTGATCCGCCCCTGGAAAAAGGTGGCAGCAGATACCAGTGCGGTTTTGTGAAATGCCGGTAAAATTTCACCTCTGTAGAGCTGGCTAAAATGCACCTATCTCGATACCTGGCCACGAAAGGTTGGCACTGAAGATTGAAGAGTGTCAGAGAGTGAAGCAGCAACTAAGGAAGATGTAGTAGCAGTTACCTTCTCTTATGGATATTGCCACCTTTTTTAAGCAGCCATTCACAGAAACTGACTACTTAAACGAAGAGTGAAACACGACTTTTGCTGCTTATATCTAATGCTTTCTTTGAATACAAACGTACTAGAAAATCAAAAATTGTTTATTAAGTCAGTTTCTGGTTAGAACAAAGAACGGCTTTTTACTTTTTATTTACATATACATGATTGAATAGCTTTCAGTATGATAGGGGTGGGGTGGGGGTGGGGGCTCTGAATACGGACAATGCCGGACAAAAGGGGGGGGAGGTAAAAAATTCAACTTTTTGCTTGATGTCCTTTGTGAATGGACCCTTAGTATTATTATATAATGTGGAAATTTTCTCAATGCCCCTTTTTGCTTCGTGTATACAATGATTTATCAACTGCCATTAGACAAAGAAAGTTTTCTTCGATTACTCCACGAACTAAACGTTGTTTTATTTGTCTACTTCTTTAAATAAACGAGGAATTGAACTAGTATCTGTGAAACAGGTAGTCCAATTTATAGTGTACCAACAACGAAGCATGTTTTGATCTGACACAAAAGTTTTCTACATTCTTAAATGCTAACTGTAATTACTAAGCTACCTACTTATCCTTTTTTAACCCAGACTGGCACTGCTCCATTCAGCTCACCAAGTAGCCAAAATACAGTGAATCAAGTGACAAGCAAGAATCCGGAAGAGACAAAGAGCAATGATGTGACAAATTCAGAGGACCAAAAACAGGCTGCAGAAAACTGAGCAGTCTTATGCACAAACAATTTTGGTCATGTTTTGTCAATGGAAGAAAATTTAGCTAAGCAAATGCTGCCGATTTATTGCAATATTGCAAGAATGTGACAGTGTGCATCAGTAACATTCATATGTATTGATGCAGCATCATCACTTTTGTACTTGGATCGAAGAGGAGTTAATCCTATTATTATAAATAGTAGTGTAATATTTTAAACAAGACAATATAAAAACTTTTCAGCTTTCTTCAATAAAGTTCTGACAAAGCAGGAACACAGGAGAAAGGGAAACAAAATTGAACCATCTCAACAGAAAAGAACATCCAGAGAATGATATGTTTATATACATTAAATATCAAACCGAATTCTATATTGATTGTGCTAAGGCCCTTTTCATAATGTAATCTGAAGGCCTTTTCCATATTTCTAAATCAGGCATGGCACAAAAGGAAGCCATAATTCAATGTTTGAATTATAATGAAAAGAGAGACCTTTTTCTATTGGAATTTGCTATCTTTCAACCAGTGGTGCTAAGGGTTTAACTAAGGTATTAACCACTCAACTTTACTTAAGGTTGAATGGAATCCTAAGGTCTTATTCAGAGAATCCTTTGGTGCCTGCCAATCAATTGAATTAAAAGTTATTTACAAGTCGCATATGAATTGTATTGTAAATGTTAATCAAATATTACAAAGTATTTTCCAAACCCTCCTCAACTATTTAATATACAGTTTAATTTACAACCAAAGGTTTTTGAAGATCTACACAAAGCCTTAAATTATCCAGTTTCAAACAAATGTATGAGACTTTTTTACCTTTTGGCACAGATACATAAGCAATACTTTGCTTTTTGTATGAGAGTAATTGCAGTATTTCATGCACAGAAATAAATTATTCTGCCTCAATCCTAATAACATAGGTTATTATTTGCAAAACAGGCAATAGGTTATAAGTTTTTAAGGACTTTTATAAACTTTTTTCAACTTTAATATCAGTATTTACAGCAGGCTTATGTAACAATGAATAATGTTCTGAAACTGATGAGCTGAACAACTTAACTGAACTGTATTTAGACACCACGTAAAGACCTAACTATAGCTTCACAATCTGACAAGTTTTCTGCTATCTTTTTCCTTGCCTCGTTTTCTTCAATTATTCTTTTTTCGATTTCTTCCAAGTCTTGTTCACACGCAGCTTGTTCATTTTGCAAGGTTTTGAGTTCTTCCAATTTAGTCTTGATCTCCATGGTGATACCATCACGTCTTTTTTGACAGCTCTGTCTTTTTTGGGATAAATCTGTTGTAAAGCAATGGAAAACTCATTTCACGTTATATATCCAAAGGTTTTGAAAATCAATAAACATCTGAAAATAAGCTTTAAATTTTGAAATACAAAGCTAGGGCAAATTCACAATTATGAGTGTGAAATTGCATGAAATTCAAAATTAGCAAATTGTATCCAGTTTGCTAAACCAAAGGCTGGAATAAGTAGAGACTGGAATAGAAGAAAAACACGAGAAGTTGACAAACTAACCAGGTACCAGTTATGCAATTATCACGCACAAGCAGTACTGCTAGCAAGTGAGTGCGAAGAAGTTACAAATGACATAAGATAACAAAAAAACTAGTCAGTTTCAGCCAAAGTACCAGTCCAAAGTTAGGTTAAAAGTTTTTAAAATATTATACTTGCTAAAAATATTTAAATTGTCACAAACTCATTATGTTTTCCCTAACCCTTCGAATCGCACCCTTGTATTGTGAAGAGGTTTTTCAAGTTGAAGAAAAAAGGATTTTCACAAATCTATAAATTTTATAGAATATCATATTTAGCACTTGTCCTGGTCATGAATAACAGGTGTATAAAACACTTCTATGGCACTTTTCTTTATATTCAAAAGAGAATCTTGTTACAGAACTGCAGCCTTTATATAAATAAAGAGAGAATTGTCAAAAGATCCAAGTTAGAAAGAGAAACGTTAGATGATGTTGACCGGTTCCTATATTTTGCTTCTACATGAGAGTGCTGTTGCTTTTATACACTTGTATTTGGTCTATGAAGGACAAAAGAGCCAAAAGACAGTTAATTTACTGACAACATGAACATACAGGAGGTATCCACACATAAAACAAAGAGATGCTATGAATGTGTTGTTGGTTATATGACTATGAATACAAAGCAATTCAAGGTGTAAATGACAGTGATACAATGAAGAATGTGATTTCGATTTGACAATTGTCACTACAGTGGTTTCCCTTAAAAAGCCGAAATATCAGCCAATGGCAATCCAAAGAAAGCCAACATACCTGTCATTCGCTCATCACTCTTTAAACAATCTGATTCAAGAACCTTTCTCTTCTTCTCAACAGCCTCAATGATAATGCCATCTTTTTCATCTACCCTCTTCAACAGGGTTTCTAAGGTTGGCTTTTCTTTTGGTTGGTTTGATTCATTTGGGGTAGCACCTGAAAAAACTGGTGTTTATGAAACTGAAGCTTTTGCTGAACACTAACTTTTTAGTAAAATGCCTTTATCAAGTTGTGGTAACAAAAAACTTGTTGCCTTTATAACTTTAGGCATGTGATCCATAAAACAAATAAGTTTAGGCAACCTGATAGTCTTTTAAATGTAATATATGTATCAAAAGGTGAGCATCACTGTTTGAAAAAGCATATGAGGTTATTATAAAACCATATAGTTTTTACAGAATTCCAGAAGAAGTTTATTGAAAACAAAATAATTTAACAAATAAGATATAGGATTTTTAAGGCCTTATTGCCATTAATCTGTTTTAGATTTTAAATTCCATTAATACTCTCAAAATTGGAGCCATTTCATACCAAACTGAATTCATTCAAAAGTGCTGTTTATGGTGGAGTCATTTGAAAACAGAATCATTTGAATATGTGCTGTATTATAGGTAACAGCAAAGAGAGAGGCATTCAAAAACAGAGTCTTTCTATATCTGTTTAAGAAAGAGCCCAAACAAAAGATATGAGAACTGATAATAATGGAGCAATGGAAACACCAAAATTATTGTTTTCACCAAAAGATATGAAAATGATAATGGAAACCAGGCCTATAACGCACACCAAAGAAACTAAAAATTACTTTATAGAAAATAAACAAGAAATCAATAGAAACAAATGAGAAAATAAAAAGAAATTCAAAACAAGAAACAGTGCGTCTGATAGAAAGCATGTCTTGGGAGTTTTAGGTGTGTGTGAAGGTGTGTGCATGTGATCGCACGCCTAATATTACAAGGACAACACAAGCATATGATCTATTTCCTAGAACACTAGCACTAACAACTTGAAGTTTAAACACAAAATAAACAAATATATATTAAAAGGGTTTTGTCAGATTAAGGCTGTTAATGTATTTACGTATAAATTTCAATTAATGAAAAAGAACATTGGAATCGCTTTTTGGTGGCAAGAAAAGAGGAGGGGGTTTTAACAAAAAAGGGGATCTGTCAAAGTGTCAATAAACATAGTTTAGGGGGACATCAGAAATATACCCCCAGCTTAACAGCAACAAGAAAGAGTTCATACTTAACAGAATGGCAGATAAGGATAACAGTAGGCAAATTACCTGTTTGGTGGGTTGACAGCGGTTGTCTATTATTTGACTCTGCTAAAGGCCCAACCACTGTGCTTGAAGATGCCTCATCTGATAAACGATCATTTGAATCCAAATTTGAGACATTGACCAAAGATGGTTTTACATCTGGTTTCTTTATTGATGCCCAAAATTGGGTTGTACTAGATACAACGTTTTGATCACCAACAGGTTTTAAGTTTTTATGAGATTGCTCCTGGCATATACGTTTCTGTGTGGTAAAACTGCCTTCTGACACTGGGCCCCTTTTTCTTTTTTTTACTCTAGACTTGCCCATTTCTGTGATCATAATATCATTGTCCATCAACTCAGCAATATCCATTGCTGACTTTCCGCTGTGGTCTCTTATTTCAGGATCAGCTCCGAAGTCTAGTAATTTTTTGATAAGAACCCTGTATTCATCTGCACAATTCTGATCTTGTCTTCTTGCAGCAAGAATGTGCAAGACCGTTTTCCCTTCCCTGTTTCTCAAATTGATTCCATCCGTCTTTGACAACCCTCTATCTTCCAGCTCTACAATTTTTTCAAGCATTACCTCTAATGGGATTCTGTATGAAAGAGACTGATACTCAGCTATGCAAATTGCACAGATGTGAAGTGGTGTGTCTCCATTATCATCCTTTACAAAAAGGGCTGGTGCAAGCAGATCAACCAAACTTCTGAGCTTATTAAATTGCTCTGATATTTTCCGTTTACTGTACACAATATTGAAGCATACTGCAACACGATGCAGAGCTGTTTGGCCTTTGTCTGGTGATTTTACTGTTGGTTCATAGCCTTCTTTTATCAGATATTCAACAGCAGAAACCTTACCCAGTACACTGGCCCAGTGAAGCAATGGGTGCTCATATTCCCTGAGATTGTCAGGAATCGGTTCATCTTGTGGGATAATATCACGGAACTTCAAATATGTTGACTTAAACTTTTCTATCGATCTTTTCTCATTTTCTCTTATATTAACTAGCCTGACAATCAATATATGGTGAGGAAGGCAGCAGTCTGGACCACAAAATGGTGGGCACTTCTTCTTTTCAGGCATTCTTTTGCTTGAAACAAAAAAAGAGATTTCTAGTTTAGTTCAGAAGAAATTTATTTAGATAAATATAACCATGGTCATGGGGCTTTATACAGGATTTTACACTTGAACATGTCATGCTGTTATCAACGTGTGTTCAGTTTTTAAAAACATGGTTTGCAATTGTGAAATTATCTATACAATAACAAATAATGAAATATGTCTTCCAATAGCAAAAGAAAGGTTATAATCATCATGAATTTAAAAGAACATTTACACAGTCACAGTTCCAAGATAGTGAACTTCCATGCTCACTGAATAAAATCACCACAAACTCTTCCCCAAACGATTTTTCTCAACAGACAGTTAGAAATTTTGGAAAAGGTTAGCAATTTGTTGCATCAGGCCAACTTGTTGTGAATATGGATGTATTTATTTTATTTAGTTCTTAATTTAAAGTTGAATTAGGTCAGTGGCATTTGAACCAAACAATGAAAAATGGACCCTTTATCACTAGATGATATAAAAACAATAGGCTGCAATTTGAAGAGGCTAGACTTGATGTATGCTGCAAGATTATGATACAAATAACTCGAAAGCCAACACTTGCATTAAAAAAGCAACTTTAAGGTGGTTCAGTATCATTTCTGTATCATATAGAGTGGAGTGGTTTTATTGACAGGCATATCTTACTACCTAACAAAATAATTATTTCCTTAGTTCAACAGGTATAATTAGTAAAACAAGTTTTAGACTTGAGTCCAATTTCCACTGAGATTTCTAAAATAAGTAAAATCAAGGTAACAAATTCCTAATCCCTTGTAATACAGTAGGACTAATAACATTGATTATAGAACCTTTTTAATTTAGAGCACTCACTCTCTTTCTGGACCCACCATTTTGATATTTATTAGGCAAATACATAATTCCTCGAATATTTAGATGTGCGTGTCCCCATAAAGAAAACAATTTGTAATTTCAATTTTATCGACAAATCTAATTTTACTGCCATGTATTCAGAGAAGCATTCAAAACGATGTTAGAGATAGTCCTAGTAAAAGTCAAAAATTAAAGTCCAAATATCCTAAGTTGAAATTTCTAAAAAAAACCAAAAGGATGTATAATATTTCAAGGTCTATGGAGTTAGACTAGAATACTTTGCACAAACGGGTTGGTAAAAATCATAATTTTATAAATGTATCTAATCTTAATTCATTAACTCTCGAATTTAGACCTAGAGGAAAATTTGTACAGTAGCATCATAAACAGCTTTATACTTAATTGTTGCTGTGTTTGCATTGCATATATTACAAAGTAAAAAGGATAAAAATATGTGTTCAATTGAACCCTGCTCTATTTTATCATAAATATTCCCTTCATTTACTCCCAAATACTTGTTTTCCGATGAGAGAACTAACTTGTGTTAAATTAGTTTCAAAAGGTTTTGTCTAATTCCTTGTGATTTTGGACGCTGATTTCACATGCATGATTCAGATAAAACTGAATTCATATGAAAAAATATTCTGTTCACATTTGAAAAAATTATTCGAGTATGACAGGATGTTTTTAATAAGGCTTCAGTATCAAGGTCAATTTGGGAACTTTACCCCCAGAATATCAAAGATTCAAAAGACCTTCAGAAACATGTGTGGTAGGTTATTTAATGATGTTTGGTGAAGTTTCGTCAAATTCTATATACATTTGAAAAAGTAATTAGAGTACAATGGGATGTTTTTACACTCCCAGAATGTCAGAGATGCAAAAGACCTCCGGAAACATGCGTGGTAGGTTATTTCATGATGTTTTGTGAAGTTCTGTCAAATTCTATTCACAATTGAAAAAGTTATTCGAGTACAAATATATGCGAGTTTTAGGTAGTTTTTCCAGTCGAATGTGTGCTTGGAGTGCTGTGTTGATTTTGATATGTTTCTCTGGAAATTTTGCAGGAAATTGACAAATATTGCAAGTGGGTATGGCTTAATAATATACCTATATGTTTTGTTTTGAAAAAGAGTTTTTGATTCGAATGTTTGTCAAGTTTCTCGAACGTCCACTTTTGGGCCTAAGTGTGTTCACTGTCACAACCAGTATGTTTTCTAAAATGAAGAGACTTTCCTCGGATTCTTTAGCAGCTGAAACAAAGTTCAAAAGTGTGGCTTTATTTTTTTGTAATTGGTTATTGCATTACAAATCTACTTTTGCTACACTAAACCAAAACCCTCCGAATGTGTAAACATGAACGCGAATGTCTAAACGAATGTCGCATTGTAAATTGCGGACCCTTATCCGCCATGTTTAGGCCCACAAAAGGACGGATTTTATTTGAGACTAACATCTGGGTTATCAAACAAATACATAAGCAAAACAACTCACCAGTTATGTTCCTATCTATGTCTGCTCTGATATTATCTATCTACCATCCGTTCAGAACTGTAGCAGTTCTACTGAACATAATTTCGAACGCGGCTCGGTGCGGGAGCGTTCAAAAAACCTTGACTTTTTGAAAAAAACTAGCTATCGGATGTCATCGCTGTTCTGACATCCCCCGTGGCATTTTGCTAGATGCTTAGCCAGCGACTCCGGTCTTTTCTACCTCCGGGGGTAATATCATAAACAGAAACTCATGTCAAACAGGTGCTTTGGATCTTTTGAATGAAAATCTAAACTACTAAACTAAAGATAGCATCTTCAATAATTTATCTTCCTTGCGTAGCCTTCCATGGAAAAAATTGCATAGTTGGGCCACATGTAGTAACAGCGCAACAACCATGAGTATACATTTGACTTTATAAGTTGAATTTAATGCCACATGTTGAATTTCAACCTCCCGAATAATGTGACATGAAACTTGACAGCCTTTTTTCTCTAAAAACTAGTGCGTCTAATTGGAGGAATTGTGCGCAAAGTCGTCGTGAAATAATGTCGTTTAAAATGTAAGAAACTATTGCTAACAATTTCTAGGAACAAATTTTCTCAGAATTGATATAGCCTTTTTTCAATGCGACGATAAAAAAATTGCTTCCTAACCAAACTAAAATTTTCGTTACTGTATCTTTCAAACGAAAAATGTTTTCCCCGTTTTTCATATTTTTGCTTTCTTTAGAAACTGCTAGTTGTGATAAAATTGGACTGAAGAGTTTTTAAAGGACAGTCTATGTTGGATTAACTTCCTGATTCACAGATTTTTCACTGTTATTTGTCAAGCAGAAAAGAAATAAAAACTCGGGTTACTATACAAGTCTTCAGATCTGCTATTCAAACCATAGTAGTTGATTAATCTAAAGCTTTGGCAAAGCCAATTTACCGATGGGCATGGAAATAAAAAGTAATTGGGATACTTTTAATAGAGACCAGGACACTGTACACTATCCATGCAGATTCTGGCTTTAGAAATGAGTCTTGTGGAACATCTTCTGTTGATGTTTCTGTAATTAGCTGCCCATTAACCTCATACAACTGTTTCCTTGTAAAGGAAAACAAAATGTTCGCATTCCCAGGACTGGTACTAAAGACAAACTATTTTTGGAATGCATCAAAAGCATCAAACAACCATTTAATAAACCTTATGAACATTAAGTATTTTTAAAAATACATGTACAATCTGTATTTCGTTTATATAAATGGACATAAGATTAAATCGATTTTCAAAGCATATGGTAATCAAGTCTACACGTCCTGCAAAGAAGCTAAGCCATACCTGGGAGCAGACCGGGGGGGGGGGAGGGAATTTGAAAAGGATGAGGAAGGGGAACAAGGGAACATGAAGCAGGATGAATATTGAAAGCACATGACAGGACCAGGTTCGGACGAAATAACGGGCCTCACTCATGTGTTTCTTCTGCATAATTCAATTCCATTAGATTTTTCATATTTTGGAGTTTGTATTCTATTGAAATTTAACCTCCATGTAAATTAACAAATGGCAACATTTGGATAATATCATCGGCTCGACCCGGCAAACCATAACGACATCAGCTGTGCCTTGTGAACAATGAAGACACTCTCCATTGCAAATGAGATCGATAGTTTTCAACCATTGACTGGAAATTTCTCAGAAATCAGACAACCTGATAGAGCATTGAGTTGCTAATATACGATGAAAACTTGCGATTCTTTAGAAATCTATCAACAAAATTTACGTACACTTCATCATGCACAGAGGTTACGGTGACGGATCGTCGAATGCATTACTTTTACGAAACACCATTAGCTACTCTAGCAACATAAGAAGAACTATTAGGTCCCCGCTAAATTCGCTATATGAACTAGTCTGGGACCATCTACTACATACAGGATACAAAGGGTGTTTTCTTTCTCTGCCTAAGAACCTAACATTTACATTCAATTAAGCAGAAACGAAAAGACCAATGAAAAGGCCTAAGAATCGGCTCATTGAGCTTCTGAATATCGCTCCACAAACGGTGCATTAAATCCATGAAGATTTCGCCCCCGACAGGGCTTCAGATTTTCTGTCTTTGATCCACTCATGGAAGGAACCTGTAATTCCTGTAATCAACGGTGTTCCAAAGTCTATCTTTTTCAGCACACTATCCTCGTCAGTTTGAAATTCAATCGATAAGAACAAACTTTCATTCTACGAAGTAAACAAATCGTTTATGATTATGGAGTAAGAGAGTATCAATGCGAACTGGTCCACAGATCAAGCAGACTGGGAGGTTCAATTTCAAATTAAGAAAGAAAACTAAGCATACAAACAATCACGATCACAGGCACGCCGGATCACATCTTTGAGAGGGGACAGGTTCTCTTTACGGGCTACCAGCCTTATATGGTAGGCTGCAATCTGGTTGCATATGCTGGGTGCACCTTGATGTTGTACTTCAACAAAAAAGTAAGGAGGGAAGAGCTATATCCCCCAGTCCCCACCCCAGACCCCTGCGTGCCTGGATCAAAGAGAAAGCCAGCGTTGTATTCGCTTTGTGTTTACTGGGTTCCTTTTTCGGATCCATTTGTGCTCCTCCGTAGCAGACTCACTATGAAGCTACACATGTTTTGGGTTACGGCGTTCGTCTCAACAAATACATCACGGACTGTCGATAAGCCTGGTTACTTCATGTGCACAATGTTTTTAAATCAAAATATGTCTCAGTAATCAAACTGAGAAATCAGTTGAATCCCGTTAAGTCGGACCTTCCAGGAGGGAACGACATGATCCGATTTAGCTATTGTCTGGCTTACTGGGTACGACTTTTGACTTGTAATCGGTAATTGAAAGTGAAAACTAAATCCGACTTCGTGAAAGTCCATGTTATCCGGGGTGCGACTATGTGGGATTCAACTGAATTTCTGAAGCTCATGACAGCTTTCTTACCCAAAGCTTCTGCAGTTGCAAAATCCTGAATCCTCCAACATATTTTTCATGTCCCATTGGTTCTATATCTGTATTGTCGCTCATTACGTTGACATCAAGAGGCTGAAATGGAAAGACACTCGACATAAGACAAAATACAGCTACGCTTTTTCTTTCATGCAATATATTGGTGAAACTGGGGTTGGGGATAGGCGGTTCAACAAAAATCTCCACGCATTACACAAATGTTTTATATCCAAACTGTTAGGGATACTAGTTTTATGCAGTTATTTGGAAATTGCACGGAAAAGCGGAAATACATTATGCTAAATTATTTTCGTCTCTCGTCAGAAAGTAAAATGTCGAATAATGACCAAAATAATCACTTAATTAGTGACATCTTAATTGGTGACATATCAAATCTATTGGTGAGGAAATGAGAATAAAATTATCTCTAACAATAAATGCAAATTGTTGATATCCGCGTCGTTATAAAGCTTTAACTGGAAACATCAAGCTAAATCGAGTGCCAAAATTTTTAATGGCCATTTGACAGCCCAACAAGGTTTGCCTTTGGTTGAAGTAGTGTTGTGCTAAAAAGTCTCTTCTCCTACAATGTCACATAACGTGGGTTTAGCCCCAGCCATCCAGGACATCCAGGAAGACTCTAACCCTAGCAACCACGAATTCAGTCATACTATTCTATTTAATATTTATTTAATATTTAAACAATGTTCAAATTATTGTCTTGCATTATTAGGTTTTTAATTCATTATAACTTATACCAAAAGTTTTGATGGAATATCGTGTAGAAAAATGAATTTTCTAAAAAAAATACCTGACTAGCATTGCCAGTTGGGGGGGGGGGGGGGAGTTGCTATCATTCCTAGGTCACATGACACTTGCCCAAAAAAGGGGCACTTGGCGGCACAATGATAACACAACAAATCTGTTTAAGGATTGTAGTCTATAAAAATCAAAGAAAAATATCAATCTTGTTAGTGTGACGGTAAATTTCAATATTCATGAATATTTTCCCTGCAAGAAATCACAAAAGAAACCAAGTTATTGTACAAATGAAGAACGAGAACTACCTCACAAGCGCTGACAGAAAACCTAAAATTCTTTATTTCCTTTTCCCCCGTGTTTGTGACAAAAATCTCAGTGATCATGACATTGCTAAATGCTCTATGGAAGTAAAGTTTGATCACTGCCGAATCCATTTCAATCGTCATCGGAGCTGGTATGCCTAAAACAGATAATTATGACCATTATAGCTATCAAATATGCGGAGTGTGAATTATACTACACAAACACAATAGGAACAAATATTCAGACATTGTTTATACACAATGACGAAGGCGTAGATTTGATGCAGGATGTGCTGCAAAACCTGTTACATTGATGTTAGTATCGCACAAATTTCTATAGCTGTGCGTACTTTTAATTTCTATACACGTAAATTTCTGCTAGTTAAAAATTGGCTGAGTTCATTGAGCGTTTTCACCACGGTTCAATCATTTGGACTTGAATACCTATAAACAAATCGGTACAGTATTTAACGTGATAGCTCGGGGCTTAAATAGGCAAGCGGCGCTGATTGGGCAACCTCAACAGTCATGTGCTCGCATTTCTGATTGGCCTATTTCGATCCACAACTGGGTATATATATTTCCTAGCGTAGAGTTTTGCATCTATCTTCTGACATTTTATACTCTGAAGAGTGTCAGACGGCAAGCTTTTGTTTGACTCATCAAAATGTTTGTTTTTTTCAAAGCCATTTTTAAGTTTTGTACCACCAAAAGATTGTTAGCTGAAATTGTGCAGACTTAGAACTAAACACTAAGAAGCAATTAACAAAGCAAATACTAATAAACGCACTGTTTCCTTCTTGCCAAAGCTGGCACCTTTCTTTTAGTTTGTGAATGTCTTCTTCTAAAATCAGGATTGGTGCTGTCAACCGGCATTCCATGTAAGCGTCTGATTCGTACGTCGGCCTCTGAGCAACGGATCTGCTTTGGACGACAGCTGTAAGAGCCATCAAAGGAAACACGAGTCAGAAATAGATGTATGCTTAATAAATGAAGTGCATGCATGGAACGAGACTTCCTACCTGTTTACTTCAAAAAAGAGGTTTTCCTCTTGAGCGGCTTTAAAAATCAGAATAAAGAAATTTGCAATGTGTTAACAGCTTGAAGAATAATTCAGAGAGACTTCTTTTGTAGGGAGGTGTTCGTTGTAGGGAGGTGTCCGTTGTAGGGAGGTGTCCGTTGTAGGGAGGTGTCCGTTGTAGGGAGTTGTCCGTTGTAGGGAAGTGTCCGTTGTAGGAATGTTTCCGTTGTAGGGGGGTGTTTGTTGTAGGGGGGTGTTTGTTGTAGGAATGTTTCCGTTGTAGGGGGGTGTCTGTTGTAGGGAGATGTCGCTGTAGGGAGATTTCCGTTGTAGGGAGATGACCGTTACAGGAAGGTGTCTGTCGCTGGGGGGTGTCCTTTGTAAGGGGGTGTCCGTTGTAGGGAGGTGTCGCTGTAGGGAGCTATACGATGAAAGGAGATGTCAGTTGTCAGGAGGGTACGTGTACAAGGCTGAATAAAAATTCTGAGATTTGCTTATGTAGACGAAAAAAGTTTCCGTAAGAAGGAAAGAAATGTGGAAACAAATTGGGTATTCGTAACAGAGAGTTAACCACTCGTGGATATTTTACTGTATTACAATATTACTCAAACATTCTCAATCTAACTTCAGGAGTGAAAAAAAAGCTGAACCATTATCACCTGTACTGACATCCATCAATATGTTTTCTATTCTTACATCGCGTCGTATGTTCTTCAATAGATATCTTGCGTAAACTCCGTTTTTCTGGTTTGGTTCTTCAAAGGCCACGTGCTGCGTGCAGCTACAAGTCATTGACATAATAAAGATACAATTTATAGAAAATGTCACGATTCACGAGCAAAATAAACAACTCGGACGAGAAAACTTTGAAATTTGGAGGCTAAAGTCATCGTCATCAAACTGTTTTTTTAATGCTCTCTGTGAATTAACAGTAATTCTTTAGTAAAAGCATTCTTAAAAGCAATCTCCTTTTTGCACGAGAAAGGCAATTAGTTCTTCCTGGAATTAATTTCCCCACCGGAACTATAAACTTCTCGTTAAAAAATTATCCTAAGCATCAGCACCCTGTTATGAACATCAAAACAAATTGCTTTAAATGAAGCATCAATTGGACTAAAATACAATAAGCTTGGTCAGTATTCAGCAGTAAGACATTGTAGCTGGCGCTGACCGCCATAGAATACTGCCATGTAGCGATTTCTTTGAATTCTTAGACAGTAACACACTTTAATCTGAATTGGAATTTCATAGGCAAAACGACTTGTCGGAACTTTTCCATTGCTTTCAAGCATTATCCTTTGAAACATAATTGCAACTCGAAGTTTGTATGATTATTCGCCAAAATTCTGTATGAATATTTTTTACAATTATTTTTGCGTAATAATTAGCTGCTTTTTGTAGTATGACTAAATTTACTTTCAGTAAGATCACATATTGATCTCGTTAGGATTAGAGGAAAGTCATGAACATTGCAAGTTTATTCAATCACTTGGCTACATATCTCTCCTAATCTTTCGTTATATGTCTTGTATTATTTTTACATAAACTTTCTTTTAATAATCTTGATATGGCGTAAAACTGCATATGTTATTCTTGTTTACAACTTGTGGTTAAATTGGGAGATTTTTGTGAAATTGCTCTAACAAGGGACTGTAGAATGAAAAGAGAATGATTTAGTCCCAGAGTTTACGTATCTGAAGATATAAGCACGATGAGTCATTCGTAGAAACTTGATCGCAGAATGCAATTTGGACCTGCTTCTTTAGACGTTCATATCTAGATACTTAAACAAATTTTAAGAGTTGGCAACTGGGGATTTCATAGTCACAAAAGGAAAACATATAAAACACTATAAATACAGACCAGGAATACGCTATAATGGTGTTTCCTTGTCTGCCACGTTTTAACGAGCACCGAGGAGCCTCGTTGTCTTTAGCCCTGTTAAAAGAAAACAAGAACCCATATAAAGTCGTGAAACGAGGACCAGTTTGGCCATTCCACTCTCCCCTTGGAACAATGATGCAATTGAGGAACAAACAAATTACACAATATTGTGTATACATTACGAAAACACAGTCCTCTAAACATTATGTAACAACAATGTTTGGAAAGAGAGAAGAGGGTGAAATATAAAATGTGCAAACTTTGCATTGTACCATTAGTTTTGGCAGGGGTTGTACGCCATAAAAAACCAACCTAATTTTAAATCAAATTAAATACCCTCAAGATTTTGATGTAACGGGCAGATAATTTGGTTCCTATGATAGCGTCCATGTTGTGGTTGCATTAACATGAAGTAGATCTTGCTTGCTAAGCTTGGAGTGGATCTTTTAGTCTTCTATAGAAAAAACCAAGATTGGTACTGGGTTTCTACATATCACAAAATCAATATAAAATTGCAAAACACCGTACCTAGTTCTGCAGCAATCAAGAAACATCAAGTTGAGCAAAGTGTCACAGCTTTGCATTTCTTGTAGAAATTCTTGCGCTCTTATACTTTCATTAGGATCGGGCGACATAGCATCCACAGGAAGCAAGTAGTTTTCCCCATCTAACTCGAAGCCATGGCCAGCGTAATAGATAACTGCATAGATCCCACTTCCTGAAACAGCGACCGAGTAATAACATTCAGAAATCACTACAACTTTTCAGAAAGCAAATACATTATTATTTTTATTGCCTAATGGTTTGTACTTGAGAATGAATGATTGTCCATTGGAAAAGGAGAGGTTCATTGCAATTACCCTGGCATATTCTTAAAGAAAGAACCAAACATAGTCTTCCAGAAGTGAGCATCTGGGTATCTTCAAGGTGTTGTGCCTCAAAGCTATGAGAAGTGGCTTGACTGGGAACAATGATAAATTCTTATTCTTAGTGATCATAAACATTTTGCCTAAAGCTATTCAAAACTATTTACAAAATTGCTTATTAGGAAGAAAATGTTAGAAAGCACTAATTTCGTCTAGAACCCTAGTAGGCTAGGCGAATATGATGAGACTTTGTTGAGGAAGGACAATTGGTCAATTACTGGGACAATCTGTCTGCTTAAAAATTGTTATGAAGGTTTTGAAGAAAACGCTCAAAATATTGCAAAAACTGTGTAAGTATTTACAAATATAAAGCGAATTGACTCCGAGATACAACGTAATAGCCTAGCTAATGGTAAGATTGTCATTTCACTTTCGCAAAATCATGATGTCAGAAGCCTAAAAAGGTACCAGAAAGCTAGATTACTCTTCTCGCAAGGAAGGTGATACATACCAAGAAGACGACAAAAAGCGAGCATGCTCGTTCGCATTTCAGTTAACGTTAAATCCACAAGACTGATAACCTGGAACAAAATATTTTCAACTTAAAATTTGTTTTCATTGTGGTTTTATGTTTGTACGTTGCTCAGTAGATAGCGTCGCAAATTTAAGGGTCTAGAGCTTTAGCCATGACAAAACTTTCGTATAGAGTGAGAAGAGTCGCCAGCTCTCTGTAATTCCAGGCATAAGATTAACATGGTGTGGTCACATCGAGAGGAAGAACCAAGAAACTTCTCGATAAGCATAGCTTGGTGTACTCAAACTACCTTCGAAAGCTAGGTAGCAACAAATACGATACTTTCAATTAAACTTTCTTATTACAATATCGTTTCAATTTATCATTTTCTTATTTTCTTGATTTAATTGTTTTCGAGACATTTTAGACAAAAAAACATATTTAGCAGGCCCATCGGGACCGGGGGGCTGGGGGGCCGGAGCCCCCCAATAATTGTCAAACTGTAGTATGCTTTCTTTATAACAGTGCACTGAATGAGATGGAAAGCAATGGGCAGCCTCCCCAATAGAATTTTGTTCCGACGGCACTGTTTAGGCCTGAACTGTTTGCTGATGTTTCTTGCATAAAATAGTGCAAAATATCTTACTTTAAATTTAAGATCCTCCAAAGCTGAAGCGATGTCGTAAGCATCATTACGGGTGTATGAAAGCTGGTTGTACTTCGGCTTCTTATAGTTCTGATTGCCTATCACCAGTGCAATCTTATCATTGGGTGCTACAATTAAAAAAAAATGAAGACCGTCGTAGGTACAGTCATAAACTCATAATGCATATAAAGACGAACGAGTAAATCGAAACCCCCCCCCCCCCCAACAATATTGTATGTCAATTATCTTTTGTTCTAAAACAATGGGAAATATGACGTTATCCTATCAAAATAATGGGCGTGCCCCTAATATTTGATCAAGTGTTTACCACTGCCTTCTTTATTGTGTGTTGGGCAAACAATAAAACTGGAAGTAGCTAACATCGACATGGACTGAGAACAGAATGATCTTTAAAGATATTTCCAAATATTTACCTCAAATACCCACGAAATAAGGTGATAAATCGAACACAAATATAATTGACTGGAGCGAAACAAAAAACAAGTTCAAAACCCTGAATACAGAAGAAGGTTAAAACAGAAAACCAGCTCCTTTGTGAGCATACTGTGAGAAGACCTCAAATAATCGAAAAGAATTCACAAAATATTTGAGAAGAAGTCCCAGCAATCTTATAAGATTTTTTTGTCTCGTTACGTTGTGACTTAATACTGAAATAAGTCTTTCAAATGACAGTATCAAATATCATATGACATCTGATAAATTCTTGCTGGGTTGCAGTACCGTCAACCAAAACTAAGTTGGAAGGCACTGTAATATCTTAACCTTAATCTATAACTAATCTTAATCGTTATCCTCTAACTGAAGCCAAGAGGTTGAAATGCTAAGATTCAAATTACAAAAAAATTGGTTACCGGTAAGGCGCTCTGAGGACTGAATATCAAATCTTGTCGTCTCACCCTCTAGGAAAATAGAAAATTGATTAGTTGGAGGTTTGTCGCAACCAAATAGAGCATTGAATAACAAAGAAGTGAAAAATCACACTTAATTAGCAAAATGAATTCTACATTGAATTACTCTAACTGAGAATATACTCTAAAACTGTCTTGATTATTCATTCTCCATCTTCATTTTGTCGCGAAGCCCTTCAAGTCACCTGAACCAAAGTCTTGGACATTAGATTCACAAACAGTTTGGTAAAGGTAAAAAGAGATGCTCGATAGAAAAAGGAAAATAAAAGAAGAATAATGCATTGAAGAGTGTAAAAAAGCTATTTTTCATTTGAAAGCACAGTCAAAGTTCAACAAACAACACGTGATATGCTCTCTAGCAACAAGTGACCAATCTTTTAATCAGCAAGTGTTGTTTTGACGTCTTTAAATTCAAATATGAATTTTAGTAACTTTAACAAAGGCTAAAAGCAGAGTTTAGAAAAGGCGGATATTGCACAGCCTAACAGCCTTATAAAGAACGACACTGAAAACGAGATTTCCATTTGCTAGAGGTACACTACGCCTTGTTGTGATATTCTGCTGCAGAATTGTGTTCAAGATGCCATAAACTAACAAACTAATTCGTGCGATATATGCATAAATGTTGCTAGTAAAGCATGTCGTGTGACGCCTCCAGACGAGCCTTTAAACAGAATTTCTAAAAACTTAGTCTTCTTGGAAGACCTTGCTTACCAGCAAGGAAATTTAATTTTATCAAGGCTGCAACAACATTTGGAGAACTTTAAAATCTCAAAATAAATAACACTTTCAAACCCATTAGTGAACAGAAATTGATACCTGGTGTTGGGAACTGCGGAGCACCCAAAGCAGCTGTGGGGCTTGGGACTGCAAAAACGAGTACAAAATTCAAAACTTGTCTCTTCAGGTGAAAACAACTAGCGATTGAAAGAGCTATAGTCAATTCAACTGTAAAATTCCATTATTCGAAGAAAACCTGTTTTTGTGTCTAGTTCAGAACTATGTCACGAGAAAGGTTTGGAACATATCTGACAATTTATATTATCAAGTCTAACCACCTTTTCTAACCCCTTTAAAATATTAAACTGCTGCACTGTGACTTTATCAAGTTAAAAGAAGGTTTTCTCATAAGCCAAGCATGTTGGCAGCTGCATCATACCTGGCATTGTTATAGGGGAAGTCGTCACGTTTGAGAAAGAAGTTAAATGTATACAAAAGGGTCTCAAGCTGGTCACTTTGGCTGTTCCAAACAATTTGGCAACATTGTTATTATTAAGGTGTATTTGACCTTGCCCAACATTCCAGCCATGTGTGCAGAGGTATAAAACTAAAACAAAGTTATTCAATGTATAAACCCTAAGATCAGCAAATCTAATCAAAAGTCTAGCCAAAGACATTAACAAAAAGATTAAGCATAGTTATCGAGTCATAGAGTAGAAGAGTAAAAGCTTTTTTGTGTACCTTGTGTCTGAACACACATATCAGTAACATTTGTAGCTCCTGAAAAAAAACATCAAGTTAATTTCAATTCTCAGAGAGAAAAAAGAAGCAGCTCTCTTTTTCCTAATAACAATGTATTAAACTGATACATGGCTTGTTATTTTGTTCTTTATTTTAACCAGCCGATCGAAGTTTAATTTTGAAAAAGCTTTCAATTTTCTTTTCGAACTATAGAACTTAGCTAATGGAGGACAGGTTCTTATGAGGAGATGACGTTTTTTATGACTTTGCAGTTAGAAAATTTGAAAACCTTGAGCCTTCTGTTTTGAAATTCTTGTAAGTTCATTGCATATCTTTAAAAATGTTTTTTGAGAAACTTAGGAGAAACCTTATCACTGGTAAAAATTTTGCATCAGTATATCCAGTATAAACATTATTTGCTAAAAAACAAAAAAATTAAATTTTTTAATGTTGCAATGGTCATATTGAGGTGCTATTCCGGATACATATTCCATAGCAATTGGGAAAAAACAGGAAGAAAGGCTATTTGAAAAAATTGTTTGATTTGAGTTTGGAGTCCCTCTAAAGTCGGTGAATAATGTTTAGGGGTAGTGGCCCGAATTGAAGGCACATAAGGAATTTGAAAACACTGACTGGCGATTGGAAAATACAGAACCTTTCAGTTTCTACTCAAGGAATTCTGACAACATTTTCCCTTTATATCTCAGTCCTCATAGCCATAATCATGAAATGGATATCAATTATCCCTATTGTTCCTTGAGCAAACTGCATAGAGTAAAAACTGACATATTTGCATTATGCAAGCATCTTGTGCACAAAAAAACATGATAACTCCTTGTTGACAAGCTCCTAAAAAATTAAGTAGCAATATCTAGGCTGCTAAGCAATATTTGTGTTGAATGGGTTTTTTTAATTTTCCATATATTTTGGGACAAAGAATGTTTTTTTTTGAAAAAACGTTTTGCATTTAAGATTGAAAGAGCAATAACAGAAAAGATATACACTGTCTAATACTCTTAGTTATGCTTGTTCTGTGCATGTTTGTCTTTCACTGGGCAAGAAGAAGCAAGGGTTAGAACGGGGGGCAACAGTCCCCAATAATTGCCAACAGTATTCTACGGAGGATAACAGATCAATCTTGCTTCCTTTACAGCCCTGTATTTAAATAGCTGGAGCCTTGAAAGACCAATATGGCCAAATAATTAGTGACACAAACAATGAAACTTTAATTGCTTTAAATACATACTCTGTGAAATCCTGTTGTGCGAATTAGCTGCAAAAACAAAAATTGGCAGTTGAGAATCATAGCTAAAACATTGGATTATGTTTCAGCTCCTCTAACAGCTGCTTCTGCCTGGCTTTCTCCTTAATAAAAACCCTGAAAAATCTCCCAGGTTAAAACAGAGAACAAAAAAGCTAAAACACTTGCAATGGGTAAAATAATAGAGTGAATGTACACACAAATTGAAGCACAGACAAATAAGGCAAAAGTTGGTTATTGTCTTGCTTTTATGCATGTTTAAAGAGGCCAGCTGAACTATATTTTGTCTTAGCAAATTTTATACTTAAAATGAAAATGTAACTCTCATCTAAATAGTCAGTAAATAGTCAGTAAAATACAAAGAAAATCACAAGTAAATAAAACGTGAAACAAAAAATCAAAATCAACCATACAAAACACATTGGGCCATAAATCAAGTTGATTCTTTTTCTTCTTGTCTCAGAATTTCAAATCTCAGCAATTGAATAACTTATCAACAGGGTTTTCCCAAAATGCATTTTGCCTTAGAAATTTGGCTGTGTACACCAAGGTGTTGGGGGCTTGGGAAAGGGGGCAAAGCCCCAAGAAAAAGATAGAGCCAAAAGCAAGGGCATAGGGTAACCAATCCCTGTCCCCCTGCCTCTGTGTCACTGCATGTACAGACTACAGGGGCAAATCTCAAACTAAAAGCCTTAATACATTTTTTCTAGTGGCTAAACTTCTTTCTAGTAAATGCATAATTCTATCTTTTTGAGAATCTTAAATTCTGAACTAAAGATATTTTATCAAACCCTGGCACACAGCAATACTTGCTGACTTTAGTCAGTTTTAGTTTATGTGATCAAAGTGAGAAACATTATAACAGACAAAAATTTTATACCATCAAAATATGAAAAATGGATATGACCGACATTTGGCCGTCAGATGCCACTGTCAAGTAGCCTTCTATGTAGGCAAAAGTATCAACCTGTCTTACTTTCACTAAAGTTGCATTTTGCTATTTCTATTATATCATTATTCAAATACCAATTGACCAAATTCAGTATATAAATAATTCACATCAGAATACCTAACCAAGAATTTTGAATTTACCATTCTCAGAATGTGTTACTTCTTCTTCGAGCTCGTCTTGTGATTCGTCACTTACAACTGTCTCCCCTGAGACAACATATGCTTGAAAAATGACATTTTAAGTAAGAACAAACACCCCATGCAATCTTTCAATGCAGAATATATTTTTAACCAAAAAACTGTCAATAATCACATTCAAAATATGTTTATAATCATAAATAAACTATTTATTTCTATAATAACATATCATAATCTGAAAATAACTGAAATTCATAATTTGCTCATAATCAAGTCAGCCAGTGTATATATATTTCCAAAATGGTTGGCTTTAAGTGGAATCGCTTGGCTTTATGTGAAAATGGCCCCTACAGGAGAAAAGCAGTTGAATCTATCTGAAAACTGCTATAATGTAGCCATAAAAGCGAAAGGCTCTTTCCCTATCAAATTGTAATTTTTTGAGCTTAGTTCTCAAATCTATGAACAAAGCCAAAACAATAGCAATCCATTAGTAAACTTTCTCTTTTTCTCAGCATATCAAAGGCTCCATTTGCTTTGCTTTCTTTTTCAAAAACTCACTCCCATCAAAATCCTTACTGAACAATGCAGTTTACAGGACATTAAAAAAACTTTATCAGGGCACAACCAAAAATTTTATGACCTTCAGCATCACCAAATTAAAGATGTTATAGAAACACTAAAAATTTCTTGCAACAATAACCAACAACGACAACAAAGAAAAAAATTTGTCAAGTCCATTCAGTATGATTTGTCTGTGGCAGTGCTAGCCATAAATTATTCTGGAGACAATAGGTTGTCACAGGCTCTCCATTCAATACACTTTGGCCAAACACATAACTTAGCTGGTCTCATGAGCCCCAACTGAAAGCTGAGGCAAATTTCATTAGACCAGTAACATTCATATTATAACAAATTACAAGTAAATGCATTCTTTGCTTCTTTAATTGGCATGCAAAAGAAGGAAGCAACTGAGACAACAGAAATAGCTCCATACCTTTTGCATTAAAAGAACTCTCTGTTGGTGTCCCTTTGGGCTCAACACTATTGGTACCTTACAAAAAATACATATAATTAATGCATGTATTTTCGTCTGCAAATAAATGTAATAATTTCTGTAAAATGATATCTGCCAAAATGACATGAAAATATTTGGGCTCTCCTCTCTGCTGGAAAAGAATTTTCGACGAAAATTTTCTTGAAAGCAAAGCAATACTATCATTAATGCCTTAAAAAAATATCTTTAGATTTCAAAGTAATTTTCTATTTAAAGAACCTATGGATGAATAACCTTTAATTTTGTTGGTGGCAGAAACAGATTAACGCTATTACCACTCAAGTTATAGTTGGGTTATTCAAAAAAAATTATAAAACAAGGGATCCTTTTCAATGTTAATCCTCCTTGAAACATACCTGAAATTATTATTAGGGCAGAAATAATTTTGAAACTATATCTCTAAGGAAATTGTGAGATATGAATCTGGGGATGTGTCAGTATGGAGTGGATTCAAGAAGCACTTGGCAGAATAAGCCAGTTCAGATGAGTCGCATGCTTGCAAATAACAAACTAGGATGGGGGGATGATGTCAGCATCGCTTGCTAGCTAGGGGAGTTGAATCGGTGTAGAGCAGACTTGAGCTGAACTGAGCAGTAGTCAGACCAATGAAGTCATCTGAAATCACAGCTAACCTGGGGAACTTTCAATGACATCCAATGAACAGCTGAGTTGAGTCAAATGTTACAGAAAGATAGGAGGATGCCTACAGATCATGCAAGAGCGCCAAACGGATACAATTTCTTAGCCAATATGGCCATATGCATATATTTAGCATTTCACTTCAGAAAGTCCTGTACACTCCCTCTGAAAACATAGAAAAAACCAGAAATCATTTAGAAATCAAAAATCTCTGGATGTCCCATTCATAGTTGTGACGGTTTGTTAAAATGGCTTTGTTTTTTATGAAGGACGTAAATGTTTTGTCCACTTCTTTTTTTACTTTGAGCTTGAATCATTTCTGGTGACCATCTTAATTCTGCCACATTCCATGTGTTTCTCTTTTTGATAACTCATGGGTATCGAGTTCTTATTTTGTGACCACTAAATTCACTATGAGGGTGGATTATATTCAACATTAATTGGAATATATTCAACTTTAAGGCGTTTAAAATTCTGCACAAATTTCCAAAATGCCTTCAGGTGATAAAATACTCTGCCTAAAGGTGATAAAATTTAGGGGGGAACAAAAGGGCTAGGAACAGGGTGCCTCCCCCACGCCTGTTTGATATTGGCTTCAAAATCACTTGATTAAAAAGATTACTGATTAGTTTATTGTGACACATTTACACATTTCCCAGGGTGTTTAAGAATGTTTAACATCAATGATAAATCCCTGGAAATCTTTAGGAAATTCCAAGAATTTCCCATTTTCTGGATTTGGGAAATCCCAAAAATCATGTATGCTATTTTAGGTCAGTGAAATGCCCCTCACTATTTAGAACAAATTTTTGTAGGAATAAATCTTATATAAATATTGAGGCTCAAAAATCAGAAATACAAGGCAGGCTCACAAAATTCACTAAAAGTATGATTCTTTGTTTAACAATAGTTGCTCTCAAAGGTTTCAAATTTTATGTCTAATTTTCATATGTAATTCTTGACTTAATCGAGTTCTAGATGACATTTCAAAATTATGCCAAAAGGAAATTTTTGTTTTCTTATTCAATGGTGTTGTTTAGGCTAGATTTAGTAATCTTTTTAGAATATCCTGTTCCAGAAAAATAACAATAATAATTTGTTACTTTTCAAGGTTGTTGTGAGGATAATCGAAATTTCACAAAAGCGTTGCTTGCATCTTGAAAATTGTCTACAGCTGATTCTAAGAATTACAGAAAACAAAAATCCTTTTTGAAAGTAGGGTGTGACCAGGAAAAGGGTTTGGTCTGATGGGTGTGGTCAATTCTATATCTCCTTTTGATGATAGTCAGTTTTTGGCTTGATCTGCTACTGTTTGTTGGAGTTTACTTCTCAGAGAGGCCAATAATTAGAGCTAAAGAGGAAGCATTAGGCTGTAAAAAACTAAAGTCATGGCAGCAATTTAGGTACAATTATAGAGATTCTCAGAATCTTGGATGGTTTATTTTTTACTTAGACTTTTCATGTAACAGGCAAAACATTTAAAAGACATGTGATCATTGCTGATGCAAATGCTGATCTGCATAAAAATATAACAAGGATAAGGAAATTTACTTTTAACAATCACACACATCAAAAAAGCCTACCATTTTTCCCAAGACTATTACGAACAGAGCTTGAGACCGCCAAATTTTCTGCTGAATTCATATCTGAATGACCATTTTCCAAAGGCAAATGTAACAGTCTGGAAAAGCTGGGCGAAAGGTCGTTTTCCAGGCATGTTTTCTCTGCATCAGAGGGTTGTTTTTGATCTGGTTCCACTGATGGATAAAAAGTTGTTAAGATTCAACTTCAAATCTTGAACATATATTTGTTGTCAATAATCCCACAAGAAGCAAATGAATTAAAATGTTTAGGTACACAGCACAGTCTATAACATACTTCATAAGAAGATTGATAAAAGGTATAAGTCAAAAAATTAATTCAACGATTTTTTTAGCTAGATTAAATATTTCACTTTCAAAACAAAGCAGCATCTTAAACAAGTTTCCAGGAAACGCAGTGATTTTATAAAAAAACCAAAGCGGCATTCTAAATACTAATTTCCACGAAACGCGACTGATTTTTTTAGAAAAAAACAACTAGAAAACTGAAAAGAAATGCTGAAGCTTCACCTGGTGTGTATTATATAGTTTTAAATTATGAAAATTTGAAAAACTACAAAGCGACATTCAATCGGCATGCCCAGGCAGAGACATGGTTGAATCGAAACTTGCCAGGTTGTTTGTGTAATGAAAAAGTACAAAAACACATACCACAAAACTCGTGCGGCTTTAGCAACTTAGTGACATCTGCTCGTCTAATGTTTCCAACTAATTTAAGCAAATCTGAGACATATTTGTTTTCATTGCTCCACCAAGATCTCAACACGCTGAGTGTTGGATCGGGTTTTAGTTCGAAATTTAAAATGTCTATCATTTTATACCCCATAGCTCCAGCTAGACTCCACCAGTCACCTCCAATGGGCATTCTTGGATTCAAATGCCGCGAAAGCTGCAAGAGAACCTCCACAGGAAGATCTTTAACCAACATTTTGTACCTCGTCTTCTTTTTAACGTCCATTATTCGTTTCTCCACAAAGTGCTCTTAGGCCCGTCTGGCGATATATATCCCAGCATTCAATTGTACTATGATGCAATGTTTTGATTCTACTTGCCATACACAGAGCACCCTACCCTGGGTACCAGACTCACTAACTCACTATATATAAAACAAAAAAAATAGAGACTCACTATATAAAATAATTCTCTATTATTTTATATAGTGAGCCTGGTACCCAGGGTAGGAGCACCCCTACCCCGAGCAGCAAAACGAGCCCAGCAAATACCGTACTGGCCCAGGAGTGGCTAAGTCGCAAATACCGTCAGTGGCGGACTGACCCAGGACTTTTGACCGGCTACAATGAACTGAAGAGGGACCAGGTGGGTGTGGTCTGAAAATGATGGCGTGTACAAGCGAAAATTTCATCACAATCGATCATTTTCTAGGCAACATAACATATGTTGCACTTGTAGCAAAGCTCAGTTGTTGATCACAAATAAACGCTTAGAACTCTAATTGAAATTCAACTATAATTAATAAAAATTCTGCCTGATTTGGTTTTCAGTAATTTTACGCAAAAGACCTACTTGTAGAAAACAAAGTAAAATCTAATAAGAAAGCTAGCATCTGATTCATAAAGGATAGGTTGAAATGAAAGAATATCTGAGGTGCGAGGAAGCCTCATCCCTACTGAAACTTAAACTAAAGATGACAGACCTAAAAGCAAGCTTCAAGGAAAGGACATTGATTTGCTTTGCAATAGGTGTGGCTCCAACGAGGAACAGGTTGAACGCCTATTGGATTGTCCGAATTTCTATCAAAAACCAAAAATGGAAAAAGCTTGTTTAGCAACAAATAAAGTCAAAGTTCTAAGAATGCAATGAAACTCTACAAATATTTCTGAAACCAAGGGATAAAATTTCCTCAAAATAATGATTTGCTTATAGGTAAATGAAACCCAGTTGCAGGGTAACTGCTCCGAAATGAAGATTTAGCTTTCTTGTGATTGTTACTGTCATCATTATTGGATATTGTCAGGGGTGGATCCAGAGCAAATTTGAAGGAGGGGCAGTTGGTAATGGGGGCGCTGAAAATTTTTCAGAAATTGATGACGAAAGTACGCTGTTCACACAAACCCTAACTACTGACAGAAGGCTCTCTATTCACGTTCTAAAGGAAATTTTCATAATAATTGGGCAAAATTGTTTCCAAAAGGGGTGCTAGGCTTAAACTCGGCGAGGGAGGGGCAACTGCCCCTAGTTGCCTCCCCTTAAATCCGCCACTGGATATTGTATGGTAACAAACTAGCTTGCAGATGCTTTCATCAAATTCATTTTCTATATAGCTTTTATTTGTTATATGTACAAAAATTTTATATCTTAATCATAATATTACAGCTTAACAGTTAATCGCAAGCAAAAAACGAGATTATTCGGTAGACAGATCTTTGGGATGATGCAGAAACCCCCGTTGAAGTATCATTCGCATTGCATTATCTTTATGCTTGAGCTTGAGGCTTGAGTAAAAGAAATAGTTAACGGCGAGTTTATTTGGTTTTAAAGTTAACTACTGAATCACAACTCCTAACTTTGTTGCTAGCTCTGACCCTCGCCACTGGCAAACATTTAAGTGAACTCTACCATTAATGCCATGCATATTAACTGAGCCTGGGTATATGAAAAATTAAAATTCCAAAAAAATTCCATCATATTAAAAATTTCAAATCCCTTATAACCTCACATAACCTACACAAGTTATACTTTTTTTTAATTTTGACCCAATCCTCTTTACAACCACATGCTATGACGTTATATTCAACCTCAGTTTTGACGTAATCCAGTATGTTTGTCATTCGTAATCGGACATCGTAAAGCATTATATTCCTAAAATGGGGCCCTTTCTCTGCAAAGATGAGACACTTTTTGCCAGATTATAAAGAGTTAGTTTCGTTAACATTGCATGTAAAGAATTCATCCAACTAAACATATACTGGCTGTAGAAATAGAAGAGAAAAGAGGAGTAGAAATATCATTCATGGAAACAGGAGGCAAGTCAGTCAGGGCCACGCCAGGGAGTAATTTCTGCAGTAGTGAAAGCCACATTTGTGCAGTGATTAAATTTTTCATTTATCTCAAAATGCAAGCTATTTATTTAGTAGCTAATTACATTTGCTTGTAAAAGCCTTTTATACGGTAGTACTAGTCAGTTAGGCATTTTGCGAATAAACGTGTGCATGACAAACAGGTAAATAAACCAATTAAGATAGAACTGATACGGTACAAGGAGTAAAAAAGTGTCGTCAAACTTAACACGATATTGGTAATGCTATCAATTCTAGGTAAATCATAAGCTTGACATCGTGTAGAGTGAAAAATCACCCCTACAATCTAGCTACTCTAAAATGCTTTAGGGAAGAGATCAGAGCTGGGGTGTAGTGCTAGGGGACTCAGGAGGGCTGAGCCCCCCTAGTTGATGCCGAACATTGGCAAATTTCTACTTTTGCTATTGTTTTTCGCAATATATTGCAAGAGCCACCCTTGTTACTTTGATAGCACTACGCCACTACTGAGAGGAACCTAGTTAAAAGAAAGTGATAAATATGAAAAAACTGACTGAATTTTTGCGAATGTTTGTCCTTAAAACAGCCATCTTTTGCCAACAGCAGAGAACAGCAACAGAAATACAAGATTGGCAGAAGATATATTTCTGTAGGTGTAGGCCACACAATTAACAATCAAAACAGAGGTTTTTAATTTTCTACACGATCTACAGAAGATTCAATCGTGTCGCAAATCAATGGCAAATGAGCTTAGGTAAATGTGCTCAACAAAATAATTAATACTTGAAGAAATAGAAGAAGCATATCTTTGAAGAAATACTCCATTGAAGAAAAACATCATTGAAGAAATATGTCATTGATGAAGAGGATAAAACAGCAAAAAGTATGGCAAAACCATGCGGAGCAACAGCATTAACGGAGTGAGGACTAGAATGGTGAATATAAACTCTGATGGCAATGTTTTTTTCAGAGAGGAAGACCTCTGATAAAACCGAAGCATTAGGGCCTTTGTGCCAGAAACGATTGAATCCATCACCCACTTTTGAGAGACAATATTCACGATCAAAGAATTTCAATTCCGAGCGATGATCCAGACACAACGACACAGCTCAAAATGCGTATACAAGAAGCTTGATGTTTCGAAAACAACAAAGGAGCGAGAAAGGATCATTGTTGTACAGAGAGAGCACAAAGAATTGATACGTCCACTGTCTGAAAACCTTACACTGGCCCTTTTTATCTACCTAGGCTCCTTTTACACAATGCAGTCGACAGTATGCTCATACAGTTTTTACTCAAAACGCAAAGCAAAAATACAAGCGACATAAATAACTTATCGGTAACTTACGGCCCGCGGGCCACTTATCACTGCTTAGATAATACGCGGCCAACTTACGACCCGCGGGTCACTTTTTGTTACCTAGATCAGACCTGGACAACTTACCGCCCGCGGGCTACATCTGGCCATTAGGACGTTACTGCCGATAATCATTGTGAAATAACGTATCAATTATTTCATTCTGGAAATTTAATCCAAAAGATTAGTAAACTCGAAGAAATTTCTTCAATGGAAAAAGAGTTCGTTTGAATCAAAATGATATTTTTTTGATTATTTACAATGTAAAATAAATAAAAAAATTGAATATGAACATTAATCAAAGTACCATACAGATTAACAGCCGTATTTTAGCTAGAAACAACAATATTCCACTAGAATAAAAACGCGACAGAGTGACTTCAAAAAAGCCACAATGTGGATTTTACAATTGTCTCCGATTCTACATTACCTATAGTCTCCGTTGACAATAATTTATCGCAGCTAAAAGATATGCACCTCAAACGTTTTGTACCGTTGAAGGAAAGGTTCTTGTGAACACAAAACTAAACGCAATTCAGAGAGCATGGGTGTATGGAAAATCCAGATGGAAGAAAAAGAGTTTATTCATCCTGTGGTCAAAGAGCTTTAAAAAGCATTTTGTAAAAAAACAATGAAAACAGGGTGGAATTGACCTTCCTGGCAGTCGTCTAGCTTTCCGCCAATATTCTTGGCTTTGGAAAAATCTCGTGTAAACTGCAATCTCTGCCAAAAATCTTGGAACACAAAGTTTTCAAGGGAAACTCTGCTACCCCCTCGCCATGGGAACAACGCTGGTTTATTATAAAATGATGTAGAAGATTACAAGTTTTTCTTGAGAATCATCGTTCGACAGAGAGTTCACCGGCAGTGAGTGTTCGATATTTGTCTAGACTATCAACAAAAACTAGGGGGAAGGTGGCGGAAATAGTAATAGAAAACAAAATGAAAAATATAAACAAAAACACAAATTGCTGGATGTTCCAATTAATCTTGGCAGTCATTAGTGTAAATTTCCGTAAGCATTTTGAACTATTTTCTAATTAGGAGTGTATAAAAAATAGGATCCTGTCAACGGAAAAAACTATAAGAACAATTTCCTATGATGATGACAGAAAAAAACTGGGGTACTCTACAAAATAAACGGGAGGTCATGGCCAAGTCCGAAATTTAATAAACCGGGGGGATTTATAAACTGAGGCGCTGAAAGCAGGGGGGTGAAATAGAAAGCGGCGTTCTTAAAAATTCCAGAAAAGTAGACGGGAGAGGCAATTATTTACTGACGTCAGAGAACTTTATGAAAAGCTTTCTTTTTTATGTTCAAAAGATCTGGTTGTTTATTCACGCAAGCTACTCCCAGATGGGCAATAATAAGGCTGGCATTAAGGGGTTATCTCTCGTCTTCACCAGGTTCCTTGTGTATCAAACCAATTCGGAGGGCATAGTCTATTGCATCTGCTATAGAACTCAAAGCTTGGTCACCAATTCTAGATCTGACTTGAACAGACCGTACGTGACGTCACTAATCATTGGAGTTGCCATCGATCATTATAATAACAACATGGCCCAGCGTAGAATTTCATAGGGCATCGCTTGCAGCATCGTTGAATTTCTAAAATGGAAAAGTTTATTGCATATTAAACGTTGCACATGTCTCAATGTCTGGTATATGTGAAAATATGCTTGATGGGAGGGGGGAATATGTGAAAATATGCTTGATGGGAGGGGGGTATATGTGAAAATATGTTTGATGGGAGGGGGGTATATGTGAAAATATGCTTGATGGAGGGGGATAGTGAAATAATCTTGATGGGAGGGGGTATATGTGAAAATATGCTTGATGGGAGGGGGTATATGTGAAAATATGCTTGATGGAAGGGGGGTATATGTGAAAATATGCTTGATGGGAGGGGGGTATATGTGAAAATATGCTTGATGGGAGGGGGGTATATGTGAAAATATGCTTGATGGGAGGGGGGAATATGTGATAATATGCTTGATGGATGGGGGGCGCGGGGATCGAAAATGCTTTGGTCAACATTAACCAGAACTTCTGCAGCTTTTATTTTGGAGCGGCATTTATTCAAAGTGGGGCTATTTTGATTTTTGAGGCAGTTAAATCGTAAATGAACTGATCTTAAAGGGGAACTGAAGTGAAAAACGATTTTTTTACCACTGATAAAGGTTCCCGTGCTGATTCCAAAACCGTTTGAATTTTTTTAATACGTTATGTAGTTTTTAAGTTATTAAGTTTTTAAAGTCGAAATTTGCCCTCATCGATGGCGGAGCGAGAACGCGGTCGGACCACTGTGTCACGTGACCTTGTGACGTAAAGTGGTGGACACGAAGAGATGTTTTGATGTAATGTAGTAGTGAGTTTGATAAGGTTCATGACAGATAACAATCGTGAAAATTGTGATGAAAGCATGAAACTTGGTGAAAATATAGAATTCGGTATGCGCAACAAGATAGAATATAGAATCATTTTGGGAAAAAACCCTTGTGCTATTTTTAGCCTGGGGTACTTGTGCCCAGTACTCAGAATACGTTAGTATGGTAAATCTATTTCTGTTAACTATACAACCATGAAACTTGGCAAACCGACACAATTTGACTTGCTGAAAATGATAAGAATGGTCCCCATCCTCAGAAATACCCCTTGTGCTATTTTTAGACTGGGGTACTTGTGCCCAGTACTCAAAATACATTAGTATGGTCAATCTATTGTTGTTAACTATACAGCCATGAAACTTGGCAAACCGACACAATTTGACTTGCTGAAAATCATAAGAATGGTCCCCATCCTCAGAAATACCCCTTGTGCTATTTTTAGCCTGGGGTACTTGTGCCCAGTACTCAAAATACGTTAGTATGGTCAATCTATTGTTGTTAACTATACAGCCATGAAACTTGGCAAACCGACACAATTTGACTTGCTGAAAATGATAAGAATGGTCCCCACCCTCAGAAATACCCCTTGTGCTATTTTTAGACTGGGGTACTTGTGCCCAGTACTCAGAATACATTAGTATGGTAAATCTATTTCTGTTAACTATACAGCCATGAAACTTGGCAAACCCACATAATTTACTTGCAGAAAATGATTGAGTAGTCCCCACTTCAGAAATACCTCTTTCGCTAGTTTTAGAATGGGGGTCCTGTGCCCAGCACTCAGAGGACATAACTATGGTTAATCCATTTCTGTTAGCTGTAGAGCCATGAAACTTGCCAAACCTACACAATTCGGTTTGCTGAAAAAGACAAAAGTAGTCCCCCACCTCAGAAATACCCCTTTAAGCATGATTTCTCATGCTTTGTCTATAGAACATGATATCAAAGCATTTTCTGGTATAACTCCAGGCACAAAAAACAATTCATACCAGGATGTACATAAAGGGGAAGGATTTAAAGCACAACCATTAAATGATGTATATGTTTCCAAGTTTATTAAAAGACCTTATCTTAACAAAAGATATGTCAGGGTTTCTATCTCATAACTGTTCTATGAAAAATGTTGAGTTGAAGCAAATTTCAGAAAAATATAACCATTGGGCACCAAAAAACTTCATTCTCAAAATTTGAAAACAGTGTATCTAAACAACAGGCAGTGACAGAATACATTAAAAGAACATTGTACTGTGTAGGTAAAACATTTTCTTCTGATCATGTATAAAAAATGTTACCAAGCAGGTGGTACAGGACCATTATTGTAAGAGAAAAACTTTATCAAATCCAAACTATTCTACACATTTTGATGTGAGTAAAATATCTTGAAAAATATACCTTAGGAATCTTGAAAATATCAAGCCTTGCTCAATTTCCACTAGTTTTAACAAATTTCTAACTTATAACATGACCCCACTGGTTCTAAATTTCTCTTCTTGCTATTATGAACTGAAAGTCTGGTCCCTTTGAATAACCCCTGTATATAACCCTGTACTCCACTGTATATGTAGTAGGTAGCTGAGTTTTGCATTTTCATTGTCTCTCTGCAGAATTTTGAAACCCTTGTCTTCTTTGACTAAAGTTCTTTTCTTTACATTTTGTGATAAATTCATACTTAAAGTTGTCCAGTTTTTCCAGCACAAATACCCAAAAACCAGCAAACCATCCATTGATCGGCCACTGTTTGTAGATACCTAGCAAAATGGATATAATTTTAGGTATTAATCTATTTTAGGCATATTTATGCAATTCTATTAAATATTTGACATTTTTGAATTATCAGTCCAAAAATCTTAATTGCAGTAAGATTTAATAATACTTGTCAATGTACAAAAACAAGCCAGTTTTAAAACCAAAGTGGATTAGGTCGACCTGTTCCGTGCTACACATCAAACTATGTATAAACGTTTTATATCAAAGGAAATATTTATTAAATTGTAACATGTAATAATCCTTATTATTTCAGATTTTAGAAATGGAAAGATTATAATATGTAGCTTACATTCTCAGTTGTATCTTACTTTTTATAAGGAAATAAGGAAATTGTGTTTGAGTTGTTCTTGCCTTCATTGTCAGAAAAGAAACAAAGATCGACGTACCATTGATTTACTTCCTCATTTCTACCGACAAAACGAGCACGTCGCGGGAGATAATTCATCCTCAGCCTCTGGGATCTCATCGGGCCTAGGCTAATCTTCATCGCCACTTTCGCAGTTCCCGTTCGCCCTTGGTAGGGCAAGTACTTCACCACCACATGCTCCAAATTCATCGTCGCTCGATCTTAAGTCTGTTGTCATTCCTGAAGAGCTGTCGTGAAAATTGCGAACTGAAATTCTAACCACTAACCGGATTCCCTCCCTCCGATTCACTCTACTACCTACTACAATGTTGTTTTCGTTGCGATCGGGGCACGTGTCCACGACTTTACGTCAGCGCCTGAAACTTGTCTCCAGACCTCTCCGCCACCGAAATGGAGAAATTTCACACTTCGCGTGGTGAATGCAGGAAAACGAAAAGAAAAACACTAATTTCGTGTCGATATTCGAAATCAGCACGATGAAAACTACTAAATAATTGATTTTCATTTTTCACTTCAGTTCCCCTTTAATTGAAGCTAAAAATGTAGTCAAAAACGGTTACAATGCAAAAAATAGAATTTACCGCAATCAAACTCTTTGGGTCGAAGTCTTCTCCAATATCATCCTCAGAAAACAGCCTCGTTCTCGGCAGTTTCTCCGACATTGGGGTGCCCCCCATCTGAAGGCTTCTCATTGGATCGAACAGCGGGCTCAGCCGTGGACTGCTAGTCAGACTGGTGTCAAGCCGGGGGGAGCTGCAAATATATCAGTTTTATATGACATCAAGGCTTTTAATCCAAAGGGCACTCCTTACAAAATAAACAAAATAGATTATTTTAGCCTAATATCTAGAAGTCGTCATACATTTTATGTCTATTCCTAAACGGCTGTAGAGTTTCATACAGCAAACAGCCTTCTACATTGTAGCGAGCAAGAAATTCTTCCTTTTTTGCAAATTAAAAGTCTTATAAAACGAAAGATGGTACAATTTCAGTTGTGTAAACAGTGATTAGACGCCATGTTAAGCACAGCAGCAACAATTATTAAAAACAAAAGAAATATTGAAGCAATTTTCAGTCATAATGAAGCTATTTGGCTGAAAGAAAACAAAATTCCGGCAACAAGGTCTAGTTGGAAAAATATTTTGTTATCCTGGCTTCAATATTTGACTTGCTTTAACAGTCAAAGCAAAGAAAATTCCTCCTTTCCAGACAATATGGAAGCCAAATGCAGGAGGAAACAAATACTAAATTATAGATCCTTATGGTCACAGTTAGAGTAAGGAAAATTGATATTTGTGAAGATATGAGAAATACAAAACACTCAGGAAGGAAAATATATTTAGAGGGTGTGATAGCTCTTTGTGATCTATTCAAGACAAAGCTCAAGTTTAAAGCTTTTATTTGAAGCTTTTCGCTGAATGATAAGACCAAGCAGAAGTAACATTATGCAGACAATTTCTGCAAAGGAGCACAAAACCCCCTTTGAGCGTAGAGCTATAATACGAGGTACCTTGTTAGATTGTTTACGTTACTGGAAGATGAGATTGGAGGGAAATTTCCTTATTGCTTGAGACCTAAAACTGAGTGGGCAACCGGCTTCTTGTAATAAGAAATGATGGTATCTACTCTAGTGTCTCTAATAGAAGGGGAGAGGTAATAGAAGGAGGGTGTTTATTCCGACAAATTTTCAATAGAAGGGGGTGCTAATAGAAGGGGGGTGTTCATGTCAACCAGTTTTCAATAGAAGGGGGTGCTAATAGAAGGGGGTGTTCATGTTGGCAATCCTTTTGTGAAGTCGGAGTACCTTTTAGAATATACTGTCAAAATTTGGTTTCATTTTTTGCATAGTTTTAGAGAAAATTGCAATCAAACAAAGATAAATCAAATTTATAGCTTTTAACTTCCAAGTCAAAAATCAAAAATCAAAAATCAAAGTCAAAAATCATCGGTTTTCTTTGTACGGTTGAGATTTTACAAAAAACTATGGAAAATAACGAATAATGAAAATCAAGTGAATTGATTTGTAAAACTTTAGAGACGGGGGGGGGTGCTAATAAGCGACGGGGGTGGGGGGCAAATTCTTCTGAAATTAATACACGGGGGGGGCGTCTATTAGAGACACTAGAAGAGCTGTGTATTAAACCGAAAGCAACAAAATATGGGAAAGTGGAGAAAGTTAGCTCTTATGTCAACTAGACAAGCAAAGGGTACTGAGGCTAGGTTGACACAGTTGTTTAAGCTCAATACAATCTAATCTTAGATTTTGTGCCATGAAGATTGTCTCCTCAGACTATAAATGACAGCAATTTGTGTCACCAGCTTTTTCACTTCTATTTCATCAAAGTAAGACAGTCATATTCTGAACAGAGAAAACTTGTTATAAAATGGGGTTGCTCAAAAAAGGCTGTCTCTTATAAAGAGGAATTCGTTGATAGTAGGATAGTTAAAAATCCACCTTCCCATATCCGGGCTTGATTCCATGATAAAACCAAGTTTTTGATCTGGGGTGTTCAGGCTGTCGTGCAAGTTGGTTCTAATTCCCGTGCAATCACTGTGAAAAGAAATGAAATTTACTACCACTTGCATCAAACTAAAAATGTAACAGTGACACCATAGTTCAGTTAGATAGGAGCATTATGTCATTAGCAAAAGATTTTCAGGAAAAAAATTGGTAATAAATATGAGCACCAAGGAACAAATGAGCAGTGAGTTACAAATAATTTCCATTTAAAGATTTATTCAGCATTTGTGAGAACATTTACATTATCAAGTGTAAGTTTTTTGGCATCGTGTTGCTAAAATTGGTTTCTTGAAAATAAGATTCTTCATATATCCTCGAATATTCAAAAAAGAAGAGATTGTAACACAGCTATCAAGCATATTATCGGTCACATTTGCAAACCTGCAGAATCTTCTCCTTGGAGAAGGAATAGACAGAATGTTGTCATCGGAACTGTTGTTGAAGATGGATTCATGGCCTAAACAATAACAAATAATTAACTTGAGAAAGCATTCTGCTATGATGGACTAAGGCTACAAAGAATTACAAATATACTACAATATAATATAATATAATATAATATAATATATATAATATAATATAATATAAATAATATAATATATATAATATAATATAAATAATATAATATAATATAATATAATATAATATAATATAATATAATATAATATAATATTATATTATAGTATAGTAAGTTTTCTTCTTTCCGTCCATCATTATCTTAAGTGGAGTTAGACACAAAAAACTTACACAAGGACTTGGAAAATATAGAATGAAAGAATATTATGAATGTGTTACCATCAAAAGATAAACTGGAGTCAGAGCTGTGCGGGAAAGTCGAATCCAAATCCGAAGGTGGCAAACGACTTTGGGGTGTCCCAGGCGCTACAAAAAGCACAAGACAAAAGCAGGTACAATTTCTTTGTAAACACTTTAAAAGAAACAGTAATGGAAAAAGACTTCTTCACAAAAATGTGAATTTGTTGTTGTTGCAAAGCCATGAATGAAAACAAAACGACAATGATAAGACGGGGGTTTCTACTTATTGATTATTTACATAAAGGGGCCTACTTTGCTTTCCATCGATGGGAAAAGAATCTCAACTCTGAAACGATGTTCTATTTGATAAATACACAAAGAGATAAAAATAATTTAATTGTCTATTCAAAGGAAACCTTAATTTTGGTCCAAAAATTATTTATCTTAGCTTTTCTTTAACCAAGAGAGTGACAAATGCAATTTCGTCATCATGACAAATGGCAAATCTCTAGCAGTAAGAAAACGGTATTACCTTCAACAAAAAGAGTTTTCGGCAGCATGATCAGCATCAGAAGGAGATGCATAAACTGAAGAAAATACGACAGGAGCAGCGAACCAAACATTTGCTGTTGAATAAAGAAACGATTAAGGTGGGGAAAGGTAGTAGCTGCAATATTTGCTAAAGAATTTTCGGGAAACGAGATGCCAAGAGTGCTAACACTAACTTAACCAAACATCTTTTTACAATTGATAGAGTCAGGTTTCTTCCACAACTTTGCTATTGATGTGATGATGGACGATTACGATAATATAGAATTCACTATGATACGTAACTGGTTAGCATATTTCTGCCTTTTACAATATATGCCAATAACATTAAAGTAAAATATTGACAGATTGAAAGCAGGGGCGGATCCAGAGCAAATTTGAAGGAGGGGCAGTTGGTAGTTAGGGCGCTGAAAAATTTTCAAAAATTGGTTACGAGAGTACGCTGTATACAACAATTTCAGATACCTTTTCAGAATAAACAACATAACTTTGAGGTAATCCTTGAGGCAAATTAATCGATCTATCCAAGAACTTTTTTCATCTGATTCTCATTCTTCAAAAGGGGCGCACAATTTCCAAAAAAGGGGCGCCAGACTTGCTTCAACTAGTTGAGGGAGGGGCAACTGCCCCTAGTTGCCCCCCTTAAATCCGCCACTGATTGACCGATTCTTACGAGAATATCGACAGTGAAAGTTGAAAATGAATTTTCTTCTCAAAATAATGCCTGTCCTTAAAGGCAACCAACAGATAAAAAAGTTGCGTAAGTCACGTGACAATTGAAATTAGCCAATCCATAAGCATGATATCACTTAGACACTAATTGATTGGCCAATAGTTGAATGACAGCTGGCTTTAGAATATGTCGTTTGCCTTTCACAGTACTTGCCATTTTCGAAACGATCCAATATCGATCTCTCCTTTTGATGATCTTGAAGAAAAATGACAAATCGATTTAAGACCAAAAGTGATGATGACGTCATTTTAACACCTATATGTTGATAGTACGTCGATAAAATAAATGAAGAAAATACAGTTTAAACATCGCAATGAGAAATAGAAAGTCCTAGGTAACTGGCTGATGATAAGACAATCAGGAAAACAATCGTGTAAGCATTTAAATCATAACCAAACAGCAACGTAATTTTGAAGACAGGAATTTCCTACCATGTCATTTACTCGCCCTGTCTATAAAAAGTTGCACTTGATATTGTAAATACCAATTGTATGACTTACACACAGCTTCTTACCTTTTTTACATTAGTATCTGCCAGAATATCTTCTACGGTTGGCCTACGGCAAGAATGAGCTAAAGATAAGCAATGAACGGTCAAATCAGACAAAGATAATTTTTGGATTATATTCTTTTAAATAGTCTGCCCTCTTTAATGCTCCAGTTTATTTCAGGCAAATCAACGATCCTTCTTTCAGGCCTCTCTTAGATATACCAATAAGATGTAGCAGTTAAATACATTGAATTCTCGTGACAGATTTTTGCAAGCTTTGGTAACAAAGATACAAAGCAATTTCTACCTTTTCCTTGGGTCTTTAGACATCATTCTTTTGATTAGATTTAGGAGGGGTCTTGACAAACCTGAAATTTATTCAAATAGAGAGCAGGAAATTATTAAAATATGTGCAAAGTCGATTCCTGTTATAATCATGGCACTAAGCAGAGTACAACTGAGCTGAAGTGAACTGCGTGTTTGGGTTGAGACTTTAGGCAATTAACTGGCAGTGTGACTCCGCTTCGAGGGCTTTTCATCAAGCTGTTTCAAAGGGACATTCCAGTATTTCATAATCTGATGAAGGATTGAGAATTTCGAGAGATTGACAACCAGATTTGCTTACAGCATTTCTGTCTATAAGCATACGCTTTTTAACATTATTTACTGATAACCTGAAAAAGCTTTAATAAAAAATTATTGATTGAAAATGACGATAACTAACGATACAGTCAATTTTAAAAAACAGCTCTTCAGTCACAGTGGCGTAACGATCCTAGTCGTGCGCGTAGAACCCCTCTATTCCCACTACTTAACATTACCCCAATACCCCAGAAGAATCCCTCTATTCCCACTACTTAATATTACCCCAATACCCCAGAAGAACCCTTCTATTCCCACTACTTAACATTACCCCAATACCCCCAGAAGAACCCCTCTATTCCCACTACTTAATATTACCCCAATACCCCAGAAGAACCCCTCTATTCCCACTACTTAACATTACCCCAATACCCCAGACTCAGTTTCCCTATAAATTCTCCACCAAAATACAACCAGGGGTGAAGAGCCTGGGGGCTTTTTGGGGCCGAGTCCCCTTTGGTAAAAACAAAAATAGAACTTTTTCCAACTCTTGTTATTATTTTATGATAATTTTTGGAAAGGCTTTGATGTTCTTATAATAGCAATATATCCCTTCGATTTAACCGCCCACCCAACCCTACCAAAGCGAGCTCAAGGAGGCTATACTATTTGAAGCAGCAATCATTCAAATAACAGATTTTCATTTATAATCTTTGTCTCTTGTACCAGTCCTTTATTTCTAATGTGTATTTAGAGTTTCCTTAAGCTAGTCCACCTTTTTTTGCTATACTAATTCATTGTCTTTACTTCTTTATACTCATATATTAAAATAATATGTTATTCTAACTTTCAGTAGACTAATATCGATAACTGAATTATCGACAAAAGTTTTCCAACTAGGGTAAATCATTTTTTGGCAAATCTCTTTCAACGTTGCTGCTCATTCATAAAATTTTAAATTTGTGTCCATTCAGAAATAACATTACCTCCAGTAAACTCGAAAGGCAACCTTTCTTCTCTCAAATCTTGCCAAAGCTCCCCTCCCTTCGGTAAGTCCATATCACAGGCCAACTCTAGCATCGTAATACCGAGGCTAAAAAGAAAAAACTTACAAGGTAATAAATATAAAAGAGCATATAAAATTCCTAGCCATATCAATTGGTATGTTATTTGTGCAACCCATGTCCACGGTCATAAAAGTCTACTGTAAGTAAGGCTGTGGAAGGTTTTCAATAGATCTCGCTAAGGCCCTATATACCTCTGGGTGTTGCAACTGAGACTACAGGGGCCAGTAGGGTTTGATTGATAAATATCTGGATAAAGTGAAATAAATGCTGAATAAAGTGAGCCTGGGGGCAGTTGGATTCCTGTGTACTTCAAATCTGCCACTGGTCCAATCCATGAATAAACTGTTTCTCATCACATTACTTTTCGCATTTGACACTTAGTTTAATATAGTGTTAATGACTATCCATCTTGATTACATACCAATTTTCTCAGTTACATATTAGGTATAAACCTCGAACATTATAACATATTTTCCAATGGCGTCCAATGTGAAACGGGCTTAAGTATTTACCGTATATGTATATGTTGTGTTTTACTATGTATGTATCAATATAATCTAGTATTTGTATATGTAGTATTAAAGTTGTATTATTAGTTATATTTAGATACATGTCATATCTCAGGGGGAGGGGGGGGGGGCAGTCATGTTATATTGCTCCTCCTGGGCTCCGTCCTTGTAATGTAGTTTAGTAGTTCGTACATACTGTTTTAGGTAATTTGTTGTGTAAGTTTTTATACCGAATATATGTATAAAAAAACTGTTTCTAATTCTAATCACCTTAATCTAAGATGGTGTACAACAGATACATATCACTCTGACCACGTAGCAAGAAAAATATTCTGTACCAAAGAGTACCCTAAGGAACTTTTGTGAAAAGGAGTAGGCCAGTCTTTTTAGATCGACAATTCCTTTTGCTTTTGCAGTTTCCACCCACCTTGTATAAAAAAATCAATATCATATTGATATTTCCGGCCGGTGAAATATTATGGTGTAAAACCTCAAGAGGGAAGTGGACGGCATTAACTAATCAAATGTTCACGTCATACCTGAATATGTCTGCTGCCTTTGTGAAAGCTCCCTGCATCAGCTCTGGTGCCATGTATTTTGGGTCCCCTTCCTGGGCCTCTAGAACATCCTTTGGCTGAAGAAAAAGTACATCACATTACTGGTTTTTACAAAAATAAAAGACTGATATGCCTCGTTTTGATAATGCTGGCTTGGCAAATAGTTCACATCCCAGTAGCAAATGACACACAAGGAAAGTCGCCAAACAAAAGTGACAAACATGACAGCATTTTAGACAGCATTAGAACCAGTTCAAGAATGATTCAATATTCACTTACTTTTGAAACATCTAGAGCTAACCCAAAGTCACCAATTTTGTAATATCCATCGCGACCAAGAAACAGATTAGCTGGTTTGATGTCCATGTGAACAAAGTTGTGATCGTGTAAATGTTTCAAACCCTAATAAAAAAGACCAAAACATTAAATCTGAACAATAAATCATTCATATATAAATATCCAAGGTCGTGGAATTTTTCTTTGCTATGAAAATTGGTATACAGAGGGCAAAAGAACTTCAATGCATTTTTGGTTCGGTGCATTTTCAAATTGAAATGTTGATAAGGTAATGCCTGGTAAGGATTCATGGGCAGGAGCCAAATATTTATATGCAGCATAAACTTTAAATGCAGTAAAGGTTTTAGTAATCAACTCTGAAACAGAGGAAGTGGAAAGAGAATCTCTTTTTCTCTGAGCAACGAAAACGAAAATGCAAAAAGATAAGCCATAGCTAATAAGTCAAAACTAAGACAACTTACCATAGTTAAATCAACCAGAATATTCCAGATTTCATTCTCATCGATGGATTCAACCTTTTCTGCATAATCTTTCAAGCTAGAAAAAAAAGATTAGGATATATTAGCCTTGATAAAATTTATGAAAGATAACCAAGGATTTACCTACATGGTAATTCGAAAAAAAAGTTATGGCAAGCAAAATTGAGCTGAGAGCATATTGAAAGTATGAAGCTGGCAAGCAAAGAAGGACGGAGGGGGAGGGAAGTTGGGGTGGAGGAAGGAAGGGGACTCGTTTGTATTGGTTGAGGAAAAATAATGAAAAAAGTACTTATGGAGGTATCTTGGTGACGTCAAAAGATCTTATTACTAAATTGATTAAGTAGATCTGAGAAAGAAGATAAAACAATAATACAATGAACATACGCCATCAATACTGATGGAAGAAAAAGATGAAAACTAAAGTAGAAAAAACGTGTTTGGAGCCGTTACAAACCTCATTTCACATAATTCTGTCTGAATGAATAGAAATTGCCTGTAAAAAGAAAAAAATACTTGCTACAATCTAAAACTTGAATAAATAAATAAATAAATAAATAAATAAATGAATAAATAAATAAATAAATAAATGAATAAATAAATAAATAAATAAATGAATAAATAAATAAATGGATAAATAAATAAATGAATAAATAAATAAATGAATAAATAAATAAATGAATAAATAATAAATAATGAATAGATAAATAACTAATTAATTAATTAAATTAGCAAGTTTGCTCTGCATATAAGAAGCCAGTAAAAAGTTTATCTTTCAACTAATACAAGCTAATGTTTGTGAAAGAACCTGAGCAACTATAAAACAAAGCTGAAAAGAAACTGCGATTAAAACAGATAAATCAGTATCTACCTCTCTTCCCAGGCTCTGTAGAATTTGACACAGTTTCGGGAGTCGTGGATTTGTTCGTGTTTGTGCACTTCCTCCAGTTTTTGTTTCCTATAATGGAACACATAACGACAATATCAAAACAAATAGCGATGAAAATGGTAGTACTAGATTATCATTAGTAGAGGAGAGCTTGCTGTTAAAGGCCTATATGTATTCCTAAGAGATAAAGCGGTTATGCAAGCAAGTCGTGCTCCAGGCATATACTGTTTGTTCAATCGTCAGATTGTGCAATTCGTCTTGTTCCGACAAGAAAATGTTGGAGAAAGCATAACATTTGGCAATGTTATTCGTGATTTGGTTATCAGCCATTGGCGTTCCCTATCGGTGACATGGGCGATCCTTATCGGTTATATGGACGTCCCAAATAAGAAAAAGGGCGTTTTCTAAAAGCTAAAAAGGGCGTGGCTTAACAATTTCACCTTCAAGAATTTTGAAACTGCTGCCCATTGCTATTATCCGCATTACTTATTGTTTTGACCAATATGCAGCAGTGAAAAATCAAGAGAACTATCAAACAACTACAGCTTGTTCGATTACCAAGCCAATTATACTTTGATTATACTTTACATTTTCTTATAAAGATACTACATAAATTTTTTTGTGCCTGAATATATTCTTAAAGTTTTTAAGTTGAAATGTTTTTCAAAATGAAAAAGAAAATTGCGAGTTGAGGCTGAGCGATATTCTTATGATATTCTTAAAAATTTGATGATTCTGAGCCTGAAAATTCTTATAAACAATATTCTTATATAAAGCGTGTAGATTAACTCTATATATCAGGCGCCCAGTTACATAAAACGACATAGAAATCGCAGATGAACCATAATATTTACGAGGAAAGAAGAATATGCAACATCATATGAAATAAAATGAAAGTATATAAACTTATTACTATTATGGTTTAAAGTTTTGTATAAAATTAAGAATCCGTAGTTAAAAACAGGCCACTGAGACTAATGAGAGGGACCCAACCTGTGCCAAAAAACAATTAATGATACCTTACTTAATAATAACCCCTTACTTAATAAGATCTCGCTTCCTAACGTTGCACTCTCTATTTATCAATACCCCCTGCTTAATAAAACATCTCCTACTTAAAGATATTTCCCTACTTGATAATACCCCCTAAAAAGCTGTTTTTGTGGACGGGGTGGACGTTCTCCGGTCAATTTTGGTGCAGCAATATACTCCGCACTGCGAAGGAGAACGCGATCTGCGAAGGAGGTAGGAGCAAAGAAAATATTTTTCCTTCACTCTTGCCTTTTTCCTCCGCAGTCACATATTTATCACTTGCGGCTAGGATTCTACCTCACAATCCAGATATTTTGCTGTATAGAATTAACTAAAGAATAAAATTCTGGAAAGTTAACTGAAAGTAAAGTTCGGTTAACATTAGTCTTTCACGGAAGGATTTCTCGAAAACACAATTCAGGGCTCGCTAATCTATTCAATTGTGACGCCATCGTTTAGATTCCCACAGTCGTTTTGCGTCCAATAAAAAGCAGAATCGATTTGACGTAACAATCAACGCCGCACTGATTGTCTAGTATAAAAGCGCGCGCTGGGATAAAATAAATCTTACTTCAGTTTTTACAACTGTGAGTATCGGTGCAACTTCACTTTTGAATTTGCACTTATCTTTGTGTTTTTGTGTTATCATTGAAGCACAAAGCGCGACGCAATGTCGAGTTTCAGTGCGGACGGTAGCGTCCGCTGTTGGGTATGCATGAAGAACGGCGAGAACCGGTTTTTCAACGGTCACGCCGCGCGGAAGGTCCACGAGGAGACGGTGCACGCACCACGCTACTCGCTGGGCAATATTGTCAACACAGATGCAAGTTTTCAGTCGCAAGACAAGCAATATGTATCTACAAATGACAGAGGTGGGTAATATCTTAGATTTAAATTAAGCGATATATTTCTGCCATCTATTATGTTTGAAAACTGAATCAAAGATGAAAGTAAAACAGCTCTTATTCTAGTGATTGATGCCACTAATATTTAGATAAATAAATTCAAACTTAGAAATTACTCCTTTTAAATCTAGAAAATGTTATTCCTTTTTTCCACATTTTGGTAAAAGACAACAGGTTGGAAACCTTTACATAGAGAGGGCTTGACTCTCGAATGTTCGAACGATCGCAAAACAAGTGCCTTCTCCGCTAAGATCAATGAATTTCAAATTACCTTAAAACAATTTGATAACTAAAAAATTATATAACATCTTCGTATCTCTTGAATTAGCAGCTACTTGAAGTCTTCTACATCTAGGATCTAAATTCTTTCAACGTATTTTTAATCCGTGCAATACATACTAGCTAAACAAAGGCACTGGCCTAATAAAATTTTAATACTCAGACACAACAAAAGCTTAAAGTTTATACTTCGCTTGTTCATCTAGAGTATTCAAGCAGCAATGCCACGCCACTGAAGGCCCCCATTGCAAGTTACAAACAACTTGAATACATTAAGCGAAGATTGCGCTTTCAAAACCAAAGAACATCATCCGAGGGTCCTGAATGCTACAACTTGGCCAAGGTCGATCAATGGCTCGAGAACGGAGCAGATCTTCGTGATTATGAAATCAAATCACTTAACGTGAGGTAAACAACTTTATATTGCAACATTTGATGCCTCTCTCTAGCTAAAAAATCTATCAATATATGATTACATTTTTGAAGGATTTATGCTCGAAAATTTTCGGCAGGTTGTTTCGTTATTTGGCTTCATCATCAACCCCAGAAAAGCTCGTACGTCTTTGAAAAAATCCCTTTCGTTTGTGAAAAAATAGTCTCCAATTTCCAAAAATCTTACTGTTCTACAAAACGTCAGACAACTTTGGTGGAAATTCCTTGGTTTTATCAGAAAATTATTTTGCTTTGTGGAAATCTTGTTCGCTATTTGTAAAAGTGAATTGCCTCTTAGTGAACACGCTGTTTTTGCTTCCAAGTTTTGCATAAGCAACACACCTTTCGATATTGAAAATTGACTTTATAACTCCATTTAGCAAAGTTTGCATTTTCTGAATTTAGATTGCTATCTCAGAATTTTTTCGGAAATAGTTTTAACATCAAATAAAAACAGGAAGTTGGAGCAGCAAAACGGAAAGTTTCCTAAATTCTAGTTAGTCCCAGATCGCTTCTAGAGGAACTTACTAATCAAACAATCTTAATCAAATAACTGTACGAAACTTAATACGTTTCCTCGTTAATTCTTGAGTTAACTAGGGCTCGTACGAGCGAGATTATTTTCTCATAAAAACTGTCGCGTAGAGTTTA